CATGATTAGAACGCACAAAAGACTAGGGCCAAAGGAAGTCTTTCTCAGCTTTAGCTTTTTAAACAAAAAAAAATTAATCATTCTTAATTTGTGTTCTGCCTTGGGGTAAACTAATTCATCGTTACAGCCTCAGAAGAATCTTAATGCATTGGAGAGAAATAATGAAAATTCTTACATGTTGAAAACCTTAAGAAAGATTCATCATATTTCTTAGATCTTCAATAGTACGGACTAAGGTCATCTCGAGCTTAAAAAGGAAACTAATTTTAATTATTATATTATATATTATTATTATTATTATTATTATTATTACATATATTACTAGAACACTAAATATTAAATATAAATATCACCAGTTTTCTAAAATAAAATGTAACTACCGTTTTAATTGATATCGCCCAATATTTCATCAGGAAAGTGAAAAAAAAAGTTAACATAAATTAAGACGTAGATGATAACTTTTTCAATTTAATATTCTAATTCTAGCCCCTCCCCCCCTCCACCTCCTCCGCTCCATCTTCCCACATGCTGGTGTAAACTTACACAAACATAAGAGATTAAGGTTTCATTCGTCCATTTACAACTATAATAAGTACTTGCCATTGATCAAAAGACTAATGAGAATAGTTGTGGCAGATTGATCTTTATCACGTTATTAATGGTGTATTATCAATGTGGATAGAACAAACAGGAAGATGTTTTTTTGTTATTTTATTTTTTCATAAGATAAAATGTCAAACTATTAAAGGTAAAAAACCTTTAACCTAGCCAATATCAGAATTTGACTGGTATAATAACTTTCGACAAGACCTCACAAAATTTATCGATATTCTAGATTTTGACCACTAACAAAAAACTGAGGAAATGGTAAGCATATCAGATAAAGTCACCCATAATTTTCTATAATATATTAATTTATAAAGCTCATTAAAAAATTATATAATTACATTTACCTGCTTTATAACTTTTGTAATTTTAAGAAACTCTGTAAGTTGAATTTTGTATTTTTATTCTTATTTATATTTATTTTAGTTATATTTATACTACTATGTTTGAAGTCACGGGCGAATCTACGGAAAAGCCCTCCTCCCCCAAAATGGAAAAATATAACCATGTTTTATGGAGAAAAAAATTTTAAAAATACCTCTTAAAGTATTATTGTTCGTGTAATTACATTTAAAAGTACTTAAGGAATAACTTAAACACCATTTCATATAGGTAGTTAGTTTCTTTCTGTTTTTCCAAAGTAATTATCGTTATTTTTATGGAAAAAAAAGGTTTCGGGCTGAAGACCCTCCCCCCCAAATTAAATCCTGGATCCGCTCGTGTTTGAAGTGAATTATGTTTCTAATTAGTTAATCCCAATGTTATTTGATAAAATTTTATAATTAAGGTTCATAATATACATTTCTATCTAATGTCTCAAAATAAACGGTCCTTTCGAAAGAAAAAAAAGATAAAATATTCATTATGTATCGGAAAACAGAACAAAATAAACTTCTAATATGTATCATTGTCACCAAATGGCATGCCAACAATTCATATAAATGGGTTGCTTTATAACTTTTCCACAATGAGACTGAGAGAAGTTTATTGGTGAATCATTTACACTACCTAATTCAGTTGGTCTCGCATTGAATCTAGATATCAGAAACTCTAATGCAACTGAAACATTAAACATCCCAGATGGGGGAGTTTTGATATTACAATATAGTTTATGTTTCAATTATAAAAGCCAATTCGATCCAATAGCGCTCTTATCATGTATCGATATTTAACTGCTTCGATAAGGTATCTCACATTCCACATCGTTGAGCAGCACTAGAACCTAATTCTGCTTTCCCGCATATGCTCAGCGATAAGTTATTCCGTACTAGTTATATCATAAGTATTATACAAACATATAGACATAATTGCTACACATTCAAAAGCATAATTATTATGAACATTGATTACGTATAGGATAGGATATATAAGCAAAACAAAAATGAAGTCAAAATTTTGGACATTCCTGGCAGGCATCTTATCCACAGTGTTAACACGCCAACAATGAACCCCATTTTAGGTTTTTGTTTGATTCATTTTTAAATTTCTCTGTTGCGTATTAAAATATGCAGCAATTGAGTGAAATGGCGATGAATAAAATAAATCGGCAAAAATATTAATAATAAAAATTATAGTTACTGCAAAGATTATTGCAAATGCATTCAAATAGAACTGCCGAACTTTAACTCTAAATTGTTTATATTTATATTGATTTATACATTAATATTTATATTTAACAAAACTTTTTATAACTCTTTTGTCTCACATTCATTTTAACAATCAATGGACTAATTTATTATTTTTTATTTTGTATGTTGGGCCGTTTGACGTGATCTCCATTCCAACATGTAAAAATAACGAGGTTATAGGCCGAATATTTTTGTGGTGGACCACTTTCTCGAGTTTGTAATAAAATTATCTTACTATTTAAGGGGGAACCAACCAAACTGGTATTCATGAGTTTTTAATGCCTCATTAAATTGACATATTTACTGCTTTCTAGATTGAAATCGGCCTATTTCTGAGAATTTTCTTAGATAAAAATGTTGTTTTTTTTACTAATATTTTGACTGATCACCACAACCATTTTTCTCATCAATTATTCACTACAGTCAACCATCATCCCACAATTATAAAAATGTTGTAGCTTACAATAAAATGAAACCTCTCAAGAAGTTTTAGAAGAGTGTTTATAATTTCATAAAAATTATTCTGTACCACGGACTAACATTTTAATACAGTTTCAATGAAGTTTATTTATTTAATAACAAAAAATAAATTAAACGTGAAATTTCACCGGGTAAATAGCAACTGTTATCAACAAATACCTTATCAATGATTTAAAGCATTCATCAATTTAGTGGAATGAAGCTTTTTTTTATGAAACCAGCATCTGGGAAGTTTTTTATAAAACTTTTTGATAGAATAATGTTTATTTTTATATGTTAAATAGTTGTATATTAATATAAGGACTTAACGTTAAACAATGGAGAAGCAGAAATGGAAAGTTCTATTTCAGGGAAGTTCATTCATGATCGTGAATATCTTCGTTATCATTCTAATCATGCAATGTTCCCTACTGCAATCGGCTAGTTAGTTAGCTCGTCAAAAAACTGTTAGTATTGTCTAAGAATAATGTTCCATCCTCTTCTTGGAGCTAAACCATTTCTTAATTAAACAAATTTAAATGTTTCCGTTTCAACATGAGGGAGAAATTAAAATGAGTTAATTTTATTCAATTTCGATGTAACGCGAGTCGGAAACACGGATCAGTTCGTTTCTTTATGAAGCCGTTCAAATGAAGTTGGATACCTATTTGGTATACTTATGTCCATGCCCATGATACATTGCACTAATTAAATCTATTTAAAAAGACGTTTGAAGTATATTCAGTGAGGTATTTTTTGCAGCTCTAATTGTTATTAATATTTTCAGCCGAGACCATTTTTCTTCTCGATTATTCCATACCAAGCGGCGTTATAATAGGGTCTTTTAACAGCCATTTAATTCCACTTAAGCTCATTCCCTTATTCACTTTTTTTTTTTTTTTTGATAAATTATTCATTTTATTATCGTGAACGGAGTTTACAATTTTATTCATCACAGTCGAACAGCATAGCCACAATGTGGTAATAGGTAATTCTTTTAAGATTGGATTCGTTTAAGTATTTCAATATATCTCTGAACCCAAATATTCAAAGCCGATATCAACTAACAACCTCTTTAATTAAATAGTTTATTTTGTAAAAGAAAGGAAGTCTAAACCTCACTAACAACACATGATCCAAACTCCAACAAGTAACAATCCAATACTTAATGATATTATGAAACCATTCAACATCTTTGACTAAACAAAGGTTATTCATATTTTTACTAAATACAAAAACCATTGTTTTGAATTCATTAGTTATTTTGTATTTACATTCAATATTATCCCATGAATAGTAATTACTTTTAAAAGATATTGGTAATTTCAGCAATCCAATTATTCCTAATGGTTCAATATTAGGATATATCTGAGTAGACAATTAATAGATTTATAAAGTTTAAATGTTGTTCTATGTATAATGCATGAAATAATTATATGTAAGAAGTGCACAGCAAAATGAGAGAACTAACCAAGGGGTACGAAGGTAAGGGTTTTTTTTTTTTTTCTTTCTCCTCTGAGTTTATTGTTTAATATATCCTGAAGGATAATAGCTGCTGTCCTATTACAAGTTAGTTAGTATGACCTCTTTACAATCTCGGAAGGTTTGCCAGAAGCTCTCTTTAGGATCTCCAAAATTAGACATAGTGTAAGACAATTAACTAGCTCTAGCCTTTGGTGATGATTTACTCCTTGCCAAGAGTGAACATGGACTAATTTCCAGAAATATTTCAAAGATGGCATCCCAAAGAGACAGCAATAGTACATGTTTGATTTTAGCAAGTTAATTGAAAGCCATACTGTAAAAACCTTTACTCCAAAGTCCTTCGACTATCTTCAGATCTGTTAAATAGGATTTTATCCATTAGGTAATCATCAACACATCACACACTTTCCATATAACATCTAGGATCTATATAATATAAATCCTATCTCATATCAAAATAGTATGTTATATCTATGACGCTTATTTCACACATATTAGAATCTTTTTTCTACATCTTCCACCTACATTTACAATACAAGCAATCTCAACCATCTACTGCAAACTGTTTCTCTAAATTTATACTCTCAATAAGAGTCCCTTTATTGTACTCTGAAAAACAGTAACTTTCAAACTTCTTATTTGTGTGAGAGTTTCAATGAATAAGTAATGAGATAGTTTAATATCAAAATTTATATTAAAACAAAAATAGTGTAATGGTCAATCATTTTGTAATGATCAATTTAATTTATATACAATGATATTGTTCAGTTCAAGAATCTATTAATTTATTAAAAATTACAATATTAAAATCTGTGTTCACAGCCGGAGGATGGGGAGGAAGAGTTGGACATAGACTTGTCCGACCCGGACCTGAACAAAGCTGCAACCAAGATCCAGGCATCCTTCAGAGGCCATAGGGTCCGCAAGGATGAACCCAAGCCCCAGTGAACTAGCGCTTTCCTGCTTATGTAGTTACGTCGACTTTACATATCCTCTATTTCGCATATACATAGGTTCCACTATCTAAATGTAAATAATATCCTACTGCCTACGTCAACAACACTTTTCTCATCACCTTAATTATTTAGGCTGTTTACTCAATATTTTTGAGTCCATTGTATATCCGAGAGCCTCATAATATATGTCATGCTCACACTTGCTTTATAAATCTATTTAAATTTGTAAAATTAAATAAAACTAACTAAGATGGATGTGCCTCTTTTCTTTTCCCTATGTACGTCATGCTTTACACTGCTTTCCCGATCAGAGCGAAAATGTTTGTAATATATTTAAAAGCAACAGCTTGAACTTCCAACTAATGCTATGTATAAGAGAGAAATACATATAAATCAGATGAAAGTAGTGATATTTTTTTATTTTTTAGTACAAAAATTATTGCAGATTTTTCACTGAAATGTTTCCTTTTAGCTTCAACTGAAGGACAAGCCTCATGATTTACTAATTTATGGCGTATAAGGATAAAAAACTACCTTAACAATATCTTTAATTCATTAATATTCATATTAAAAAGAAATAATAAATGTGTTTGTCAATAATTTAATACTCATTAGCATAAAAAAATTACATACATATTTACTAATACTTTTATCTTATAAGAATACTGGAAATCAACAAAATATTTCAACAAAAATAATATAATAAATTTTATATATGATTGATTGTACCAATGTGAGTTGAGTTCTATTGTTAAAATACTGCATATTTACTATTAACTGGAACCAAAACTAGCAATTAATTGATAATATTAAACAATGAAAATTGATCTTTTGAAGGCTGCTTTAGAACAAAAGTAGTTTCAAAAAAACCTTGAGAAGTACAAACACTTACATATTCAGTTTTCACGAAATCAGATATCATTTTTTAAAATGTTTTTTCATTTTTATAAACAAATACAAAATGTTTCTCTTTTTATTCTCATTCCAAAGCAGGAAAACAAATATACAGATTTAAAATACTATAAAATGAGGGAACTTTACATCTAGGGGGAGAGAGCAGGAGGTTGCATAACTCCAAAATTGGAATCACCTCTTTGTTACAAACTTTCACAAACAACTTCCTTTTCTATACTAAACTAGCATCTAGTTAGGGGCACGGTGACTGAATGGGCTCATGGGTGTGCAAAGCACCACGAGTTGCCAGGCAACTAGATTTTAGTTTCATAAAGAAGTCATTCCAAAGTCTATCACTCTATTAGTTTTTGCTTACGTCATCAAAATAAAATGTTTAGTTTTAGAGTAATGCTACCCCCATGGTGTAAAGTTCCTCTGTTTTACAGAACTACTGAAAGTGATAAAAATATTCAGATTGTCAACATTGTATACATTCATATAAAAAGATGAAAGTAAATTTGAATATAATTCAAAATCACAGATTAGGCATTTAAGGGAAAATATGAATACAGACTACAATCAATAATTTCACTAATAACAGTGCAAATATTCCAAGCAAAATATGACACCATTATAACTTCACATATCACAGATTTCAGCAGGTAACATTAACATATTTGGTCAATATGACAATCTTCAATAGTTAATGTATGTATAACTGAAAATAATCAAAAAGAAAGGAGAAAACTGGTGACCAAAATAAGAAAGTACTTAAATGTAAACTAATTTTTATAACTTGATCAGTGGGCTGCCAATGTAAAAATTATAAAATTGTCTGAGGAATGGACTAAAGCTGTCAAATCTTCTATCAATCTGGACGCTGAGAAGAGACAAGATGATATTTTGATCAAAAGATAGATTCTTAATAACTTAGTTATAAATAAATTCATTCAGTTACTGTAAAATAGCTCAAGTCAATAATAATAACTTCCTGATCAAGTAATAAAATTTAGGCAAAACATTTTTTTTTTTTTTTTTTTTCCACAATTCACAGAGAACACAGAAAAATATCAATAAAGTGGAAATTCTGACTAGTTAGAATTCATCAATCAAAAGAAATTTAAACCATTTTTTTTTCCTTAAGAAGAGACTATAGTAATAATTAAAAACTATATCATAAGAATAAGAAATTAAAAAATGTTTCAAGCACAATACTATAAAATTAAGATATAAGAATTTAAGGTAATTAATATTTGTAACAACATAAATATTGGACAAAATATAAAAGTATAGAAGGAAGAGCATAATGGTGCTTCTTAAATAGCTGGGCACTGAACCTCCCTTGTTATCTAATGTTACATCACATAACCTCCCTTCTTATCTCCTGTAAGCTGTGAGTTATTCCGTTGTATATTATGAATAATTACATCATTTATTTTTGTTCCATTAGTGTGATTTTCGTCAAATTATGGATGTTATTACATCCTGGGAATTACCGTCTTCGGAAGAAGAGGCTATCAAATATTTTCAAAACGCCGGGATAATTCCAAACGTGAAATTGTGTGAAGAAGGTCATCAAATTAAGTTAGACAAGAAGAAAAAATGGAGATGCTTTCGTACCATTTGTAAAAAAACGTTTCTATAAGGAAAGGAACGTGAAAGAGCAGCTGAAACTATCCCAGGCATACTTAATAGATGCAGGTGTGTCACAGCCAGAGAAGATGTAATAGAATAAAAGCAATACCTAACTTAGTAGAATGGAGTAATATGAGTCAAAAAGGAAATGTGATTTTTTTTTCCAGAAGTTTTAAAGAACCTAAGGTATTGTTAATTTATTTTTACATCCATAGTAATTAATTCAAAGGAAAGGAACTAAGGAAAATTTATTTTTTCAAATCTATTAAAATCTCATCTCTTCTAGATCTATCTCTTCTCAAAATCTCTTCTGATTGCTGGGTAATTTCTAAAACTTCCCAGCTTTTTCACGTTTTATTAAACGGGAACAGTTTAGAGCGAGAGATAATATTTCAGCAAAAACTATACAATTGAAGCATTGTGATGAAAAAGCATAAGTCAATAAAATAAAATTCCACGAGAATAAACTTTGTCATTATAAATTGTAAACAAGAAGTACAAAACTCTCATTAATCTATGGCCCAAAGTACTATGAATCACACAAACAAATCATTTAAACAATATAAAAAATATAATAAGAATAGATTTTTGTGATTATATACTTTTATACTAAAACTCCACAAGTGAAAATTTTATTTGAATATTAAGTGATTTATGAGATAAATTAATTAATACATCTTAATAATATTAATTGTCAAAAAAAAAATGTGAAGGCTAAGACCTTGTCCACAATTACACAGTAGTGGCACATATTAGTTATTTTTCAAGAAACTACTCATTTAATTTACTAGTCACTAGCACTTGTTTTCACAAAATAGGGAATCCACTAATAAAAACAAAATCCTACAAAACAAGAAATTTTTAATCAGGAAAAAATCACTCATCTTTTCATTGCTTCAAATTAGTTTTTATTAAATTAAAATAAGTTTGATTGTTGTTTATATGGTGATATAGTACTCCTCAGATGATGTCTAAAGTGAATTTTTGTAAAAATTGATTTTAATAGAATTAGTAAAAAAAAAAAAAAAAATATCATGAAAATAAAACAATAGTAGCACTAAAATTAAATATTCAAGAGAATATAATTTGTTATTTTATAAAAAAAAATAAATAAATATATTTTAATATTTCTGAAATATATAATTATAAAAACAATTAAATTATGATTGGTTTTAATGAAAATTAGATACTATAAAAAATACCTATAAATCTGGTGATTATGAGGCCTGGATGCGCGAGGGTCGAAGCTAAAAAAACTGAAGAAGCAATTCCTTGCTTGGTGCAAAGGTCGATGCTAAGGTTGGTCAGCCGCTAAGACCAGTCCCATAGAAAACAACATCTTTACTTTATCTTAGTGTGGTCTAGGATCAGTGCACAATGGTGGACAAGGCTTAAGAAAAAATGGTTTAAACTAGCTCTGATTAAATGGACTCATATATAACAGTAATTGAAAAACTAAAACCTGAGATTCAAAATTAAAACTAAATTTACATTAGTACAATAGTGAAATAACACAAAATAGATCTACTTAAATATCATTAACATTCCTAATTAGAACATATATCATAAAAATGGACGGAATGAGACAAGTGTCAGGTAACAAAACTAATTTACAATAAATACTATACAAAACAAGAGATCTGGATGAAAATTGAGGACTTCTTTCATTCACTAGTTTCATCTATAATTTCTTCTTCCTGTTCATGCACTTCAAGTTCATTTCCAGGAGAATTCATTTCTGCATCCATTCCCAACTTTTTCAAAATATCTATAAAAAATATATTAGAGATGATAGATACCTAATTTAAGGTATGAAATACACCATTGATAAAAAATAATCAGGAAATCAGTCAGTAATTTTCAATTTTATAAGCTCATATTTTGACCCAAACATGTGGAGTATCTTCAGGGCTTCAAATAAATCAGAGACAACAGATAAAAACTTAAACATAGAAAATGAAAAATATAATAAATAAATTTATAAATTGTAAAACAAATAACAGAAATAAAATTAGGATTAAAAATAATTAATTCCATTATTCAGTCCTAACCATCCTTAGTTGTTCACCTCAGTTCTTGACATAACCTAGCTGGACTCCCATACTAAATAAAATATTCTCTATTATTTCGTTCTAATTTTGTTTGTTTTAATCTGTTTTCATAAACTTATGTAATTCCATAACTGTTTTTCTATATTATTATTTTTATGCTTTTGTTAAAGTAACTTCTATTTTGTTTTATACAGTTCCTCTATTTGACTTCATTTCTACTTCAAGCAGTCACAAAAAGACTAAAAATAGTTATTCCACTATTTTAGTCTTTTTGTGACAACCACCCCGGACCATCTACTTCCTCTAAAATATACAACGGCCAACCATTACATTACCCTATTACCATTACATCTTTTTGTCTACCAATCTTCTTTTATTTCTTTAATTTTATTTTTATATCAATGTCTGTTGTATCTCTGATTTATTTGTAGTTCAATTCAAACCAAATTGAAATGCCTGCTTACCTAACCAAAAATTACAGTTCAATTTCCAATTTTAAATGGAAAATATTTACACAAGAATGCATAGAATTCATTTGTTTTGGCATAAAAAAGGTGAAGTTGGCAATTAATCAGCAAAGTAAACAAAAAAAATAATATTAATATTTTTTTAAACATTAAATGTGTCAAAGATGATTCATACTTCAAAACTAAAAATTATCCCTCAAACAAATTTCATGAACCTTAAACATACAAAAAAAAACTTTATATAGTTGTTCACTTCTAAATAATTTGGTTATATAAAAATGTAGGGTCTTGTTTAGATTAGGCCCGCCAGTTATATTATCTAGTAACAGTTACTTATTGATAAATTAAAAAATATGGGTTAAAGAAACATATGATTTATTTAATAGGAACTTTTTATTCATAACCAAAAACATTAACATACTTTTAATGAGTTACTTCAGGTACCTCTGGAGGCCAAAATTCTACTATGTCCTTAAGGATTTTATCAAAAAGGTCTTCCTTTGAATTTCTCTGCCTCCACATGAACTCACATAAATACGAGTCTAACATAGAGCGATGAGTCCCACATTCCTTTTTGTTTCTCCTTTTGGCCTTCGCCCACATAGACTCAACTCTTTCAGTGACCAGTCTCTTGGTCGATGAAATTTTTGGAGTGGTATGCAGTACAATGCCTGTAATCCTTTCCAATCATTCCTTCTATCCCATTATAAGACTAACACAGATCAGACATTATAATGGAACCCGATCTAATTGATGTTCTTATACCGTATACATGCCACATTCATAACAGCATTGTCTTTTGTTGCACCTATATTTTTTCCTATCTTCAAAATGTGAGCATTTTTACAATAGCTTTTCTTAGGTCGGATTCCTCTTTCTTCAAAGAAAATTCTGGCTCGTTCCTCTTCTTTGCATAAATAGTAAATTTCAAAAATATTCATCATGTTATCACTTTATAACCGCAATTACACAAAAAATACTAAACTAAATAATATTTAAACATGTGATTTTATTCCTATATCAATGGTATCAAGTTTAATAACAACTGTTACCAAATATTATTAAAAAATCACTGGTGGGCCTAATCTAAACAAGACCCAAAATGTATTCTATTTATTAAGAGGAAAAAGTAATTATAATTAAAAACAGTCATGAAACAGAGTCGGTAATAAATAAATAGTATTATAACTATTAATTAATATTCATACCAATAGTGAATTACAGTAAGAACATACCCTGAGTAATGTAAAAAACAACGTTTTCATTGGGATGGGAGACTTTAAGTTGGTTAACCAATGCTTTAGCCGAAGCTAAGTCACCTTCCCTCACATAGTTCTCCACCATCAGAGCAAATACATCCCCTTTCTTAACCAGATCTCCATCTGCTTCTGCTACTAACATTCGGCAAATATCCATAGCTGCATCACTTTCAGATCTTTCAAACAATCTGAAATAGTAATTTGGTACTCTTTTATTTTATAAAGTCATTAAAAACAATTAATAGAACAAAAACTTACATTTTAAGGAATTATTTTATGGGAGTTAATGTTATTAATATTAAAATAGCATTAATGAACTAAATGTTAAATATATAATGTCAGGCAATAGGAAGCATTGTTGGCCACTACTGTTTATGGAAATCAATGCCAATTACAGTCTATCCTTCAGGTACTATTTTGCAGGTATTGCCCACTGCGCCTATTGCTAGCAGTTGCGCACATCTTTGGTGGAATAAAAAGGAGCATATTTTTTTGTCAATGCTCAGCAGTCTAGATACAATATCAAATCTACACTGCTCCTTCCTGACCTCTCCCCAAGCAGTAAAGCTTGATATGTTAAGCAGTGAAGTGATATGTGACTAATATTAACCTTTTGTAGCATAGACACAACCTAACCTCATAATTCAGCCAGCAAAATAGTATCTTTACAGGAACCTAAATATGCTATAAACATAATTTGATATACCAACCACTAATCTGCCACAATAGGACTATAAGAAAGAAAAGATTTGCTAACAAATCTTTCATAAATAAATATTCTCTCAACATATAAAAATATAATAATAATAATAATAGATATAATAGATATCGCTGTACCGAATGATGGGAACACCAACTCAGTCTGCGCCGAAAAAATACGGAAATATCAAACTCTTGCAGCCGAGTTAAAAGATCTCTACAGACTGAACAAAGTGACAGTAAGGGTGATCTCTAGCAATGGGCTGATTCCAAAATCCACTGTAGAACCTACCGAGAAGTTAGGCCTATCAACAGCTACGATAAATGAAGCCCAGAAAGCTGTGCTGCTGAACACTGCGAGAATAGTAAGGAGCTCCCTTAACATCCAATAAAACTACAAACATTAACGTGAAGTGGTTGAAGTTAATTCTTCCCCACTCCAGGAAAATACCTTTTTTTTTGAAGTGATAAAAATAAATAATAATAATATTTTTAAAAAATAATAAACACTGAGTTTATAAACGGCAGTTGAAAATCAGATTTATAAACCAGACCTATCTCTTACCACAATCACTAAGCATTATCAAAATCAACAAAACAATTTTTTTTAAATAAATTTCTTTGTCAATAAATTAAGAGAAACAGAGAGAAAGGAGAGTAAAAGTGTATTTGTTTACCACCACAAACTGTACAGAGGGTGAACTCGCCATTTGTCCAGTTTCTGAATTCATCTACTACCTAATTCTTCCCTAGTTCCTGACCTCTGAACTCCAATTCATAACAAATTATATGACCCACAATCTCCACACATCTCCTTAATCAGCCATCCAGTTGAGACAGTCTAGAGCCATTCAGAGCTTTCAGAAACTTACGAGAAATTACCTTTCAACACTATGTCTGCAGTTATATTTAGGTACGTACGTGAGGGGCAACATTGCTTTAAGACTCAGTAGGTACCAATCTTTTCCCTTCAATAGCAATTATGAAAAACTTTAAAATATTACATGGCAAGCAAAAAAAAATACTTTATACAAATTAATTTTTACAAGGATAATATCTTTAGAGAGAGGACAGATTTCATGTGTTGTCAAGGTTTGCACCAGTCTGGAACCACAGACTAAATACATCCTCTACACAATAATAAGACAAACCAAAGTGTGCTAAAAAATATATATAAATACCTTTTTGCATCTAAAAATTTGTTAACAAGCGCTATTTTCCTGCTAATTGCTTCCTTAAGGTTTGAATGGTGATCAATATTGGTAAGAGTTTTAGCTGCTTCATTCAAAGCACCCAGCGCTTTGTTATAATTACTGTATTCATCAACTTCAACCTAGAGATCAATTATAATTAAGATATGAGAGACCAATAAAGTACAGAGGATTTTTTTCACTTAACTAATTCAATGATTCATCTAACAGATTAAGAAAATTTATATTAATTACATAAAAGTTAATGTTTCCTTAAAAAAATTAAAATATATTGTTAGCTTATGTTTTATTCAGAAATCAAGAAAACATATAACATATAAATTTAAAAAAAAAATACTCACTTGAGCACAAGCAATATAAAAGTTAGCAAGTAACTGAGGAGCTTTTCCTTTGGTATAAAAATTGACAATATTTTTAAGAAGCTCTGGTTTAGACCTCCAATCAAGCGATTGTAAATAATTAGCAGCCATAACATACATTTCTTTCTGCCTAGACACATTGGCAAAGAATACTATTTTGTCTGTATCTCCAGACTTCAACAGTGCCTTCATAGCTTTCATCTGAAATTAATTTGTAGATCATTTAAAATTAAAAGTAATAAAATACAACAAAATTAATTAAAGTTTTACTTTCTTATTTTATATAAACAACCAAAAAATGTTTTATATTTAAGTATTATATTTTATGTGCATGATAAATATAAGCTAATATCAAATAGTTTCATCAAGTACCCCTTACTCAAGCATCTCCAATATTTTCTATTTTCACAAATTTAAGACAGTACCTTGATCTCAAGATCCCTCATAGAAATCGTTCAGAATAGTATAAACAAATGAATAATAATAATATTTATCTTACAAAAAATTATATGTAAACAAATATTTGCAATTTATCGCCTTACACTTAACTGTTTACCATTTTACAATTGATATTTCCCTAGCATTAAAGAATTGCTTCTCACGCTAAAAAATTTATAACATACTATACACAAGGTTTGTCCGGAAATTTCACATAAAAGTGAGAATAAAAATTGTATCTGACATTTAATCAGAAAATAAAATTGTCAACTTTAAAATAATCCCTTTGACACACAAAACACTTGTATCAACCAAGTTTTCAATACTGAAAGGCTGTTTTTATCATCTCCATGATACCCAAATTCTGTTCCTGAAGCACCCGCTTGGGAAACAAAAAAGAGTCAAATTGTGCCAAATCAGGGAAATAAAGGGATACCATCACAGTAATCGAATTTGAAGCCAAAAATTCACAAAAAGTCAGCAAAGCGGGAGCATTGTTGTGATACAGAATCTATTGAAATCCTCAGGAAGAATTTGGTCAAACACAAACCACAAGGCTTTGAAACATCAATGAATGTCAACATAGTTTTCATTGACAGTAGGGTGTAGAGGAGCAAAGTCTTGGTGAACAATCACCTGAGAATGGGGAAAACAATCAGCTTTGTCTCGATAGTCAACATCAATTTCCTTAACTTTTCCATTTAAAACATTCCTGCTTATGCCATCAGAAATTTTACTGATTAGTTTGTATGCTTGACCTTTCTTCATTATATTTTATTTCTCCTCTACAATTATTTTCACAGAATACATTTGGTATTTGACCTGCATGGCTATAGAGGAGAAATAAAGTATAAATTTCATGTTCAATAATAATGTTTTTTTCACTTTTAGATGAGCTCCTATAAATTTAGCAAAATGGCCATTATTATAGAATACATGTAAACACTACCTTGCTTCCAGCCTGCGTAAACTTTTTGGCAGCAAGATGATAGTTGGCCTGAGCTAAGGCACATTCCGCTAACTTCTCTATGAGGACTATTCTATCTGAGTGATCATCGTCGGGCGTTAATTTCTCTGCAAGCTCATCCGTTAGAATCACATTATGCTCCCAGCAATCCTCGATGGCTCTCACATACTATAAAATGTTATTATAACTTAAAATAAATGTAAAATAACTTTTAAGTATATACAATAAACATTGATGAATGTTTTTAAAAACAATAACTATGTTGACATCATGAGAAAACATTACTCATATGAATAACCAAAATAACAATAACAAAAATAAATTTAAAAAACAAAACCTGTACCCCTACAACTCATGGTCTTGGGTTCAGTAATTATAAAGGAAGTGCTGTTTTAAAGTCAACCGTTGTGAAGGAGGTGATTGAGACAAGATCAAACTCAACTGCCAACTTTTTCCTCTTCATTAATTAATAATCCCCATTTTATAGAAGCTTGGGTATGCTCCAGAAGAGTATCCTGATCCCTAGGTCAATCCACAGCTGATATATACAGCTGGGACTCAAATCCAGGACCTTGAGTATAGGGGCACATTGAATTTCTCAATGAGCTATCCCATTCCCCAACAAAAATACCCCTAACCAACATAATAAATACAATATCCAATACTTTTTTGGAGCATAAGAATGAGGTCAGATTCAGAGAGGTCAATTATTAATGTTTTTTTGCCACTATTTTGGGAAAAAAACATTTCAAATAAGTCATCATTGGATCCAAAACTAAAACAAGTTTACAATCTATTTGAACAAATTTTAAAGATGAAAACAGATGCCCAGTTTTACCGAAATTCCTTCTTGACAAATGTTTTCTCCTGATGGAAAAACATCAAAATATCCTGTTGTAATTTCTTTAAAACATCAGTTCAGTGCTACATTATGAAATTTAACATAATAAAGGAGGAGTAAATACTTCCTATTAAAATACAAATTTTTAATTAATTGTAAAACGTTTTCTAAATAGATTTTTTTATGACCTCTGTAAAGTCTGTATTCTAAAAGATTTGAAGCTATTCATTTTTTACTTTCCTACCTATACTAGGTAAGGAAAGTATTGCAATCGGGTCAAATTTCCGATAGACGGTTTTCGACGGATCTATACGTTTCAGAGCCCGCTGAATCCAAAAAACACATTTTTAGCCATTGGTCTGTCTGCCTGTCAGTCTGTGCCAAGATTTTCTCAGGAATTACTGAACCGATTTTGTTGCTTATTTTTTTATTTTGTAGGGTTTTGACTACTACATGCCTGTGACAGAAATTCGGTGCTCCATGCGCAATAGCTTACGCGCAATAAATGAAAAACACGTTTTTCTATAGACTGTAGCGCAAAAACGGCTCTAACGATTTTGATGAAACTTTCCTATAATGTTCTAACAATTTTCCTTTCAATTTTCGTATAAGGACTAAATTATCCAGAAAATACAGGGAAAAAAGTTATAAAAAAAGGAAAAATGTTATGAGGCCTAACTCCTTAAGTATATATTATACGGTAAAATTTATAATAAAACTTTTGAAAGGTAATTAATTCACCAAAAAACAAAAAAAAATTCAACTAAACATCGTTAGCATGTTTTTTGAAAGGTAATGAAATTCTCTACAAAACTATATAAAAATCGTTCATTTTCGACAAGTAATAACGAAGTTACAGCTATTCAATTTCCAATGTAAGATTAGGGGTTCATATCTTGGTGTCAGAAAGGAGTGAATGAGAGAAAAAAATATGACTAAGTGAAAGTAAGGAAATCTGTGGCCCGCATCACACATGCTTCACTGTTTCCTCAACTTTTAACAGAAATTATTGTTTGACAATATTAAGCTATGGCAAAAAGTTTTTGATCAGCAATATTAGAGAGTATTGAAATTTTTACACTGATCTATCTTAAGCCTGTTTACATTGCTTTAATTTATCAAATAATATCGTATCTTTCTTGATCAATTTTCAGGAAAATAAATCTAGTTCAATTTTTTTTTTTTGTTTCTTCATGAACTTATGTAAAGATATAAAAACTTTTCTGAAATAGGTAGGAAAGTCGTGTGAGTGGACACACCAGATGTTTTATTATTAGATAGAATTATGAAAGACAATCACTTTTTTATTTCCAATCAAAGGAAAAACAGAAAATGAACCAAGATATTCAATAATTTAAGATTTCTTCTTAAATTCCAGAAAATCAGAAGAAAGTGTAGGAAGGAGAAAATGAGGTTAGGAACATTAAGAAGAATCATTGAATGAAACGAAATAAATAAAAGTATCTAAAAGGCAAATCTAATAATGTCACGACTTTTAAGTTTATAAAAACAATTAAAGATTGACAAAGTTAAATAAGAATATATTCTTGAATGAATATATCATTCTTGCACATAAATGAAAACAAACTTATATAAGAAACTAATTCAGAACATAGGCTAACTTTGCTGCCATTAAAAAATTGAACTAATGTTTCTTAAATTAAAAATATAAACAACGGACAACTTATTTAACACAATAATGTTAGTAATAAATGAAGTCAACTACTTAATAGTTTCAATTATGAGCACTAACAATTGAAAAAAAAATACCATAATATTTTAAGATACACATTAATAAATTAGAGAACAAAAATTATAACTAAATAATCATAATACCTGTTTTGCGACAGCAAGTAGGTGGACAGCTTTTTCATAATGGTGCTGGTCTATAAAATACTGAGCACATCTTGTCAACAGATCAGTGTCATTTTCAGAAGTTAATTCTGTAGCAATTTGTTCAACAGCATCAAAATGATTATTCCTACGTAAGCAAAATAATGAAGTTTATTTTTTAAAAAAACAGTATATATGTGCACACTAATGAAGTGAAACTTCTTTGTCATTAAGTGCAAAGTACAATTTTTATGAGTGTGTGATAAATAGTTCTCTTTTTATCAATTATTGTTTTCAAATCAGAAAGAATAGTGTTTGATAATTTTAAATCAAATTTGGTAGTTTAATTTTGAATAACAACTAATTATCATGTTTTAGGGGAAAAACATTTAAATACCTCTCTTTCATAATTTAAAATAGCAACTAAGCATACCGGTCATTGAATTAATTAATATTAAAACTCAAATATTTTTAATAACCAAAAGAAGACAACTATTTTTTTAATTAGAAATTTTAAAAATAAAAAAAAAAATCTTAAACATAAACTTCCTTAAAAAGTAATAGAGCAGTATTAAGCATGATAAGCACTTTTCACTCCTGAGTTTTCCCATTTTGAAATAAAAAATAAATTGTTTGTTTATCTAAGTGGTAAGTAAAATCTCTAAAAACAACAAAATTCTAATTAAGGAGTAAACTGATTATTACAATTTTATAATTTATCATCATACATTTAACCTAGTTTAAAGAAAGTGAGCTCCATATACATTCAAGGATGGTTTACCTAAATGCGAGATCTAGAGCCCTGTGAAGCATGCCGGCCTTGTGGTAGAGTAGTACTGCTCGCTCTGGAGATGAGTGTTGAAGAAAATTTGCGGCTTCAGCTTGCTCCCTCCTCCCGGCAGCAAGGGCCAAAGCCCACAACTGGTCCTCTAATCCTTCCTCCTGAATATTTCATCTTTCACAGTGAATGAATAGATAAAACCATTTATGATAACAAAGGTCAAATATTATATATTATTAAATTAAAGGATCAAGTTAATAATAAATTCATTACTATTGAATACATGAATACTAATTACAGCATCTTTAAACCAATAATAAAAAAGTAATGAAAATAATAAAAGTAAATAGAGAGTATTAATTAAATATAAATAAGGACATGCATAAATAAATAACTAACCTTGCAAAGGCGGATGGCATTATTGTAAGCAGTGGCAACAGTATAAAAATGAACAGCTTCCTGAATGCGACTCCGATGCTCAAGATGGCGAGCTAAATGATTGCATGCAGCTTTATCATTGCTGTTCTCTGCAAGGACTGTTGCCTTCTCTGTCTCCTTCAGGTAACATAAGACTCTGACCAAAGAAAACGTGTCTCCAGCCTCTTCATAGAACTTTAAAGCAATGTCCATCTGGCCAGTAGATTCCATATACTGTGCCCACCACTTCAACAGGATTCTGAAAGAAAAAAATCAACTAGAATTCAGATTAAAATGATTAATTGATTGAATCATATGATTCATTTGTTTGTAAAAGAAATATTCCGAACTTTATTTATTAGACAGATAAACACTTTTTCCATTCTATGGGAAAAATGAAATAAAAAGTAATCAGTTTTTATTCTAAAAAGTAATCAGATTTTAAGTTTTAAATTCTGTTAAAACTGGAAGCCTAACTTCAATCAATTTTATCGGGATCTGGTCAGAGCTTGAGTCCAATGACCTGCAATTTGGGTCAGTAGAAAAAAATTAAATAAGGGTGTCAGAATTAAATAAGGAAGGGGATCGTTTTCAATTTCAGAAGACTATATATAACAGATATATAACCAGATATATATTATTATACGGGATACATCTTCTGGAATGGAAGAAAATAAAAAAAATTGCTGAATAAAGATGATGAAACTTTTACTTATATTTAGATTAAAATTATACTCATCTGAAACTTTAGTACACATAAAATAAATTGATAATGGCGTAGGTTGACAATACTAGATCCTGTTACTTTTTTCATCTGTACCATGCTTATAATAACTGGTTGAAAATGTGGATGAAGTGAAGTATTTTGATATATCAAGTTGAATGAAGAAAGTGCACAAAATAAATTGGTTTTGGTACCTATCAACAAAACTGTAAGTATTTTAACACAAATTAACTTACGGATCTTTACTATTAACAATGTATTTTTCAAGGGCTGGAGTATTACACAATAGCATCCTTGGAACCTCATGCCGATGGGTTTCAGCCCGATAGTACATGTGACTTGCCCCATCAGTGTCTCCTTCACTCTCCAAGTACCTGAAAAAAAAAAGAGACGATTCAGGTATTCATTTCTGAGTTATGATAAGCTAACTAAGTGGTTGTGAACAATCTTTTTTTATAAATAATAATTAAAATATCAAAATTATAATGGAATACAGTGAGTTCTTTGTAGTATTCTTCAGTTTTTTCATAAAAGATTAGAATTTTGTGATGATAAAACATTACAAACATCATTAAATATCATAGTAAATAACATTAGTAATAATGAACTGTAAAAGTATTATATCAATATAAAATAGGTATTAATAAAAAATAAATATTTCATAAAGTATCAGAATAATAATAAATATTAAAAAAAAATCTTATTAAAGTCAAAAGAAAATGACCACCATTTCCCTTTAAAAGTTTAATACAGGAAAATTGTCTCCATCCAGTTTTATTAAATTCACAACTAAAATAGGTTATTATAAAATTAATTTGGAATGGAAAATGTTTAACATAATGCAAACCTGAAAAAAAGAGTGCTGAAGAAATAGGTCTACATATATAATAAGACTTTAAATGCACCAACTAAAGCCTGTAATGAAAATAAAATCTGTATTCCTACATCTTCCTTTAAATGGCAACTTACTTTCCATACTGATGATACGTATTCTTTAGATGAATTCGATCATATTTTTGGGCAGTTTCTAAGGCCTTATCCCAAAGATTTCTTCTTTGATAGAGTTTGTTCTTAATATCAAAACGGTTGCATTCAGTCAGCAATTTCTCAGCTTCCTCCTATTAAAAAAAGTTCATTAAAATAGAAAACAAATCTGGTTAATAACTTAAAAGTATTTGTCGAGAAAAAAAAACATTGTAAAAGAAAAAACAAACCTACATATACTTCTGCAGAAAAAATGTTAACTAACAAAAAAAAAAAACTTACACTCATGCCAAGCCTCATAGCCAGTATGGCAACCCTCACTGCTTCAGGCTCATCCTCCGCCTTGATGAGCTCTGAGACTCCTTTTGAGTCCCCCATATTGCCAAGACAGATCTTAGCTACATCCAGGCGCCTAGTTGTCACACACATCCTTGCAAGGTTTCTCCAGATCACTACACCACTGTTATAAAGCAATTAAAAAAATATATAAATAGACTTACAAAATGAGGAAGATTGTTCCATTTAAAAATATAGCCATCCATTTCAAATTAACAACTAAAAGAATTTGTTATATTCAATATTACCAATGCAATATTATTCATCAACTTAAAATTAATAAATTGATGATGTTAATAAATCCAATTATTTAATACGAACAGTAAATTGTTAATAAATGGTTAAATGTAATGGTATATCTGGATCTGATGTGATGAGAAAGGAATGATTACGTAAGATATATTTTATGTCTCTTATTTATTATTCAACACTATATTCATTCGTTCTTCCTGGAAAAAATTCTAGTTCTGGCACTATTTGGAGACATTTTTACTATCCTATCTTTCATTGTTTTAGCTAATAATGGTGATATCAATTTAAAAATGAACAGGAGGTTATTCGTTATTTATTTTGTTTTGTTTGTTTTATGAACTTTTATTTTATTATATTATTTTTTTTTCAACAGTTCATAAGAACTGTTGTTTCTTATGACAAGCAGTAAAAGAGGTATGAGTTGAAATGGTTCTGGAAGAGGCAGATGTGGCTCAGGAGGCAGAGTTTACCAACAAAGAGGAAAAAATAATTTACTACACGAAAAATAGGTGAATAAGTTTAGTTTTGTCCTATTCCCTGAATTCCTTATAAATAAGCCGAAAAATGAATTGCGTAGAGACAGGTCAGCATTGTTCATAGAGTCAACGCTGAAGATTAAATACTAACAGGTTTAATTAATCGGTATAATCCAAATGAATTAATTAAAAGCCAACCTTTTCATACTACAAATACTTTTGAAGGCTTCATCCACATCACCAATACTTAGGCTAAAGCTGAAGTTAATCACAGCATTTTTAGTAGCAGAATCACAATCTTCAAGTCCTTCAAAATCCTTCATTACTATTCTATCCACCATAATTTTCTAAAAAAAAATTGAAATAATAATTGAAATTTTATTTTATTAGTAATCTTATTAATAATTATGCTAACAAAGGGAGGTCACGGACATGGGGGCACCGACTTCAATGAAACTTTTTTTGGTGATACTAGGTTGAAAAATATTTTACCCATATCCGAGGTTTCTTGCCAATGTACCCTAAGAGTCTAGAAAAAAAATTTATAAAATTTTGTGATTTTTTTATATCAATGTTTTTTTACTTTTCTCTGAATGAATTTCTAAGTTGTTGTATATTAATTAATAAGTTTTTATGTAAAATAAGAAAATAATATTGCTAATTGTGTTAATCAAATTCTAATGTACAATAAATTACAAAAACCCAAAGACCCTTCCAGTAAAGCAGACCAAGTAAATTTTTGTCATGAAAAAACGATTCAGATTTGTTTTTAGCCTCTACTAAAACTCATAAACACAAGTTTGTTTCAAAATCAAAAAATATAAATTTTTGGATTTTTTTCAAGCTGTTTGCTAAAATATTCATAACTTCTCAGAAATTTCTTTTAAGTCAACTTTAAACTTTAAAGTGAACATTATTACAAGTGTTGGAAAATTTAATTATTGCTTTTCAAAACTATATCCTGATTTTTAAACCTTCCTGATAAACTTCCTGATTTTTCACCTTTAAAAGGCATAAATAAAGAAAAACTCTCCAAACATTTTAATTTTTTATCACCAAGCCCTTTTTTTATCCCTTATTTTTTATGTATATTATTAGACTCTAAATGGATGCTAATTTGTGTATGAATAAGTGGAGCCATGTTGAAGTTATCACAACTTTTGTGATTTTTTGAAAAAAAATCAAGAAGCGAAAATTTGAAGCAAAAAGTTTTATTTTTTGATTGGTAGGGAAATTCGTATTTAAGAGTTTTTGAAGGTGCAAAATATAAATCTGAACTTTGCTTCTCCTTAAAAAAATATTTGAACCCACTTTACTCCTTAGGTCAGTACTAATTGTTTCAATATTGTATGCACTTATTCTATAGCTGTATGCCAAATTTATATTTTTTTCTGAACCGGAAAGGTATCGAAAGTAAGGTTGTATTCACAAAATCTGGTATTTTATCGAGATTCAATCTGAAAATAACAATAAATCATGTATTGTACATATTATACACGTATTATACCATGAAATATATTTTTGGAGGATAAAAAAAGATTAGATTCATTTTTCTCACCTCTAAAAAACCTTGAAGAATTTCCATTGTAGTCGAAAAATGTAAATTTTTCGCTCTCTATTCTGTCTTCTATTAATAGCTCTTATGAGATCTATCTATGTTTATAGCATTATAGTAGACTAGTTGGCCCGTGTGAATAATTCATAGAAAATTTTGTTTAGTGAAGAAATAGCAAAACAATATGGAAATAAGTAGTTCCTATTTATTATGTAAGGAAGGAATTAATATTTTTTCCTTGGTCGATTACAATATTCCATTAAACATAATAGACAAAAATATTTGTACAAATTATTTTGCTAAAAACTATTTTTAAACACTGACTGGAAAGATAATAAAAGTAATAAAGACAAAATAATGCCCTGATCATGGGATTTTCTAAATTATTAAAAAAAATAAAATGTTAGAACAACCAAATGTCTTTAAGAAATAATAAAGTTAATATATCAGCCAGGAAAAAAAGTGTAGTAGACTATTCTACTCCTAAATGCAATATCTTTAAACAGGAAGACATTATTAAGTATACCAAAACTAATGGACTGTATCTTTGTTAATAATTGTCCAATTTTTACAATTTTTTTGTTTTGTTTTCTAGGAAATTTAGTAATCTTTCTAATTCTCATGGGTACAATCAAGAAAAAAATGCATACTTTTTGAGTTATTCGCAAATAAACTTTCTATCCTTCATAGCTTTTTTTCAGGAATTTCGGGGGGATAGGACTATTTTTAGCATGCGAAGGAGAAGAATACCTTCAAAATGAGTGGTCAATCATTGGGTTTGATGAAGAATTGACAAAGTTTTGGCGTACCAACAAAAAAACACATTTTAGAAAAAATATATAGGATATTGAGGACATTTTTATTGCAATCGAAAAACAAATTAATTTAACTTTACAAGTAGCTACTATAAAGCTGTAAATATAGAAAAATAAATACATAATTACTAAAAATAAAAACATAAGTAAAAAAATAATTTAGCTTTCCAATGATTGTTGTAATGTTGACTCAGAAGAAATTCCTGATAAGTTATGAATATTTTAGTAAACAGCTTGAAAAAAAATCCTCTCAGAAAATGAAGTCCAAAAATTTATATTTTTTCGTTTCAAAACAAACTCATATTTAGTGAACACTAAAAACGAATCTGAATCGTTTTTTCATGAAAAAGATTTACTTGGCCTAATTTACTGAAAGCGTCTTGGGTTTTTGTAATTTATTGTACATTAGAATTCGTTTAACACAATTAAGAACATTATTTTCTTATTTTTCATTAAAAAAAACAAATTGATTGATATATAACAACTTAGAAATTTATGTAGAGCAGAGTGAGAAAACATTAATATAAAAAAATGAAATTTTATCTTTTTTTTTGCCTCCTTTTTTTCAGCTCGTACTGTCAATATTTTTCGACCTAGTATCACCAAAAAAGTTTCATTTAAATCAGGGACCCCACATCTGTGACCTCCCCTTGTATGTGAATCTTATTAATATTACCTGCTGAGAAGGTGGTTTCTTTGCTACGACAAAGTAGGGTATGCTCACAGCTAGTAATGAGACATAGTCATCATCCATCGACAAAGACTCTCTTAAGAGAAGGCCATGTTCAGCAGAAGACAAGAAGGAAACCAAAATCTTTAAAAATTAAATAAATAATTATATAGTTATCAATTTAGTTTTATTTTAAGTAACATTCTACCAATGATTGGTATAAAACCAGATATAATAATAAACTAACATTAATAATTGCAAAATATAACAGTTTGAACATTTGTAAAAGTTTATTTGTTAATTTTATTTTTGTTTGATCAGTTAGAAAATAGAACAAAGAATTTTCAGAATTCAATCACTTAAAACAGAATATTTGATTTTATTGATATTTTAAGCTGTGCTATTATACATGAAAACAGGAACAGAGTAAAACTCGGTAAGATTTATTAAATTAATAAGAAATAGGAACTTACTGTAGTTGGAATCAACACATCATATTTGGAAATATCTCTAGGGTATCTTTTGGAGGTATTTTGGGATGAGGATCTCTTGGCTTCGCAGGCAAATAACTGAGGTTCATCAGGATCCCATAACACTGATGTAACAAATCTTGTTGGTTCACTGATAAAAGATTAACAAAATAATGAAAATTAATTTTTTTAAAAAGATAATTTTAATATGGTTGTAATATAATTTTCCTAAAATATATAATCACATTATTTAAAAAAAAAAATCTAAAATATATGATAAAGTAGTATAGCTCTCAGGAGTGATTAATATTTATGAATGAGGTATCAAATCTCAAATGAAAGAAGTGACAAATCTCATTATTTTTATCTTTAAATTCCTGCAACAACTTTAATAAAAGTCATCGAAAAAATAATGAAGTTTCAAATCTTATGAAGAACTTTTTTTATATTTTTCATAAATAAAAAAATACCCATGTATGGACATTTTTCTCCTATACCCTCTGTAATTAATAATACCTACAATAGACTTCTACACTATTAGAGAGAGAACTATAAACCAAGACTCTTCTGTACCAAACAAATAGGTTTTGAGCCATTACAATAATGGATTTACAATTATGATATTTATTTCATTAATTTGATCTATGCTGCATTTTGATCTATGTAAATGTTTTTTTAGTTAATGATAAAATATTATTCATAAATAATTATTTTTTTATTTTTAATCTCTAAAGATTTGGGAATGATATCAAAATGGATGGTTATGCTGTGAAAGATGCACTTTAAGGGTGTTGTGAGGAGTTAGAATTTTAATAATGGAAATGTTATACTAGTGATGGGACTTGTTTCAGTCCCGTAAGCTAGTAATCTTCAGTCAAGTCTAGTTGAGACTTCATGATTCGGTGTCTTAAAATGTGAATTTGTCACAAATTATTCATAAATAAAAATTGCATTAATTGATCCATAACAAACAATACTAACTTACAATGTTATATGCATAAATAAAATATTTTAACATTATATTAAGGTGATTAATCAATAAAATTCACTAAGTAAGCATCTCCATTTACATAAAAAATTTAATTTTTTAACGTACTTATCAGCATTGAAGAAATAGGACTGAACACTGTCCACGTCTATATTCCACAGGAAAACTGCAGGAGATGGTAAGAGATTGTTCTTAGCTATAGTAAAAGCAACCCTTGTTCCAGCTGAGTTACATACAGCAGTAATGACCTCACCAAAATCTGCTATAGCCTCAATCAAATCCTTCACTTTAGAATGTGGTCTGGCTTCTCTACAAATCAATACAAGAATTTGTATTAATGTGGGATAGCAAAAATAAACTAAATACAACCAAAAAAATTTACATGCATCTACATAAATAGATGTTAAGAAACTATTTCTATAGATTTTTTTTTTGTCACATTTGTTAATTTTTATTTATATACATTGTTTATGTTTTTGTTTTATTTACAATAATTATTTGGTTTAATAATTCTTAATTTTTACATACTAACATTTTTCATTTATTTATAACAACAAATCATTTTCTTATCATACTTCAATGTTTTTATTATTGTTTTGGTTATATAACCGTTATCTCATTTGCATGTTTCATCTTTTTCTTCCCTAATACTTTTCCATTTATCATTTGCCTGATTTTATTCTTTATTCCTAATATTATTATCTTATTACTGCTATTCTTCAATCTTACACTTTTATATTTATCATTTTTCTGATACTATTTTTTAGTTTGCAATTTTTAGCCATGATGATGTTTTGGTCGAAAAGTCGGATAACTCATTAAAGAAATTTTGACAGAAAATTCTAGACAATTTTTTTTCATCCTTAAATGCAACAATGTTAGAGTTACTTACTTACTAACTATGCAACTCTACAGCCCGGGGTGGACCTTGGCTTCTTGGATTACAGCATGTCAATAATCATCTCTATTTTTCACCTTATCTTTCCAGTTTCTTGGATTTTGGTTTCTTAATGGTTGATTTTTTTTACAAGTTGGGGTTGTTGGCCCCATGCCCAACCTCCAACCTGAAGAACTAGGTCATTTGATTTTGGGGTTTTTGTCCCCTAGTCTGGTTGCTTTCACCACAGTTAAGTGGTTAATGTAGTGCTTAATGTTAAAGTTAGGTTATGGGAAGTGCGAGATTACTAATATGGATACTTTAGAATGATTATTGTTCCACCATACATTTATGTTAAACTATTTTTCTATAACATCTACCTTCTAGAAAGATCCCAAAGCTGTAATAAACCAGTTATAGTTGATATTGTCATGAAATGACGCGTCAAGCTGAGAGTGATAGGCTGGCCATCAGTTTCAATGTTCTGTTTGACTGTTCCTTGCAGAGTGACAACTTGTAAACGACCTGAGTTTGTTAGCACAACAATACTCTGCTCCCAAACTCCAGCATACATGCATTCACATTCAAATGAACCTAGAAATATTTTCAATTATATAAAATATACTAATCAAAAAATATTTGTATAAGACCTGTTGACAGAGAAACTATTTTTTTATATGAAAACAAATTATAAGTACAAGCAATTATAGTTTTAAAAACTCACCTATGGAATAAACAGAGATAAACACTAAAAAACCTGAAACCAGAGAGCTATATCTATTCTAGAAAAAGTTGAAAGTGAATAACTTCAATGCATCAATTTTAAACATAATTTAGTTTAAGTCATTTAGTTCTGTTTAAAATGTATGCTTCCGTGTTCTTTAAAATAGCTTGGAATTAAAAAGAGTATATAGAAAGAAAAATATACAAATATCTTTCACTGATATTGATATCAATATAAAATTACTTATGAACAACACTATAAGACAATATTCATATTCAATATTATTAATGCAATATGCAATACTTTAATAAATATCATTTAACTGAAGAAAAGTTTATTGGGGTTTTCAGTCAAATTACTTTGTACGAGATCATTCATCTGAAATCTTTTCAGTAGATCCTCCTGGTGAAGGCCTGAAACTTAGGCCGAAATATCGGCACAAAGGGAATAGAAATAAGTATAATTGATTTATTTTTACTTAGTATTTTGACTGAAAAATTCAACAAACTTCTCTTCAATTTTTACTACAGTCAACCATCAATCCACTATTATTTAACTGATTCTATTCTATTTCTTTTGAATGAAAACCATGGTTTGAAAGAACTTTCCTGGGTTAACTCAACCACAGATCCTTTGACATGAGTCACATTGTAAATCAATTGATTTATAGAATACCATAAGTCAAGAACCAGGGGCTTATACCAGCGCTACTCACAATATTGGAATATTGTTTAGAAATTTGGTAAAAATGTTCCTAAAATCTCTAAAAAATAGATTTTTAAAAAATATCACAATTGATCCATTATTAGCAAAGATATTGATGGTAACAAAAAACAAGGTCAATCTCATACTTAACACATATGTTGTTAAGTACAAATTTTATAGTTTGAAGTAAAAAAATATTTAAAACATGATAGCAATCCGTTTTTTTTTTTTTCGTTTCTTTTGTATTCTTTTCTCTTCCCATATTTTCTGGATTAATTGTAGTAGCTTGGCTTTTAAGTCGTCTCTCCCATTTTCTGATGGAAAAACAGTTCTGATGGTAGGTTGTCTATCCCTGGTGCCTTTCTTACTTTAAGCCTTTTAATAGCTATTTCTACATCCAGTTTATCTGGTTTTTCAACCTCTTCTCGCTCGAGGTCCTCAACCTGGTCCACGTCAACATCGTTCATTGGGTCTCCGATTGAGAAGTTTCAGGATATGTTCTTTCCCGATGCTCAATATTTTTTTTTTAGGTGCCCTCGGAATGCCTTCTTTTTCTCACATCTGCATAATTCTCACTTTATATCCTACCATTTCTTTCCTAATGCCTGCATAGAATCCACATATATCTCCAGCCTGCCAGTTGTCCTCAATGCTTTGCAATCTTTCTTTGAGAAATTCCCTTTTTGACGATCTTATAATTTTGTTCTTCTTTTTCTTGGCAGCTGTGTACTTGTCCTGAGCAACTTGATCAGTTGTAACTAGAGACAGAGGACTTTCATTTTTCTTTTTTCCTCTACTGTCTTTTTGTATGCTTCTGTGAACCACATCTTAGCTTTTCATTTCTCCTGGAATACCAATCACATCCTTAGCTGTTTCTTTTATTCCTTTCTCTATGTCCTCTCAATGTCCACCATGAGTCCCTCCGAGTCCAAGGGTTCGAATTTATTTTTCAGTTCAAGCTGGAATTTGGTTTTTACTTCAGGATTTTTCAAATTACAGACTGCGTATCTCCTTCTTTCCACTTGATCTCCTGTTTTGTGAATTTGCTTCAATCTCTGACATTTTTATTCTAATCAGAGAGTGATCCGAACCACAGTTCCACAATAGCTTCTTATATCTTGTATTGAGCTCTGATGTCTCTTGTCTACCAATACAAGGTCAATTTGGTTTATCACTCCTTTGGGGCTAACCCAGGTGTACTTGTGGATATTGTTATGTACGAACACTGTACTGCTGATGACTAGACCTTTAGGTGCTGCTAGACTGATATATCTTACTCCATTGTCTTTGATATTTTCGTGAAGGCTTTGGCCACCAATAATGGGCCTGAATTGGGATTCTCATCCAATCTATGCATTGAAGTCATCTATGCCTAATTTTATGTCGTATCTATGAACTTAGTTTTTAGTTTAGCGGGGTAAAGTTTATGGTTGATTTCCTTGCCGCTGGACTAACTATAAAACCCATGCAGGGTATCGATTTTTTATGATTCCTCCAAGAGTAAAATGGTTTATGCCTATCGATAATGGTTTCGCCACCTTCTGGCCATCTTACCTCTTGAATGGTTGTTAATGGTATGTTATACCTTTTTAGTTCTTTGACTACTGTTTTTGCGGCTCCTAGTCTGTATAAACTACATACATTCCAAGATCCAATGTATAGTCCATGATTCAAAGCCAAGGTATTTACCGTGTTTAGACAGCCTGATTTTTCAAGGCTTCGTTTTGGTTTTGTAATAATATGTTTTTTCCAGAATAGGGTTATTAGCGCTATTCCCAATCCTCAACCTGAAGGATACTGGACACTGTTATTTCTGATATATTAATTCTCTTTGCTTCTTTGTATATTTACTTGATGTTCACCTAATAGATTTGTGGAAACATAGATTTGACATTTTGCAAGAGTTTTTCACCATTTTAAAAATAGTCATTTATAATATCTGTGAAGTTAACCATTTAAATAGCCAGTTGGAATTCTTCTAAATGTTTTGGTTCATTATTTTCAATTATTACCATTTGTAATGCAACAGAGAAAAAAAAATTCTTCACGCTCAAAGTTTATTATGTTTATTTATTTCTTTATTATATTACCATTTAGTCACAGGCTAATAAACCAAGCATATTATTCATATATGCCAACTCGTTTGTATAACTACAAATATATCAATGTATAATTTCCTCGTAGTAATCTGTATTTCTGAAAAGTAAGTTGTTAGTTTACAGTTTATTAAATTTGTATTAATCCTTTGTATCAAACCATGGTTGTGGAGTGCCGTTATAACAACACACAGTATTTTAAAAGAGTGACGAAGTTTTGGCCCAAGTTTTGTTTTTCTCATTTTCTACCTAGTCATTTCTGAAATATGGGGTATTCTACAACTGATCAATTTTAATCAGAGTAGGAAGGTTCATTATTATTGCTCAAGGTTATTATTCAATTAATAAGGTTATCTTTTCATTCCGTGGGTCAGCTACAAAATGAATTTCAATCAGCCTAGACCAGATTCAAACTGACCCTGGTAGACTGAAGGTGGCTAAGGTTTTGAACATTAGATCCTTCACAGTCTGGGATTGAAAGCTTTTTGTTGTTTTGGTAAACATTTTTCATTTCATGATAGTAACTGGAGAAAGTTTTCATTAGCTTTTGAATAATTATTAACAGATAAAATGAAAGTGAAATAACTAAAATAAACTTATTAATTTGGAAAGGCATAATATATTTACTTATATGAGTATTGCTCTGATTACTGAATATTCCAAGTTTTCTGATATAAAATGTTGTGGAATATATAAATGCCAACGTCAACCAACTATAGTACCTAAGCAAAAGTAATTATAATATTTTAAAAGACACTAAAGGGTTAATATTACCTACAACACTAATTGAAGATATTGGGTTTATATGATAGACTGCAATCACTTTTCCACTCCAAACAGCAACAACTTCCTTGTACAATGAGACGCCTAATGCTTGAAGATCTGTGTTTAATTCAGCAGTTTCATCTCCCTTTGAAACAACTAACTGTGTAGCTGAAGTCTGAACAACTGATACCTAAAAAAAAAGCACAGAGTAATTTATTTCAAAGAAATAATAATTATACTTTTATTTACACTAACATAATAGGCAAGCTAGAAAAACTTCTAAAATATTTTAATTCTAAATCTGTAAGTACTCTTAATGTTAAATGATAAAAAAAGTAATAAATATATATACATATTAAGTGATGGATTGATGAGGCCGAATAAAAGATAAATTCAATCAACTATGTTTTATGCCATCATCAATCTGTGGCAAAATATAACCTCAATAAACGGACATTTTTAACCTTAGCCATATTTTAATTATTAAAAACATGATTTTAAAAAATATTACACAGGGAAGTGGTTATAAGTAAATTATGAACAAAACAAAATCAGTTCACTGACTCCGGTCTGCGAAATTTTCTTGGATTACATGGTAATTAAAAATAATTATTCATAAAATATGAAATTTAGTAAATCACTTCAACCCAAGATTACTCAGTAATTTAATGACTAAAGCAAATGATTTTAATTCGATTTCTGCTTACCCTCAACATTTTTCCCAAGAAAATTTGTCCAAATATTTTAGAACTGTGTATTAAAACTTAGTGTATGTATAAAATACTGCTTATTGTAAATATAGTGTTTTATTAAAGGCTATTGTCTCCTTTATTCTAAACTAAAATTTTTATAAGAGTTGTGAAACTAGATTTATCTTTTTTCTTTTTTTTTGTGATTTGTGACAATTCCATTTAAACAATCAATTATATCCCAAATGTTGAAAAAATAATCCTAATAACTTAATAATGATAGAAAGTTATTGTTGATGTACTTTTTAATAAAGGAAAAGATTAAATAAGAAATGTTCAAACTACCAAATTTCTAAATTTAGTAAAAATGGCCAGAGTTGTAAACAGTAAAAGAATAAACTCGTATAAGAAGTTAAAATAACTGTCATTCTAGCAAATACCATTACAATAAGGAAAGGCCAGTATAACCATTAAGATTAAATTACTTTTTTTTGCTATTTGAGGCAGGAACCCAACAGTGAGCAACAGGAGTTGACTGTGTTTTCCAAGGGAGACAATCTATAAAGGGCAAGAAAGCAATCAGTAATTGACTGACTGTTTTTAAGGTAAAACCAAACCTATTCTAACCAAAATGGGAAGTTCAAGATTTAATCCTTGGGTCCACCATAAAATAAATTTCTACCTGCATTGGGCTGGATTCGAACTGGCGAACTGAAATCACTACGGTGGGGGCTCAACAGACTAGCCACCATGACCTCCTCCAGAACAACTTGAAATATATTTTGCAACAGACCCATGGAATGAATAAACAACCCCATGAGGCAAGAATCTTCATGTAAATCGAAAGTATGCCTATCTCAATGTATAACTGGATATTTTATCATAGATAATAAAAGATTAAGACAATAGTGATGGTGAGCACAGATGTACTAAATGCAAATTTGCAAAAATTTAATTTACATCTATGCTCAAGGTGAACTTTATTGCACTTGTCACAATTAAAACAGCTATTTTCAAAAACAAATATTCAGATATCACTTATCACACTTCATTAAAACAATTTTTACATTAATTTACTTGTACAAGTGCATTAAAACACATTTTAGTTTAAAATTGCACAAAACCACATGTTGACACAATATTTTCAATATATTATAACTTCTTTAGTTTCCAGAAAAAAAAAAAAAAAAGGTAACCATCAATAAAGAACAAACCAAAAAATACTAAATCAACGAGATGGGAGGGATTGACTCTAATTTAAAAACAAATAAAGTAGCAATAATTCAAAGGTAATTACTAAATTTGATTTTTGTAGAAAAGAGATGAAACAGAAACAGATATTTATTAAGGAAAAAACAAAAGAACACAAATTAATATAAAAATAATTATTTCATATAAACAACAAATATTAATTACTCCATCATGATAGGTAGCGGAGAGTGGTTGCTCCTTTAACACATATACTGTGCCAGAGGTGTTGACAGCCAGTTGATTTATACCCCAAGCTGCCTTTAGGATGTTTTGTTTCACTTTTGTTGAGGCCACTTGCTGCCAGGCTTCAAAACCTTCACCACTAACACGCCATATCACAATAAATCCAGAATTAGTGCAAGCGCAAAGCAGCCCTTCAAAGGAGAAAAAAGATTGAAACCAAAATGGTTCTAATGATTCTGAGAATAAACATGTTTTAAAGTTATGAAGAAAAGCAAATTTCGTTTGGACATAAATAAAAAATTACACATTTAATTGTGAATTAAAAACATACATAAGCACCTAAAAGGTAATCAAATTCTCAATAAATCAAAACAATCCTCTAAATTAAACCAATATTACTAAAAATACAGCGCATGAGAATTTTTACCCATATTTTTGTTTTATGAATTCTGGGCATATTCTCATGGAAAACAACTTCTTTTAGTTTTTTAAAAACTAAAAAACAACACATCTCCCAGAATATTCACCTTTCAATTTCGAAAATGTCAAGCTGATGATGGTCTGTTTATTTGGTTCATCTGCGTTTGACACAGTTATGGAATAAGTGTCGCCAGTGGTAGGTTGCCAAAACCTGATTGTGAGATCACCAACAGCACATGCTAACAATCCAGGGCCAGCCCACACAATAGTGTCACGACCATTACTACTTCCACTCAATTTAACCTAGAATAAGAGAAGGAAAATTTACTAAATTTAATAAGTAGATAATTAAACTGATATGAATTAATTATTATTATTTTTTGCATAGAATTATTACTTTTGACATTTCATGTAAACTTCCAGATGTATCTACAGAGTAATAATTCATATTGAGACCATCAAGGACAACAAGAAGATAGTCTTCACTCTCATGATGAAGAATTAACTGAATGTTTCCAAGGGATGAAAGGACCTCTTGTTTAGAGCCAGATTCATTGACATGAAATACAGAACCTAAACAAGTAATAAATAAAAATTATTCAACTTTTTTTCTAAATCTTTACTGTGAAAGTAACTCCATCTTATAAGCCTATAAAATTCTGAGCAATGAAATATGCTTCCATATCTACTTAACTACAATGGTAGAATGTTAGTGACGTAGGTGCCTTTAAAATATCAGAATTTGGTACAATATTCAGGTTTTCCACATCGAAACGATACTCAAAATCCTCCTGAAAATACTTTAATATACTTTCAATATATTTACGTACAGATGAAACTCGGCAAGTCGACGGGACTGGATGGAATCACTCCAGAAATGATGATTTATATGGACACTAAAGGATAGGAGATGTTTCTAATTTTCCCCATGGAACAGATTGAGAAGGGTAAAGAGCCCTCAGTACGCTTCGTGGCCCTATGTAAGGCCATTGACCAGGGTAAGAAAAAGGTTGAAAATTGTTGAGACTCCCATGGAGAAAGGAGTAAACGACAGACTTATCAGGGCTGTAAGCAGTCTGTACCGCAGAACAAGGAATCTGGTGAGAAAAAGTAACCATACATCTCTAGAATTCCAAACAATCCAGAGTATACATCAGGGTTGCAGCTTGAGTCCTCTTCTTTATGTATTGAGTTTCAATTTGGAGCTGCGAAGAGCAAAAGAGAAGATGCTAAACTTTCACCTGGTAACAGGAATATGGAGCCTAACCCTTTACTCCCTTTTTGTGTTTGCTGACGACCTTGTCATATTGGACCAGAATGACAGTGATCTAAGGAAGAATTGAAAGCGATTAATATGAAAATCAACCTGCGGAAAATGAAAAGCATGTACATTGGAAGGAAACATCACAGTGTTATGAGGGAATTGAAAGTGGATGGTGTGAGTTTTGAGCAGGTAGATAGTTTTAAATACTTAGGAGCTCAACTCAACGAAAGTGTATAAATCGACAAGGAGGTGAGGCACAAATAGGGACAGCGAGGAGGTCCTGCTCGGCCAGAAGAGGCTTCCTAAACGAAAGAGAAATTACAAAGAAAACGAAGCTGGGTGTTCCTTCCTATTCTAACATAATCTTCTGAGACTTCGACACTCACTTCAAAGCACAAGAGTCAAATCCAGTCCCCAAAAATTTGATGCCAACGAAAGATAGAGGGTAAGGCCAGGTGAGACAGAATGCGCAACACTCTCATCCGTGCCAACCTTGAAGTCAAGCTAGTGGAAACCATTCTGAAAGAAAGTAAATTAAAATGGTTTGGCCACCTTCTACTGATGGATCGTTGCAGAGTTGCAAGGAAGACCTGAGACTAGAGTGCAGAGAAAAAGACACTCCGAATCTCCTGGGAAGAAAGTGAGCAAGTTGCGTTCCAGAAGCAAGGTTTGGAAGGAAACAAGAGCTGGTGCAAGAAAGGTCCACATGGTCCAAGCTCTACAAAAGGCAACCTCACACCGCCTAAGCGGTAAAGATAAAATAAAATATGATGATGATAATATATTTACATGTATAGTAAAAGGAGTTCTCTTTTAGTTCACATGAGCAGAATGTATTTGCAGGGAAATGTAGCCTACAGTGAAAGGCACCCAACTACTACATCCAGTTTCAATATTCATAGGCGTCAACTTCACTTACAATCCACAAATAAGTTAAAGTAGAAAATATAAGTATATTACTTTGTTTGGAATGGATAGGGTTATTTCCATAGTTGAGAATTTTTTTAAAAATTAAATTATTTATAATTATTAATTTTCTAATTATAGCTCATTTCTATTCATCTCAGATAATCATGAGCTTAAAGATGTATAACAAACACTTAGCTACTTGACGTGCACTCTACATGAAAAAAAAAATGGTGCACGCAACACACAACTTTCACTTATCGCTCAACTATGAATAGAAATTATTTTCTGGCCATGTTGAGCTATTATAAAATTTTTGAATTGCATTTTTAACTGAGCTGAAGCTAAAAAATAACAGCTAAGAAATCATAAATACCATTAAAATGACAAAAGACCTATTTATTATATCGCCAGTTGATTATGGATTGTACGATCCGTTGATTATGGATTGTACGACTATTAGTTATTAAACTGTTTTTCCACTGAAATGTTTACTAAAACGGAATTAAGAGATTCGCATAGTCTGTCGCATACTCGCATAGTCGCAATACTAATATATACAGGTCAAAAGTTGTCACACTAATTGTAAGAGGATACTGTTGGAATATCACAAAGGGAAGATTCATCAAATTATTCACTAATTGAATTTTCTAAAAAGTTACATGACAATATTTCGAAATAAACGGACATTGATACCTAATTATTTAAATATAATATCAGATTTAGAATTATTAAACTATAGTAAATGTATTTAAGGTTGTAAACATATGCTTTATAAATCCATGAAATGATTTGATATTTCACTTCTTCTTTCACACAAATACAATGAAATGGTTTTTTAAACAATGGCATTGCCTTGATTAGGTGGATTTTAAATACTTTTTTCAAACTTAAAAATATTTTAAAAGTTACATTTAGTTAGTAAATTTCATTTAATTTCCTTGATAACATGTGATTTACCTTAAATAATATTAGTTTTCAAAAATTATTATTTATCATTTTTTCGCTACTCTCCGTTATCTTCTACAAATTTCTATACTAGATATTGTTTTTTCTAGAATTCTCTGCTTTCCAAAAATATATTATATGTATACCTTCTGATTAGTATTTCCGGAGATTCATTTTCGGTCCTGGATAAGCATTTTTGTTTTTTTTATCCTTTATTCAAGTATCAATTCCTTTCAAACGTTATATTTTTCTTAACTCTTAATAAGGAGAGTTAGTTAATCATTTGAAATGAACCATATTAAAGGTATTTTAGAGGAAGACGTATATGAACATTGGGCATTTAAATCCTGTAAAGTGACATCAACGGGGATAAGACCTAAATTAAACACCACTTAATTATACAATGATACTCCGAGTTTAATCAAAATTGTTAGAGCTGTTTTTGAGAAAATTGTAATGTGTTTCACCGTTGATATAAAATGGCACGTCCGGTTAGCCGATTTTAAGGAAAAAGTTTCTGTCACATTTAAGGCATATACCTATCTTAAATACGTAATATAAGTTTCGTACGACTTTTCGTTTTTGAGCTAGACTGCTAACATACACACACACACAGACCATTTTTCAGGACTAGGTTATTTGGACTCAGGGTACCCCAAAACACATATTTCCGTTGAAAACTCAGACTAGAAAATTTTCACTATCGCAATACTTAGCCTTACTGTATATTACATATATACGTGAGTGAAGGTAAAAATAAGTGAAAAACAAATATTTAGGTATTCCTATCACAATTAGTAACAGAATAAACACACTTAATACCATGATTTTTCAGTATTTTGAGTTCAAATTGTTTCAAAATACTCATCTCACAATCAAAATTAAAATTGGTTAATTTGTTTGCTCAAAAAATCATTACATACCTACAAATAGTCAAGTTAAACTAATTATTCTACTTGCACATTTGCCATAGTTGGGTTGTAATCAAATTTATTTATTATTATTAGTGAAAATATTAGACCGGCCGCAAATTGAGCACAGGGCAGGCGCAGCACAGGGGCAGCAGAGGTGCGACATAGAGGCAATAGAGGACCCAGTTCTGAGCCGTTCCAGCTCAGTATGTGCCTATTAAAGCTAACAAGTTATTTAAGTAAGTATTTATTTAGACATTCAAATAAATACTTTCATTTAAATAGTTAACTTAACTGAATAAATAAATAACTCTTTTTAAATAAGAGTGTATGAATAAAGTTAATTTTATTTTTATTTAACAAATACTTTTATTTAGAAGAAAATGCTAAGTAATAATAAAATTATTTCATGCACCTACTATAAAATTAACTATATTATTATTAATAATAAGAAAAATATTTGTTTCATTTAAAATCTCTTCTATATTTTGGTCCATGTTGTGGTATTCGAGGACAGTCTCTCGTCTATCAATTTGTAATTCCTGCATAATGAAATTTGTAATTTCAACTTTGCAGATTTCTTCGATTTAGGGTCTGTTATTACATTATTGGAGGTGCAGTTTTTGAAAATTCTATCGATTTTAAAATTACTCTCTCAGATATTGATTAATTTAAACTTTTTAGATTTCACCGAATTAGGGAACTGTTATTATGTTATCGGAGGCTTAGCTTTTGAAATTATTGTCGATTTTATGATTACTCCTCCCCTCATTTACTGTGTTAGTTGTTTATTATAAATTATTTCAAGACAGCGGGTTATTTTTGTGATTTATTATTAATTATTTTATATATCTCATCGATTTTATTTTCAACATCCTATAAATTAGAATTTGTTTTATTTCTACTTTTAAAGTGTTATTAGTAATTGTTGCATTAATACTTCTTTCTAGCGTCTAATAGTAATTGTTGCATTAATACTTCTTTCTATGATTGATTTTCATAGTATTACAAAATAGATGTTGAAAATATCTTCAATTTCAATTTTTAATAATTTTTTTTAATTTAATTTAATATTAATAATATAAGATTCTCTTAATCATACACAGTCATATAAGAGAACAAACAGTATGAAACTGTGTTGTGAACGCAATTCAGAGGGACAACAGAGATCCTATCACGGTCCTGGCCGCGCTGGGACGGCTTTGAACTGGGTCCTCTGTTGCCCCTCTGCTACGCCTCCCCTGCGCTCAAGTTGAGTTTCTATTCAATTCTCGGGTTTCTCTCCCTTTTGTTTTTTAAATAATACTGAAGGGAAGCATTGTATATTCTATTCTTCGTCATATTCGGACTCGAGGTGAAGTAACAATAGCTTAGCGCCCACGTCTATCGGAACTAAGCACACACTTAACTGGATTCAATTTGTGAATACGGCTCTGAATTAGGTGCTATGTCTCCCCTCTGTTACAACTCTGCTGTTGTCCCACACCTGTCCTGCGCTCAATTAGCAGCCGGCCTTAATATGTTACTATTAATAGCTATAATATAACATGATTTTATATAAAAAGATAAGATGCATTAATCATGCTACCAAAACATTCTTTTTTTAAGAACATAATGTCTTCTAAAAATTAACAAAAGAATATCTCGTACAAAAAAAAAAAAAAAATTCAACCGCACAAATAAATAAAATAAAATGGGATAGGAATTATAAATAAATATAATAAAATGGAATAAGAAATATAAATGAATTTATCATATAATTATAATGAATTATAAGTTATCTGTTTTTGTACCTATCTGTACATATTTAACCAGTAATAACTGAATGATACCTGTATTAGTAGCAACATAGAAAGATGTTGAATCAATGGACACTGCTGTCCTTCTACCAGCTGTACGAGGGCGCCAAGCACTAAAAATATCCAGGGCTCTTTCATCACCAGCTACTGCTTTCTTTGCCAAACCAGCTAAATCCATAGTTGGTTTGGCAATTCGCATTTCAAACTGGATTGCAATACCAGTTTCCCAATGTAGAGTATACAAGGGCACCAACTGCCCCCGAGCGTCCAATCTCCACCCACATATATCTCCATCCTATAATAAAAATCGATACCAATGAACCTTAATGATAAAAAATGTATTTCAATTTAGAAATATGAAAAACAAAAAAAAATTAATAAACTCTATAAAATATTTATAACAATTAAATAAATTGGCTTGGTGCCTCTGTGTATTTGAGGATAATACAAAAAAAAAAAAAAAACTGATTTTTTTCAGTATTACTAGAACAAAAACGCTGCAAATTATTTCACAATGGTTTATTATTTCCAAACAATCATACATCTAAAGTAACATTACCTTCCTAGTAACAAAGAAAAATAAATAAAAGGTGATTCGTATTATTGGCCTGGACATTTTTTATTCCATCATTGGTAATTTGTTTAAAAAAAATAGCACTACTTCAGTAATACATTCAAAAATTAAAAACCTAAACAAACGATAAAATCTTGACAGTAGAACATATAAAAAATGTGGAGAGACCATATCTTTGCTCCAAATTGTCCTATTTATCAATTTTTTTTTTTTTTTTTTTTTTTTTTTTTTTTTTTTTTTTTTTTTTTTTTTTTTTTTTTTTTTTTTTTTTTTTTTTTTTAGGAAATTTCGTAAACTTTTAAATAACCATGAATGAACGATGAAACTTTCTTCATTTTTTATGAAATTTAAATACATATAATTATAATCTTATAATACATATAAGAAATTTAAATTCGGTAAAATCTAATTTTACCACCTCTCGTAACTTTTTTTCCAGTTTCTTTTCGTTGAAGTATGTTATATGGATAAATTTAAAGGGCATCAAGAAGAAGATTTTAGCCAAGTTTTATTGAAATCGGTACATTCGTTTAGGCACTACAGCCTCTAGCTCTAGCAACATAGGTTTTTCGGCCACCATCTTGAAAGGAAAAGGTGGATAATAATGGAGATGAAGGAAGATCATCCTTGGGTGACCTCTGATTTTAAATCTAAATTAAAAAAAAAAAAAGTCCAGCAGTTTTGGAGAAAATGCGCGGACGGACAAAAACATTTTTATTCGATTTTCGAATTCTACATACCCTGAAATGTAAAACCTCAAATTTTGAGGTAGGGAGGTAAGTTTTTGAATTTTTCGGTCGATTACAATGATTCCAATAATTACAATAGCAGTACAAGTTTACTTTGATTATTAAAAGATCATATGCCCACTGTAAGCAATGTCACTCTCAGAGCCACATATGACTGAATTGTTCATGTACCACTTGTAGGAGGTGTTCTTTATCTCTTTTAAGTGTGTGTACGTATATGTTGATTTTCTCTATTGATTAAACCATTAATCCATTTGAAGTTATCCAATTTTTGTTCAACCTCCAGTAGAATGGTTGAATTTTTAAGTTGATTTTTTTCTAAGGTTCTTCTTTGAGTAGAACACCTATGGCTTCAATAGAAAAGTTCTCAAAAGAATCTCCAATAATTACCCAAATTTTTCCCTCAGGCTTACAGTGGATGCCTCTGAGTGCGAAATTTCAGCCACTTTTATCTCCATTATTTCCAGAGGGGAATAGACCATTTAAAGCCATTTCAATGGCAAAGAGGTTAAGATTGTGGAGGAGGTGGAAACCTACAAAATCGATATCCTTGGAGTAAGTGAAATCAGAAAGAAAGGGTCAGCAGAAATGCAACTAGACAAGTAATATACTCTTCTATATTCAGGAGTACCATCGGGTAACCGAGCATAGGAGGGAGTTGGGTTGATTTTTAAGGATGACGTTTTTCAGAAAGTTCAGGATTGGGAAATGGTAAACCCAAGAATAATATCTGCCAATGTCATTTGCTCATTGGGAAAAGTAACACTAGTCCAAGTCTATGCACCAACTGAGGACTCGAGTGAGATGGAAGTGAAACAATTCTACAGTGACCTAGCACGCATAATTGAAAAAGTCAAAGTAGAAATGTTATTATTATGGGAGATCTCAATGCAAGAAATGGATGTAACCACAGAAGAGTCCATCGATGTATGGGCCCACATGGAGGCGAAATAATGATGAACAACGATGGAAGATGACTAATGGAATTTTGCATAGACAATGATCTTCTGTTCATTTTTCCTAATATTTATTTATTTATTATTCCTAATATTTAAGATTTATAGGAATGAAATAGGAGAACTCACCACTTCTTGATGCAAAAAATCCATAGCTAGTAATAGAATTTTAAATTGGCATAGTAACCTTTGTCCAAATCAAAAAATTAATTTTGCTAAAAACTTAATAGAAAAAGCTAAAATGATCACGGATAATATACATATCAATAAAATAAGAACTGAAATATATAATATATTATTGGATAATTGGTACCCTAAAAGAATTATAAATAAAATATGGTACAAAAACCATAAAATGAAACGGAGTGATATTAATAATGATAATAAACAGCAGAAAATAAACCTTAACAAAAATAACTACCAAAGTAAAATTTTAAACAAAAAACCGAATCTAATCACAAATTATTTTTAAAATAATAATTCCGAAATATCTAATAACCTTGAAAAACAAAAGTTACTTAGTACCATACAATTAAAAAATAAAATTGAACAATGTAACATTAAATATCATTCAATTACTTATATTAAAGATCTCACTAGTAAAATTCAAAGGACGTTCAAGGATTATGATCTATCTGAAATTAAATTAGGTAAAAAGCCTGTAAATAAAATTGAAAAATTGTATACCAATACCAAAGATATCATACCACATGACATGAAAAATAACCTTATTTATAAAATAAATTGTAAAAATTGCACTAATAAATCTTATATAGGACAAACGGGACAATGGTTCGTAAAACGAATGAAACAACATGAACAAAATTGCAAGTCCAAATCAAGCAAATAAAACACATCAACCGGCCTTTCACAACATGCAACATATAACAAACACCAATTTGATTTTAAAAATGCCAAAATAATATACAAGGAAAGTAATAACAATAAAAGAAAGATTATAGAGTCTATATATATTACAAAAAATTTACATAATTCTGTTAACAACCATACAGATGTGGACAATATAAATACTTTTTACGCAAATATAATTAATAAAATTCGTATATAATAATATAATAATCCACCAATGCAAAACATTAGAAGGAAAATCCCTCTCCTTTTGACTATCCCCACCAGGACGATATAAGTCAGTCCCTCTAGAAATGACGTGGGCGAAGCCCCTATGAAAATTGACAAGTTAATGTTCACTGAACTTATTAATTAGAACATTAAGGATGAACATATTAGGAGGACTCATCAAGGTAATAGTCATTTGTTTTTAATTGTTAGAGTTTTAATGGTTATAGTTACGTACATGTAAGGGTTTTTTTAATAAAAAGTGTATACTTTATGTATATTTTTATATAAATTTGAGTATATCGGAAATAATTTGACATAGAACGTTAGACAATTCAATTAAATGTAATAAGAAATTCATTTTATAATTACTGAATATTAACTAATAATGTTATTATAACTTTTCCAGTTTTGAAAATGATCCTTAGTATGGTCGAAACGTTAAATTGATGCGTAATAATAAAATGTTGGGAAAAATGGCTTAATTTATTGTAACAAATAAAAAAATAGACAATGATCTTTTCATAGGCAATTTCTTTTATCCGCATAAAGTGATTCATAAGATAACCTTTTCAGCACGGGAAGGAAACGTTAATAGTGTGGTTGACTACTTCCTGTAGTATCAGAGAGGAGGTAAATATAAGCTTCATGCAGGAAACTCTGGAGAGGAGAGAGCTGAAGTGAAACAGGCATGACCGCCAGATGGACCACCACAGAGATTCAGTTAAAACACTAAATGTGAAGACGGTGGAGAGAAGAACGAGAGGGGGATCAAGAACCTCATATGCTACCCATCTAGAACGAATTGGAAGAAGTAAGACCTTGGAAGAGATGAGGAACCTTGACAGGAAAGGGATGCATGGAACCGATGGCTGGAAGCACCCCCACTCTGAGAAGTGGATGGATGGAAGAGAAAGAAGAAGAAGGCTCTACAGGGGGTAGGTATTACCTAATTCTTCTTGATTTTTATTCTAAATGGGTTGAGGCAATACACTTCAAGAGCATGACAGCTGAACCTACTAAGAATTCAGATTTATTTGTATGATTCGAAGAATCTAGATTGTTTGTGATATTTATTCCTCTTTCTATTCCAGAGAATAGTTGCTTTCCTTAAGAAAAAGTAATTCAGAAGATTTCTAGCACTCTGAACCATCCCGAATGAAATGGAGCTGCAGAAAATGCCCTAAAAATAGCAAGCTGTATGAAGCTTGATATCATCTTCTTTAAAGGAAAAAGATTCACCAATATTTTTACAAGCAATCATATTGTTTTTTTTTTGTTTTTCTGTCCTCCCCTTCCTCGCCGTTAAGGCTATACGGGGTTTTCCCGGGCCAGGGAGTGTGGGCGGGGATTTAAAAAACGCCTTGGCAACTTGTGACTATTTTTATAACACAATTGTCATATATCAGGTTGCCGGGCAACGGTGGTGCTGTGCACAATGCGTTAGCCCATTCGGCCACCCCGCCCACATTTTTTACAAGCAATCAGTACTCCATGTATGGTACAATAGGCAAATCACCAGCCAAGCCTCTTATTAGTAAACAATTAAGGGTACAGGTGGATTTACTTCCCCCTGAACCTCAGAGTAAGACTGCTCATAAAAACAGTGCAAGCAAGTTGAATATGCTTTAGATAAAAAGAATTTGAAGTCTAGCTGAAATTATAAGGTATGGATGATCAACTTTCTAGGCATTCCAGACTAACTTGGAAAAAAGCTATAATTCAAGAAATACTTAAACCTACATGTGTATATATCCATAGTGTATCCAGACAAAGATGAGATCGGAAACAAGGGGAAGCAACTCCTCATTAACATAAAGGGTGGGCTTGGGACACTTACAGCACAGTTTCTGCACCAAAGTAGTGTAAAAAAAGTACTAGTAATCCACAGTACAGAGTACTAGTACACAATAATAAGAAAAAGTATCATGGTGGTTCTATTAATATATTGAACACTATATCTGCAAACTATGTACCACAAGCTGTCCGCCATCTAGCCCATAGTATCATTTTTAGTTTAAGATGCCATGAATGGCCATTGGGCCAGGGCGGGCTCCCACAGTTACTGTAGATATTAAATTACCTTGAATTGATGTTTTTAATAATTATAAACATATCAAATTTGTTTATTCTAATCAACAATTTCAGTCTTTAATTTTTCTAGGTAATTTATTGTTTGTATTATCTGTATTGTATTATCTTATTATTGTATTATATATACCAGTATATATTACAAATGAAGATAATATATATCTAATTTCAACATGTGAAACAGATATCTGAATTTGATGTCATTGATTATTAATATTATTAATGACGATGATTGCTTAAAAGAAATTTTAATATAATTTGAATTATTTAATTTATACACACAAAATAAACCCAACATACAAGCAATAATAATTCATTTTCAAATGAAATAATCAAGAAAATTTTATATATTTTTTGAAACGTCTTATTATTGTTTATCTCCATATTAAACAGATTACATTATAATCAAACTCTGACCCATAATAATAAGGTTATCTTCCCAAAAATTGATAATATTTCTTTCATAACACGAGCTATCACAAAACATGCTGAAATCTGCTAATACATCTACTCCTGCACATAAGGTCAATGATAAACCTCATTCTTATCCTTGAATCAATTTTTGGTGAACCAGGAAGAAACTTCTAAATCATTAACTTCATAAATTTAAATCTAAACTTTATAAATCTTTACCTCTAGAAGTTGAAATACCTAAATAAACTGATAGGCATATAAATATTAAAAAATAGAAAAATCTCAAATTCACAATATAAAAATATTCATAATTGAGCTTTAACAAAAAATAATAACAAAAACAACATCATTAAAAATATACGTAAGTAAGGACTTAAAACAGTATATAAAGAAGCTTAGAAATTTGATCAAAATTTTAATCTGGGATTCAAGATGACAAATCACTGATGAATTTACCACTGAGGAAACAGTAAACTAAAAAGTAACAAAAGAAATCATTGTGTTTGACCAATATCTTACTTACTGAATCTATAGTAATGAACTTGCTTCCTTGTTGTGACCATTTCCCATTTACTATTGACGCTATTTTTGTTGCTGGTGCTATGGTATAATCACTATCTCCATTCCATGTTCTAATTTCACCATTTTGCCAACAAATAACTAATGTTCTCCTAGAAGGATGCCATGAAAGACAAGATACTTGAGAAATTGGGTGTAATGTTGGATCAACATCTTTCAGTTTTTCACCCTATAATATTTTAAATAATCATTAAATTAACCTAATTTTAAGTGTACGGCTTTTAGATAAATATGTAAAAAAATTCTATGCAAGTTATTTTAAGGAGCTAACATTTTTAAATGTAATTATGAACTACAATTTAAAAAACATACCAATTCATCACATAAGAAAACAGCTCCACCTTTTTCAATACTGTATAATGCTACTGACAGCAAAGGATGTTGAGAATGCCATTCAATTGCTGTAAATGCAGCATTTGGGCTAAGTTCTCCGATATTTACGCGATAATCAAAATAAAGAGTCATTCTAAAAATAAATTATTTAAACAAATAACTCCATCATGATATAGGAAAAGATGTTTACAAGCGGTTGCTTAGCAACCTTCATTTGTTTTTGATCGGAATGCAAACTCTTTGAAACCTCCTAAGTAACAGTAACAGATTACGTCAGTGGTACTCTTTTTATAACTGCTCCAAGTAATGTTTTTCCACTGATTAGTCGTTTAAGTTGGAATGTAATTTTAAAAATCTGGTGAGCGCAACACACAACTTTCTCTTATAGCTCTATTTTGAATAGAAATTATTTTCAGGCAATGTTGGACTACTATAAAATTCTTGAAATGCATTTTTAATCGAGCTTAAGCTAAAAGCTAACAAATCATTAATACCATTAAAATAACAAAAATCCTATTTAGTATATCAACGGCTGATTATGGATTGTACGATCCGTTGATTATGGATTGTACGACTATTAGTCATTAAGCTGTTATTTTCCACAACAAAGTTTACTAAAACGGAATTACGAGATTTGCATTGCTTGTCATAGATAGATCAAAAGTTGTCAAACTAATTGTAAGTGGATACTATCGGGCACTAGCGGATCCAGGGTTTTTGGTTGGGGGCTTCAACCCGGAAGCTTTTTTTTTTCATATATATAATGATAATTACTTTGGAAAAAAGAAAGATACTAACTACCTATATGAAATAGTGTTTAAGTGATTCTTAAAGTCCTATTAAATATAATAAAACGAGCAATAATATTTTAAGACATGATTTTTTAATGTATTTTTCCATAAAACATGATTACATTTTACCATTTTGGGGAGGGGCTTCAGCCCGAAAGCCCTTCTCTCTCTCCTCCCCCCGTAGATCCGCCCGTGTAAGAATGTTAAGTATAAATTAAAATGTAAAGATTTAAAATGTATATATTTATTTTTTATACATTTTTTTTGCATATATAATTTGCAACATACACATCATAATAATGATCTGTCGCATCTTCATTTCAATTTCAACATCAATTTCTCGACGTCAGGTAGATGTACTAGCTCTGTTAATATAAAATTAATCTTTTATACTAATTCATTTCTTACCCGACTATATTGATATGTTGTTTGGTAAAATTGCATCCACGGACAAAGATAATGCTTCTTCATTTGACCAAACCTGTCTGAAAGCTAGACTTCCTTTGATAAATTATGTAAAGATGTTGTAATAGTTCATTACATGGCTATGTGGATTATAACCAGTAACTCTTTCATGTAATTGTAATTTATTCTAAAAATCAACTATTGAGTATTCAGAATGAATTCGTTATTGTCCTTACTTATTGGTTTGTGCCAACACTACCTTAAGTTTTTTTGGGGTTCTTCTACTCCCAAATCTGAAATCTATTTTTTTTGTTTCCTGGACACATTCTAAATAAAATTAATTCTACCAGTACTTAAAAATGAGGTTAGTTTCTGGAATACATCTCATTTTAGATTAAATTTATGTTAAAATGTTAAAGACAGTATTCACTAAATGATTTTAAATTCAACACTAAACATTTCTGCTGTAAATCCACACTTTCAAAATTTAGTTTTTCTGAATGTACATGTACATTTACACTAAATAATTGTATCTTATTTTAATGTGCTCCCAATCACAACTTAGTTAATAAAAACAATATATAATAATTGGTTCTATTCAATTTCAATTTTTCATACAAATACCCATACCTGAATAAAAACTAAAGATTTTTAGAACGAAAAGGCCCTGATGACTGAACCAATGGAACTCAATTTACACACGAAGAAAATATAAATAGATTTCTAAAAGGTTTAACATAGATTAATGACTATAATTAGATACTAAAATGGTCTTATCAGAGTTTTCCTAGCGATTAAGTGATAACAAAAATATCGCGCCTCGGCGGTCGTGGCTGAATTATCTCTATCTAGTATGTTTACAACCATTCCAGTGACAATAAGAGACTGGTTATGAAACCGATAAGGGGGTTTCATGGAGCACATCGTGGCATTAAAATTTTTGAGGGGGGCACATTTTGAACGGTTTTTGAATTTTTGAGAGGGCAGATTTCGACAGAGTTGAATTTCCGGAATGAAAAGTTTTAACAGGAGACAAGAGTAAAACATGGACGAGACCATAGCAAGTGTTATTGTACAATATAAAATCTACATTTTTTCTAATTCTTCGCTCACCTGTTTTTTTTAACAGGAAATCAATAAAATTTCGTTGAATCGGAAGGAGGCAGAGTTATGAGCCATTAACATTGCAGGGAGGGTATCGGCACCCCTGGGTAGGTAGCTTCTTGGTCCAAAATTAGATATTTATTAATTAATTCAAAAAACAATAATGCAGAAATAACTCTAAAAGGACGTATTTTTTAAACCCTTTTACTGTCACCAAGTATTAGTGTTAGTGCAAAAAAATACTTATAGGAATCGCAATAAGTATTCTACACTGTTATTTTCTTGGTCTTTGTCTTTCCCTTATAGCTATAATTTAATATATATATATATATATACATTTCATTTACTAGCGGATCCAGGATTTAATTTAGGGGAGGGGGCGTTAGCCCGAAAGATTTTTTTTCTATATACATATAACGATAATTAATTTGAAAAAAAAAGAAATTAATTACCTATATGAAATGGTGTTTAAGTGGTTCTTGAAGTCCTATTAAATATAATTACACGAACAAGAATACTTTAAGAGATAGTTTTTAATATTTTTTTCTGTAAAACCTGGTTATATCTTACCATTTTAGGGGGGGGGGCTTCAGCCCGAAAGCCCCACCCCCGTAGATCCGCCTGTGATTTCATTCAAATTTCCTCTCCCAATAACACCAACTGTGGAATTAAATTTCATCTTAAGAAACATATTTAAAATGACCATTCCTTGTACATTCAGTGTCACAAACTATCTGACTTCAAGAAGAAATAAAACTTTTTGGGAAAGTAAAATAATTGAAAATTGGTATTTTGTCTTAGTATCACAAAAATTGTGATAACTTTAAAACGGCTTCACCGATCCACACGAAAATGAATAGCCATTAAGATCTCTGTGTGCTAACAATACGAAGACCCGATCTTCGTAAAGAAATTAAAACTAAAGATATAAATGAAAACGTGTTAGAAGTTTTTCTTAATTCCTAGCTTGAAAAAAAAAAAAATAATAAAACCAAAAGTTTTCCAACGGTCATATTAAAGTTAAATTTAAAGAAAATCCTTAGAAGCTATGAACGCTTTTTTTGACGGCCGGAAAAAAATTCACCCAAGAAAATCAAGAACCAAAGGTTGTATAGTTTAATTTACATAACAATTCGTACTTAAGAGTTGTTTTTTAAATTAAAGGCTTCAACCACTAGGGTCATTATTGTTTTAACTTAAAAGTTATAAAAGGTCTTACAAAAAATAATCTAGTTTGATTTTTCTTAACAAAAATTTACTTGGCCTACTTTACTGAAAGCTCCTTTTGGTAAATGTGATTCATGACACTGGCGGATCCAGGATTTAATTTTTTTTGGGGGGGCGGCTTCAGCCCATAAACTTTTTTTTTCATAAAAATAACGATAATTACTTTGGAAAAAAAGAAAGAAACTAACTACCTATATGAAATAATATTTAAGTGATTCCTAAAGCCCTTTTAAACGTAATTAAACGAACAATAATACTTTGAGAGATAATTTTTTAATATTTTTTCGATAAAACATGGTTATATTTTCCCATTTTGGGGAGGGGCTTCAGCCCGAAAGCCCCTCCCCCCGTAGATCCGCCCTGATTCATGATACATCATAACTCATTTAATGCAATAGTTAATATTTTTATTTTATTCTGAAAAAAAAACACATTGATATATATAGTAACCTAAAAATTTCGGGGAAAGCAAAGACAAAAATAAATACCATATATTTCGATTGATATTATTTTTTTTTTTTTTCTCGGTGCCTAGGATCCATTGAAAAGAAACCCGAGATATGTGTCTAATATTTTCCAAATTAAGTATCACCAAAACAAATTTGGGGACCCACAGACTATATCCTATCCTTGTAAGTAACTTTTAATAAATAATTAAAAAAAAAAACTTAATATCAATTTCTCTCTTTCCGTATCAGGTCTGGCTTGTGATTTTGATAACATTTTATTCAAGATTTCTAATCTTATTTATTTATTTACCTTCCTGAAATTCTCTTCAATCCAATGTCAACATGACTCAAGAGCATACTCTTCAATAAATTATATAAGATAACAAACAAATAAATAAATAAAAAGCTCAATAATATTCAAATAAACCTACAGTAGATAGCATGAAAGAGCAATACGGATAGTCCAGTAAAATTAGGGATTAACCCCAACATTAAAAAAATTAGTAAAAGGCAAAAAGTCCCAAAGAATCCCGCGTCAGGTTTTGATGGGGGGGGGGAGGGAGGTAAGGATAGAAAACTGACATTTTTTTAGTTTGTTGAGAATATCTCAAAAAACGTGAGTTTTTTTACAACGATTGTTCAGTAAAATATTACAGTACTTTAAAATCTCTATAAGAATGAATGACCCTGTACTTTTTTTTGATAAAGTCAATGATTAAGGAGATATTTATGGGAATGTGTTTAATGCATTTCCACTTAAAGCAAAAATTGCTCCTAACCACGAAATTGGTGATGTTCATAGTAGACGATACCTTTTTGAAGTTTAATAAGTTTTTTAACATTTTCTTAGCGATTTATTTTGTAACCCACTAACTTTCAGAAAAACTTCCATGGTTGATGAACCTTATTTAAGTCTGCATTTATTAAGTTGTGGTTTGTAACGGAGTAAGTTGAGATTCATTCCTAATTGAGTAAAAAGATGTAAAAATATTTGGGTCGATTCCTAATTTTACCACACTAATAATATTTTTACTCAATTAAAGACAATGTAAACTCAACTTAATTAATACAGACTTAAGCAGAAACAAGCAGTTTGAAAGTGGAAGTTTTTCGAAAAGTGTGGTATCTTCAGTCCAGTTGGGGAGACTAGAAAATAAATCCGGAAGAATCCTTGATTTTATGAAAAACCAAACTTACCGTAGTTTAAATGCTTAAAAGCCACCTTTAAATGGTTTTAAAAAACTCAAGAAATACTTGCGTTTAGTGTAAATTTAATCAAGTTTACTATGAAGTAATTGATTTAAACTAAATTAAACATCTTTTTTAGTTACTGATTTTTATTCAACATAAAACGTGATTGGCTTGAAAATTACAAAATTTAAATTTCCTGGTTCCCTGTATGTAACCAGGCCATGGTTTACGGTAACTTATTAGTTATGATGCCTTCTATCATATATTAACAATTATATGAAATTAATGTCAGTCCAAACTTCAAATCATCACGAAATTCTTCATTGATCGATATCGAATATAATTCTGTTGTCAATGACTTTTAAGAATCATTGAAAGAAAAAATTTTGAACATTAATTTTAGGATCGAAAATATTAAAAAACTAAATAAACTTCAAAAAGGGATACCTTCTATGAACATCAATTTCGCGGTTGGATTTTTCCTTAAAGTGGAAATGCAATAAATATAATCTCATAAATATCTCCGTGACCGTTGATTTTCTAAAAAAAAAAAAAGTATGGGGTCATTTTTATAGAGATTTTAAAGTACTGTAATGTTTTACTAAGCAATCGTTGTAAAAAAAACTCATAGTTTTTGAGATATTCTCAAAAAAAAAAAAAAATATATTAGTTTTCTATCCTTTCCTCCCTCCTCTCATCAAAACCTGACGCGAGATTTAACCATTTATTGTGGGGAGGGTAATGAACAAGTTCTGACAAGTTTCAACTTTATATTTTGAATGTTGGGGGTAAGGCTGTTTTTTCCCTAATTTTACTGAACTAGGAGGTTTGGCGGTATAGTGCTTACATCATGATCAAGGCTCCCCCAGCATGCATTTCTATGTGAGAGAATCTGGTAATTTTATAGACTTTGAGTTCTTGCACATTCTAGCCTTGAAAGACAACCCAGCTTTCTTCCTTATGTTTCTTTTAATCATTTAAATTCGGAGATGTGACAGATTGGCCCACAGTCTCCTAGTGCAGGGATAGTGGAGAGAATGCCTGTCTCCTTCAGGCAGCTACACCTGTCTTATGTGGCATCAGAATTCTAAAAGGACGTTGAACTGCTATTTCCTGGAATGTTCTGATGGTATGTCCTATACTGTTACCACATTAACCGATCGTTTAGCCAGTATATAACACTGTTACTAGGGGTCACCACGTCGAGGTGAACTGTATTCATCCCAAACATAAGAGTACACTCTTCAATGAATTATATAAGAAAACAACACAAATAATCTTGATTGGCTTAAAAGAGCAATACGGAGATTTGGCGAACTAGTGCTATCATGTCCTCCAACCATGCATTTCTGAGTGGGCGAATTTGGTAATTTATGTTATAGACCTTGAATTTCGCCTGCGTGGACACGTGGCGTCATGCGGATAAAATGGTGTGTTGAGTACCTTTGACCTTGGCTATTCACATACACACTCACAGGCTATTTATCGAGAATTGGTTTCATGTTCGGAACTAGGGGGGGGGGGCAAAGGAGAGTACTTTTCCTCGACGGTAGAATTTAGGGGCTAGCGAATGTCTGGAACATTTTTCTTTAGCTTGAGTAAAAAATATGATTTTCTCCTTTTTGGTTGTCTTAACCTTAATTCAGTCAATAAAATGTGATACACCTTGAATGAAATATATTTATTTTTAAATAAGTAACTTAAAACATTAATATTAAATGGTGATTTTTATTGGGAGGAGAGAGCGGCAGGAGCTGAAAGAAGATGCGGAGAATTCTGCTTGCCCCATCTGCCAAAATTCCTTGGCTTGGTTATTTCTCACTCAGAAAACCTGTTGAAGACACTAACTTTAAAATTTCACTTTCGCAATGCATTTTTATTAGGCAATATATTTCATATGTAAGGCTTGAGTTTTCACATGAGGCGGGTTGAAATTTATTTCGTGGCAGACCCACGTAATAATCTCAACCTTCTCACTCTGGTTAGAATAAGTTTGGTTGATTGGGGGTAATCGAAAAACGAATGGTAAGTTGAAGTAATATATGACGTAATATACTTCATTTTAAAGAAAAAGCAAGTTTTTAAATTCATTGCTGAACTCACTAATAGTCAGCGAAAATCCATCAGGCCAGACTGTACTTTATCAATGGATCCATAAAAGAAACTCAATGTGTCCCTTATTCACGAATGAATCACTAATTGTTCAGCAATTCCATCGGCTTTTAGAGTCAATGGATTCACCTCAGTGTTGTTTCTCAATTTATTATTACATATTTTATATTCAGTTTACTTTCTTCCTTAATTTATTTCTGTTTTAAAATTCAACAATTCAGTAGCTAAATGTTTCCTTATGTATTTTTATCTTTCATGATTTTTTAAACCTGCTATTAGTGACAATCTTCCACTTAAATCCAGCTCTAGCAGGTCGCTCCAAAACTCAGCATAAATGACTATTGGATCCAATCGATTGATTGCTTCCGTAGATGGTAATAGTGTTGAGTTTAGGAACTTGGCCTAATATAACTTTAATTTATTGTCAGGGACCTGCTGCATTAAGTCACGTTAGGAGTGCCTTCACTGGGAGGTTTCTCCAATCCCGCATTCACGCTAATCCCGGAGAGGAAGTTCGCAAACGAACATCACATTTACAAAATATGCCATAAGGCATTTGTAAAATTGTTCAATAAATAAATTTATTATTATTAAAAAAAAAATGTATTGTCAGTGAATAATCTTAGATTGGGGAAGTTCCTAATCTCAGCACTGACCTCACCAATATTTATCATAACTGAACTTAACGATCATAACTGGGAGAAACGATGCCATCGATGAGCTGAGCGCTGAGTATAGGAATTTGCCCATCGTAAAAAATTATTAGTAGGTTACAGGCGTTAGTTGAGTTTACTGTAAGGTTATAAATATGATCATATCAAGTTTAGCCGGAGTATTATAACCATTTCAATATTGAATTTGTATAATCATAACAAATTTAATTGCGTTCTGGGTCTTATCGACTACAGCTTATCTGAGGCTGCCCTTATATCTTCAACTCAAAACATATTATAACATAATCTTATCTTCAGTTTTAATCTTCTGATGGAAAGGTGTAATTTTAATTGCTTGCTTGGACGCGGTTGTTAGTGTTCTTACGGATTCTTTTTAGTAACTATGTTTAAAATTTTAAGATTATGCATGCAGTTAAATCCTGCTTCATTAGGACGGTTTCAGAATACAGGAAATTTTAGATCTTTTGGAAGTATTACTAGTTTTTTATCTAAGAATGAAAGGCCTGGAGATCTCCCTAAACACTGTGATGTTCTTATTATTGGCGGAGGTTGTATGGGAAGTTCCATTGCTTATTGGTTGAAACAGCGGGCATTAGAAGGCCTCAGAGTAGTTGTAGTCGAGAAAGATCCCACGGTAATGCTTTCTAATGATATAGTTGAAAAAGTTAAGGTAGTGAGGTGATTTATAGATTTTATTTTGAATAAATTGGAAGTAACTGATATTTCTTTAATGTCTATTCTAGTACCAACAATGTACAACTGTATTATCTGTTGGAGGGTTGAGGCAACAATTTTCGTTAAAGGAAAATATTGAACTATCTCTCAATTCAGCTGACTTTTTGAGAAACATTAAACATCATCTTAAAGTTGAAGGGCAAGACCCACCTGATATTCAGTTTCAGCCAAGTGGTTATGTTTTTTTGGCAACTGAGAAAAGTGCTAACATCCTTGAAAATAATGTAAAATTACAAAGGTAATTAATGTTTTTGATAACTCGTTCAATATGTTAACATATCAGGTATCATTATTTTTAACAGAAAATTAATTTTCTTCACTGTTTTTATGTCATTATAATTCATTTTTTATTGTCTTATTTGAAAGAACAAAACATCAGGCTGATTTTTTATTAAAAGCATTTGATAGCCGTCATAGTTTATTGTATACAATAATTAAATTTAACACAATTCATTATTAATCTTTAATCACTTTTTCTAGTATAAATAGCTGGTAATAAAGTTTTTAATAAATCCAAATCGTTCATTTGAATAATATATTGACTGTTCCAAACCATGTGATATAGACCAGTGTTAAGAATCAAATAACTTTCCTCACAAATAACAGTTTTTCACCAATTCTTATATCCTTTATTCATCAGTGAGAAGGAATATATCTCTAGGATCGAATATACTAAAGTTAATGCTTAAACACCCTCAGCCATAATGACCTCAAATCGTTTTTGACTGTTGAATTAATAGTTTATCAGGATCCAGAACAGCTAAGGATCTTTTCTTGGCTTTCCTTTTTTCCCACACCCACCTCATCTCCCTACCTCTCTTTGCTCCTTTGTCCACTGTTCCTTCCTTTTTCTTTCCATTGCACTTCTTTTGTCTACTATCTTCCTAAACTTCTCTTTGTCTTGTTAGTCCTCTTCCCTTTACCCTATTTTTAATCTGCTCAGAGTATTCTTTGATATTCTTAAGTTTTATCAATTTGTCAAAGATCTGCTTGTTCATTCTATCCTTTTCCATTCTGTTCATGTAACTGTGAAACTTCAAATTTCATACAGCTCCTTGTTCTATTTTGGCCAGTATTCTTTCCCTATTTTCCTTAGCCTTTGGATACTCTTCAGTATCTTTCTTTCTATTTTTAGCAGTCTCTCTATGCTGCTGAGACCCATTGTTTCCGCTCCATACTATACCAGCAGCTTTAATACTGTCTTATTTGAACTTTTGTGGAGAGGTTCTTGTTATTTAGCTTTTTTATCAAACATCTCATTATACACAGCTTTATTTCTCTAATTTTTACCACTTCTCTGTCTTCTCCAATGTAGTTCATGTGTTCTCCCAGATACTTCTAACTGCATCGTATCTCCTATCTTGTCTAAATCCCTTCCTTTATTTCCATACTGTTGGTCATCATCTCAATCTTTCCAAACGTCTTCAAACTTGTTCTTTCTGTTTTATGAATTTGGTTTTTTAAAAATCCTATCTTCCTTCTTTGGTTTCAGAACCTGCTTTAATCTTAGACAAATCATCTTCCTCTTCTTGTAGTAATTTCATGCTCTAATTTATTCTTACCTTTTCCTACCTCAAACTCTTACAATATTCTTCACACGCTGATGTTCGTGAAGTTGGCCTAAACATTGGCATGCGTTAAATATTACTCCATGATGAAATGATTATATGGACATATTTTGAGTTATGTTATTAAGAAAGAAAGTTATTCAGTTTGACATTGTACATAAAACTATGTAGAAATCTCATTGAAGATATGAAACAAATATTTTTAGAAAAGTAATTTTTAATGTTACATGTAGTTTCTATTTTCATCAACTTATATATGAAATATAAAGGGTGACCCATAAGTAAAGAGAAATAATTATAGGAGTTACAGCAGATCTTAAGAGCTACAAAAAGCTCTTGAAGTCTACTATTACCTGTTTAAATATTTCTTTCTACTTACAGAACTCAAAATACATATTTTGTGGTTTCCTGAGTCCAAAAATTAGGTTTCATTCAATGACTTCTGTGAACAGCCTAGTTCAAAAACTACAAGTTGTGTGAAACTGAAATTACATAATTAAGGTAGGTATATTCCTGGGATGTTACATCACCATTTTCACCAGTATTGACTTACTATAAATGGAAATTTTATTATCTTCACTGTAACAGCTCTTAATAATATATTATATATTATTGGTGGGGCTTAAATGCTAAATTTTCAAATTTTCTTCTTATAAAGTACCTTTAATTTCTTTAATAGAAATAATTAAAAGTCTGTTATTATTAATTGTTATATAGAATGAATAAATATAAATTATGAAGTAATTATTTATTAAATGATAATTAAGTCAAGAGATAGGAACTGGGGTATAGGAAACAGGACATGAGCGACAGAAATGATTACTTTTAGAAAAGTAATTTTTAGTTTCTGATGTAATTTTTGTTCTGTTTTTAATGGCTTAACTTATTTATTATAGGTCTTTAGGTGCAAAGGTAGAACTCCTTTCTCCTGAGGAATTAAAGCAGAAGTTTCCTTGGTTGAATGTTGAGAATATCGCCCTGGGCTCTCATGGTCTAGAAAATGAAGGCTGGTCAGTATGCTCTATCATCTATCAGATATTCTAATTTTTTACCTTTCTTTGTTCTGAAAACCAATCCAAAATTGTAGGTTTGATCCTTATTCATTGTTATTTGCTTTTAAAAACAAGGCTGTTAATCTAGGAGTGAACTATCTATCTGGAGAAGTAACAAATTTTCTATTTCCTAAAAATGATTTAAATAATGAAAAAAATAGCTGTACGCAGATCAATGGTGCAAGTGTAAGTAAAAAGTAGTTCTCAGTGTGTTTCAGTTTTATTCAATCTACTATATTATATCATAAAACAAGAATCACTCATTTAATATGATTGTTTATTTGAATTCTGGATTCATGAATAAATCATTGTGGTATTTCTGACAAGGGGAGGTCACTGATTTCAATATTTAGACCCATTTTCGAGGACTCTTATATATTTAGACGCCATGGGAGCCGAGAAAACACATGTTTTATCAAATTTTATTATTTTCTTACATTACTGTTTTCTGACCGTAAACCAGGCCAAGTAAATTTTTGTCATGAAAAATTGATTCAGGTTCATTTTTAGCATTCACTTAAACTCTTAAATATGAATTTGTTTTCCAATAAAAAAATATAAATTTTTGGACTTTATTGAATAGAAGAAATTTTTAAAGTATTCATAACTCCTCTGCATTTTCTCCTATGTCAAATTTATTTCAACCCTTGTAAAGCTAAATTATTGTTCTTCAAAACCATATGAATAAGTTTTAGATTTTACTACTTAATAAGAAACAAATAAAAAAAAAAACTTCTCTAATGTTTTTATTTTTTATATCCCAGCCTAATTTATTTGTTGGTTTCTGATTGGTGACATTTTGTGTATTTTTGTTTATGGATCTCTGAGGCTCCTTAGCCCACATATCTGTCTTTCTGTATTATTTTAAAGGGACTTGTCCGAGTATAAATAAAGTATTATTATTAAGACGTAAAATCTAAAAGTTATTCATGTGGTTTTGAACAGCAATAATTAGATTTTCAATGGTTGTAATAATGTTGATTTCGGAGAAAATTCTGAGGAGTTATGAATATTTTAGTAAACGGTATGAAATAAAATCCTTCCATGAAATTAAGTTTGGACTTATTTATATTTTTTTATTGCAAAACAAACTCGTATTTAAGAGAAGTCAAAAATTTATTTGGCCTACTTTACTGGAAGCCTCTTTGGATTTTTTACACATTAGAATACTTTTTTTAATATCATTACCAATATGTTTTCCTTATTTTACACAAAATAAACAAATTGGTTGATATTTAATAACTTCAAAAACCATGGAGAGCGAAGTCAGAAAACAATAATGTAAAAAATAATAAAAAAAAATTTCTTGGCTTTTAGAGCACATGAGTAAGAACCTTCGGACTAATATCGTCTAATATTTTTGACCTAATATCACCAAAAAAAGTTTCATTGAAATCAGTGATCCCATGTTCATAACCTCCCTTATGAGTGAAATTAGTAACAATTGTAATTTTATGGTTCATTGAAAATGTCTTGAGCAATCAATTACATAAAATATTAATTTAATCTGAAGTTATCTTTGTTACAAATTATTTTTTTTATAGTCTTGGAAACATTAGGTGTGAACATTTATTGTGAGATTTCAGAATTTTCTATTCTATATAAAAATGTTTAATAATGATGTAAAAATGGTTGACCGTTGATATAATATGAGAAGAAGTTAATCGGGGGGTGCGGTCATATAAATACTAAATTAAAATATATTAATTACTTTAATCTTTGCTGTGTTAAAATAATTAATATATTTTAATTTAGTATTTATTTGACCACACCCTCCCCCCCCCTCCCCGATTAACCTCTTCTCATAAAAAATGTTTAATATTATTAATTAATGCACTTTAATACTATACAATACAAATTCTTTTCATTACCAATGTGACTATTATAACATATCAGACAAAAAATTTTCAAATCCTGATTTGTGATTTGATAACTTCCACGGTTTATTATGGATTTTATAACGATTCTTTACTTGTATCAAGGTTTTAAAAGAATAGAATTTCATGAAAGGGTGCCTAATATGATTAAGACAACAGGAAAACATTATTGTTACATCTTTCTAGGATCAATAATGTTTGTTTTTCGTAATACAAAAGGAACAACAATGGGAATTTGTAAATAAAGTAGTGATTGAGTGCACTTTTAAACAAAAACAAACACAAACTTATATTTTTCAAATTTTACAAAGCAGAGTTTTTTAAGAACACAATTCTTTCTAACTAACACTAATACTTCAGTAACATTTGTTTCCTTTTAGAACAGCTGTTTTTAAATATATTTTAGAACAGCTGTTTTTAATTAGAACAGCTGTTTTTCCTGGAATTAAAATAATACATTTCACATTGTATTTAAATGTAAAAAAATCAAACATTAGGGTTAACAAATTCCCGAACATCCTCCCACCTTGAGGAGTTTATAACTACTCAACAAACAGTGCTAGAAATAATTACAAACAAATTATGAAAACATAACCAGTACGTAAAATTCAAATTTTCTCTAACTGATGTGGACTACAAAAGGATTCAAAGAAACCGTATAGGCATTAGCACATTTCTGCCACATCGAGTTTATAATAATCTATTATCCTTTTTCTTCTTTCTTGCATGGGCTTCAGTTCTTTTCTTTATAGGTCTTGAATTAAATTCCTCGAATTTCTTTTCGTATTCATGAAGCTCCTTGGGAACAGGTGCTTCCTTCATCATGGGCTTCTTCTCATCTTCCTCAAACCAACCAGGCAAGTTCTCATCATTGAATGCGTATCTATTGCAAACACTATCAATTAGGTCCCCCTTGGTGACCTGCGATGAAACCATCATGCCACCCAATGCTAATTGTTGTTCGCTAAATTTTGCTTTCTTCAGATTACTATCTTTAGGTATAATTTCATAGCCTCCATCCTTCCCAGGAACTTCATTCTTGAGGGTCGTTGCTCAATTTCAAAATCAGAACCAGAATCTGAAAAATTGTCATCGGAACCGTCACTCAACCCTTCATCACTATTAGTTTCAGCCTTCACTTTCATCTGGGATTTGTCAAGTTTGATCTGGTCAATAGCTTGTTCTGTCGTTTTACTGATCAAACTCACCCCTTTCTTTACAACATTCTTTGCCATTTCTTCCAACTTAAATTCTTCATCTTTGTCCTTCTCAAGATCTTTAAAAACACCCTTCTCAAACCACAACTGTTCCTTGTGAACACGCTTAGTATCCTTATCCCTGGGATCCAAATCAGTTAGAAACGGATGATTTTCTTTCAGATCATCTTCACCATTATCTTCATCTTCATCTGACTTTATATCAGATGAAAATCTAACTTTTTTCTTTTCAGTTTTTGTTTTCTTAATTGGTCTTGCATTGTCTTCTGATGAAGAAAAATCAAGATTTTCTATATCACTATCATCTCCAGATTTTTCAGATTCAGATTCATCTGATGAATCCTTGTAAAACATTCCCGACTTATCCAAAATCTTCTTACCCTTTTCAAAAGGAACATATGATGAGCGATAGGTTCCAAAATTCTCATCTTCTATATCTTCATCACTATGGGCTAAAATGTCCGGTTTCTGGTCATCAACTCTAATCAAGTCTAAACTCCAAAGATCTGAAACAGACACATCTAGGGAGGTTACACTTACCTTGTCAGTTGCACAGTAGTTTTCTTCCTTGGTCTTTCCCATCAGTGTCCAACCAAGATATGTTTCAACTGCAACAAGGCCACATTTCAGAATTTTTCGATTTCCTGTCAACAACTTTCCAGAGATATCTGCACCCACAAGGATATCAATGTTACCATACTCTGTGTCTGTAAGAGAAATATTTAATGTTTCCAATTCTTTGATCCAGGGTCCAGATCAATTGATAACAGGTAATTGTTCGCAAATTGTTTCTTTATCCAGAGCCTCAAAATTACAAGCATAATCGGTAATTGCACTTGCCACTCTTACCTTGTAAATATTGTGGTCTTCAGGCTTTGATCTACTGCCTCCAAACAATCCATGAACAATAGTTTGTGTACCAATAGGTTCATTACCTAAAAGAGAGACCATTCGTTTACTGTTATATGACCTTTGCGAACCATCATCAAAAAATAAAGGACAAGGGTATTCCTTTCCATCATTTTTTAACTTTACTTTCAAGGTTTTTAAATATATCTCACTACTAAGTATGTTCGTCAAGCATTGTTCTATTTTTGAACCAGAGGTAACTGAGCTGTTCTCTGCATTTTGTCCATTTCGTTTTTCACATAATAATGTAACATGTTTACCTTTGCATAGCAGACATCTAATCGCAGCCTTGCACTGCTTCTTCATGTGTCCTCTTCCTTAACAGAAAAAACAATAACCTTTCTCTTTCAAAATATTTCTAATAGAATCAGGATTGAGGTCTTGTGCTTTAAAACAATTAAGAGAATCATGCCCTTTATCACAAAAAACGCAATTTTCTATAGATCTAGTGACGTTTACAAGGACTGAAGAGGTTGGGATGTAATTTACCTTGGTGTCATGTTTCTTCATGTCTCTTGCAAAGATCTTCTTCGACTCAGAATCTGGGAAAACAGATCTTACTAACAAGATCCTCTCCTCACTTTCCACTTCTCCACGTAAAAATAGTAAGAGATCATCCAAACCCTTCTCTATCTCAATTTTGTTCATTACCCTATACCTTTCCCAAAGTCTAAGAGTTGATTCTGGGGTAGCGCTGATTCAACCAAAGGTATAAGCATACATGAACATTTATCAGTGGTTACGCCTAAAGTGTCCTAAAGACCTTAACTGACATTCTAGTTTGTCGTATAAAGAAGTGAGAGTCATATTACCTTTATGTGTAGCCTGATTTAAGACCAAACCCAGTAATTCCCTGACGTAAAGTTGTATCAATAAACCTTCTCTACCGAATCTGTTTTTTAATTGTTCAATTACCTTAGGGTAATTCCTTGATGATGGAAGGAAACTTTCAACAATTTCTCGAGCAGGGGATTTTTCTACAGTAGCCTGAAACAAATACTGAAACTTCTCCTCATTGTCCAGTTCCTCACTTTCATGTACCTTTTTAAAACTGGCCCAAAAACTTATCCAATCACGTAGACTGACATCATATCTTTTCAGTTCAAGTTTTGGTAACCTATAACTTTTCTTATTGGTTAATCTCGATTCTGATACATTGCTTGAGTCCTATGTTCTTTTAATTGTAATTTTATCTTTTATAAAAACAGCTGAAAGCCATTTTTCTTTGTAAGTATCTACCTCATCGAATTCCTTTTCTATTAAACTATCATCCTCAACATGAGTAAACAAAAGTTCTTTAATCTGGGCGTCTAAACCAAAGAGTCTCGCTGCTTTGTCATTGAATTTTAAAAATGCTGCTGAAATATCATATAAGTCGCAATCCTCTTCTTCGGACAATCGGATAAAATCATTGTAGCTCGAGGTAAATCTTTTCCGTACATTTGTTCTTTCCTTTTTTAAATTATCGAATGCATTCATCTTATATTCAATGAATAAATTAACTACTTACCCGTTCCCCACAACGGATGCCAGTATTTTTCATAATACAAAAGGAACAACAATGGGAACTTGTAAATAAAGTAGTGATTGAGTGCACTTTTAAACAAAAACAAACACAAACTTATATTTTTCAAATTTTAGAAAGTAGAGTTTTTTAAGAACACAATTCTTTCTAACTTACACTAATACTTCAGTAACATCTGTTTCCTTTATTAGAACAGCTGTTTTTAAATATCTTTTAGAACAGCTGTTTTTCCTGGAATTAAAATAATACATTTCACATTGTATTTAAATGTAAAAAAAATCAAACATTACGGTTTACAAATTCCCGAACAGTTTGCATTTGACTTCCTTGCTTTCTTTAATGTGTACAGCTATTAACTAAGTTTTAATTATGAATTAATTTTCTTATTCATCTTCTTTTATCTTTTTACTTTTTGCTTATAAATGTGACAAATTAATTTCATTAATTGCAATCAAAATGCAGCATGAGTTCAGCTTTGACAATCATGAATTTTTGGAAATTGCACTAAACAGTGACAATAAAATATTTAGAAACTAAACATAACTTAATAAATCACAATAAAAACAATATACAACAAAACTGCCCCTAGACAAAGGTTTAAGGTTATGTTTATACTTTAGTCTAAGTAGAGTTCAAAATATTTCTCCTCGACTAGTAGAAGGGGCAATGGTCCTACCCCTCCAACACTAAAAGGGTCTTCATTAATTTGGTCCACTGTACCTAAGTTTGTCTCTCTTCCTACTTTTTGTGTCAAAAAGAGGTAGGCTGTTGTCATAATTAGGCACAATCCACTCAGTTTCTTGTTTCAGTGCATGTTTTAAGTTAGAAACATGGTTAAGTTTTAAAATAAATACTTTGTTTAATAACGTCAGTTATTTATTATTTCTCACAGCACTGTTAATTGCTATGAATGGCATGTGTTTGCAAAAAATACCTATAAGGAAATATAGTTGTTTCTCTTGTGGATTTATTAAAAAAATAAAATTATCTAAAAATTAATTTAATAAATTGTTATTTCAGATAAAATTGAAAGATGGCAGTGAACATACAATTAACTTTGCCGTAGTTGTAATTGCTGCTGGAGGGTGTTCTGGTGACGTAGCCAAATTGGCAGGCATTGGCCTTGGGACAGATGAACTGGCTGTTCCTCTTCCTGTTGAACCGAGGTGTAAATTTAGATTTGTTTTATATAATTATGATGATGATTTAAAATAGATCACATGATGCAAAGTGTCTTCTAAGAATTTATTTCTTTTTCAGTATTGACTATTTATTATTAACCAGTACCACATATTTTTCTAACTAACATGATTAATTTAGGTATAAAGAAATGCTACTAATTTATTTCATACTAATATTTTTTTTCCAGAAAACGTTATGTTTTCAATATACATTGCCCAGAAGGTCCTGGAATTCGCAGTCCTATGATAATTGACCCTAGTGGAGCTTACTTCAGGTGAGGTTCAGTAAGATTATTAACATTTTTTTGCCATTTTCAACATTTAGATATGCATAGAAATAGGTGAAAAAAGGAAATATTGGTATATTTTTCAGCATAATTTGGTAGTTGATGGTAAAGTATGTTATTATAAGAATGTTTAAGAATAAATATGATATTTGTTATGTGACCAAACTTCATAGCTGTTTGATAAAAACATCTGGTTATTAATTTTTAATGATAATAATATTACCTTGTTATGATTAACATGGAAACTAAAAAAGAAAAGACAAGACACAGTAGGAACTAGCGATAGGTTAGTATAGTTAATTTCAGTGAAACCCTAGAAGAGGAGGCGATACAATCAATAGGAGTTATAGAAAAAATGTTCTGCTTTCTCAACTAAAGAGAGATTACGATAGATACGAATATGGCTATCTATAAATTAATGTTCCTTCTTATCCATAATATTATGAGCCCTGACCATAAAAATAAAGTAGCCATTTAAAGACTATAAATATATTTTAGTACAAGACATAAGTGAATTAAAGGAAAGATTCCAGTAAACTAGAAGATGTCTAATCATATGGAAGAACAAAGGAAAAGAAGTGTTCCAGAAGTCTAGATAAGCCTGGATTCTGTAAAAAGGCCTCAACAACATAAATGGTTAAAAAAAATAACATAACATTTTATTGCATTTATGCTAAACTGGCTTTGCGAATTTAATTTGTAATGTAAAAATTATAAAATATTAGCTGATCTTCATGAATGATGACACTCTTCTCTAGGAGGAGCTATAGCATTTATACAACCAGTCTTCGCCGCTATTTAATTTTTTTTATATAAGTTTTAATAAATAATGTATTAATTATAGCATAACTTAATTTATGCTCTAGAAGGAAATGAACAGAAGTTTTATGATAGTCTTTCACTGGAGAGTCTTCAGAAAAACTATATATCGATTCCTCTGCGCCATTGAAGAATAAATTGTTGGATCCGCTGACTCAGGTGCAGGCCATTTACTACAAAAGCATCTTAATCTGCTTAGTTCGGCCCGAAACATTGAGATGAAGCCATTTTACTCAATTCTAAATCTAAACAGTAATAAAAAAAAAAATCGATCTTATGGATAGATATGATCTTCGGTTCATAGTTTTAGTCTCCCTCACACTTAATATTTATTAGAGGATAAGATATGGCAGATATAGGAAGGTTGTAGCTACCACCAATTATTATTAAGCATACTTTAGTTTAGTCTGTCTTTGATTTTTTTCTCAAGTGGATTACAGTTAGTTTCATGTTCCAACAAAACATTTTTATAAAGCTATTAGATAGCAATAATGTGAGTTTTGGTATAAATTAGTTTAGCTGTTTTTCTATGAAAAGGAGACTCACCATCTGTTTTTTTGTCCCGTTCTCATTTTGTTTTAAGGCGAAGGACAGCAGGTTAATATACCTAAAAACCTCTTAAGGCTTTCTATAATAACAGAAATAAAGCTTTGTCGAAATCAGTTGAGTTGATTCTAATGAAAATAAGTTTAGTAACACAGATAAAAATTTACTAGTTTTTTTTTTTATAACATCAGAATTTATTAAAGTTTAACCTGCTCTACAACATCTCTGAGGCTCCTTAGCCCACATATCTGTCTTTCTGTATTATTTTAAAGGGACTCATCCTAGAATAAATAAAGTATTATTATTAAGACGTAAAATCTAAAAGTTATTCATGTGGTTTTGAACAGTAATAATTAGATTTCCAATGGTTGTAATAATGTTGATTTAGGAGAAAATCCTGAGGAGTTATGAATATTTTAGTAAATGGTATAAAATAAAATCCTTCCATGAAATTAAGTTTGGACTTATTTATATTTTTTTATTACAAAACAAACTCGTATTTAAGAGAAGTCAAAAATTTATTCGGCCTACTTTACTGGAAGCCTCTTTGGATTTTTTATACATTAGAATACTTTTTTAAATATCATTACCAATATGTTTTCCTTATTTTACACAAAATAAACAAATTGGTTGATATTTAATAACTTCAAAAACAATGGAGAGCGAAGTCAGAAAACAGTAATGTAAAAAATAATAAAAAAAATGTTCTCAGCTTTTAGGGCACATGAGCAAGAACTTTCGGACTAATATCGTCTAATATTTTTGACCTAATATCACCAAAAAAGTTTCATTGAAATCGGTGACCCCATATTCATAATCTGCCTTGTGAGTGAAATTAGCAACAATAGTAATTTTATGGTTCATTGAAAATGTCTTGAGCAATCAATTACATAGAATATTTATTTAATCTGGAGTTATCTTTGTTACAAATTATTTTTTTATAGTCTTGGAAACATTAGGTCATTAGGTCTTTATTGTGAGATTTCAGAATTTTCTGTTCTATATAAAAATGTTTAATATTATTAAGTAATGCACTTTAATATTATACATAACAGACAAAAAATTTTCAAATCCTGATTTGTGTCTATTAGGAACAACTAAGATCATTCTAATTTTCTCAATTGATAACTTCCACGGTTTATTATGAATTTTATAACGATTCTTTATTTTAAGAGTCTGTAATCTAAGAGACTAAGATAATAATGAAGAGAAGAATAGTTGGGGTGGTCAGTCAAAAAGGAAGGCAAAAATAAATGATAATATTTATTTTTTACATATGCCGACGTTTCGACCTGAAGTTCAGGCCTTCATCAGGGCTAAGAAAATAACCAGATAACAAGGTATGAGAAACATAAGTAATGATGGTAAAAAAGATAATAAAAAAAAAATAAAATAAAAAAATTATTAGAAAAATAAAATAGATAAATATAAAGTAAAATGAAATTGTTAGAATAATGACTAAGAACTAAGAGATAAATAATAAAAACCGTTACAAAGTGTGGAATGATGAAGTAGGCATAATCAAAAAGGGGTGACAAAAGTGTTACAATGGGAATCTTAGAATAAAATGTAAAACATAAAAAAGAAATATAAAGTTATATAAGAAATGAAAATAAATAGTAAAATTAAAACATTGAGAATGGAGTAGTTAGATAGAAAATTGAGATATTGTAAAGTCTATCAAGATGTACAGACAATGTATAATATAATAAAGAGTTAAAAACAGAGAAAAGGAATGAAAGGAAGGAGGGAAGAAATTGAGAAAGCTGAAATAAGAAAGAAATAAAAGAAGTACTACCTGTCTCCTTAAGTGTCGCAGGGAGAATAAAAGTCGTTACAAGGGAGGGGGAGAGAGAAGAGATGTGTAGGTGGCGTCATCTCTAACGGTTATCCGACGAAGTTTGAACTAAAGCGCTGGAAGCGTAAATAGGTACGAGATATATTACATATAATACATATATGACAAATACAAAGTAATAGAAATCACAGAAACACACACAAACACATATATATATAATATATATATATATATATATACATATATATATATATATAAATATATATATATATATATACATATATATAAGGAAGTTGTCAGCAAAAAGGAAAGGAATATAACTATGGATGTTTTAATAAATTCAGAATTTGGGAGTAGGCTAAAGAAAAGTTCTGTTTGTCAGATTTTAGATTCACTGTCTTTGGTTGAAGCTGGATGTGGAGGGTTTCAGAAATGAGTCGTTTGTCATGGTTGAGAACTGTGGCAAGGATGGATGTTTTGTCGAAATCAAATGAATGATTGAGGGAGAGAGAATGTTCGGATAATTTGGAAGCGGTAAAATAATAATGTTAAAAGTGTCTTCTGAAATCAAAAGATATCCACTAAGATTTTTCTGTCATAGCTTCACTTGATTATATGAGTATGGGTTTAACTTCATATATTAACTAATTTAAATTTGAAGATTTTTAATTCTCTTGCTTCTTTTAACAATAACCATTGTTCTGTCTCCAGGAGAGAAGGACTAAGTGGACATTATCTGTGTGGGATTTCTCCGCCTGATGAAGAAGAACCATTAATTGACAACCTAGATGTAGATTATAGTTTTTTCGAAGAAAAGCTATGGCCAATAATAGCAAACCGTTGCCCTTCTTTCGAAAACGCTAAAGTAAATTAAATTTGGGATTTAAGTCATTACAAAAAATTTTCTTTCTTTCTTTTAATAATATAAAATTTATATAGGTGAAATCAGCATGGGCTGGATTTTATGATTTCAATAGATTTGATGAAAATGCCATTATAGGACTCCATCCAGCTTTTATAAATGTCTACTTTGCAACTGGATTTAGCGGCCACGGTATTTCATTCATTTGATTAAATTGCATGACAAATTATTTTTATTATTATTGTTTGTTTTTATAAATTATATTATTTTGATTAAGATAACTGTCATTCCTAGACTCAAGAATGATATAGCAGGCCATGCTTTAACATACTTGGCTACCACCATGTCCTCTACTTTCAATTGTCTAAAAATGAAATATATAATCAGGAAGAGTTTTCAATGAAAATCCATGTTTTAAAGTCTCCTTAATTTAAATAACTAAATTTCACAAAATAATCTGTGAACAGAATTAGTTCAAAAATGTAAGATACTGAAATTAAGTATTCAAGATAGGTATAAGTCTGACACGTTACAACAACTTTATATTTTTACTGTTTTATCAAAACTTGTTATAGGGATATAAAATTAAAAACTTTCTATCCTAATTTTGGTTGTAACAGAGCGGTCTGTGTTTATTTTTAAATCAATCATTTTCCTTCATTTGTCAATCTTATACAACCATTTCTGGATTCCTAATTCACACAATATACATCGAAATTGTTTTATTTTTAACTTTGTAAAGGTTACAATGAAAACTACTCCGCACTTTTATTTCTTATTATTATTTTAGTTCTGATTCAATAAAAACTATACATAAAATTTTAATTTTTTTTTCTTTAAGTACACCAATGTTTTATGTTCACGTTACAGGTATACAACAATCTCCAGCGATAGGAAGAGCAATTATGGAACTGATAATTGATGGTGGATATATGACAATTGATCTAGAGAGGCTCGGCTTCCAGAGGTTGATAACAAACGAACATCTCTTTGAAAGCAACATTGTATAATTGTAAATAAATAAATTTTAAAAACATACAAATTCAACAATTGGTTCTTTATTCAAGAAATAAAAAATGAATTTAAAGATTTGTACTGTACCACCAACCTTTCTGGTTGGTGATAATATAATATATATATATATATATATATATATATATATATATATATATATATAAATTTAGCTTTGTTGATTGGAGCATCAACATGAAGTAGAAGGGACTCATCGCAACTGTTGTGGAGGAGGTCCAAAAAGTCCACCAGACTGCTTACTTGCAGTACGTGATGGTGCAAATCCAAGCATTTTTTGTATGTTCTGCAACAAGAAAGATCATTATTAAATAAACTACTCGGCTAATTACCAAGCTATAAGTACAAATCCAGTAAGAAACTGAATCACTTAAACTAAACTATGTTTTTTAGATCCCTTAATATATAAAAAGGATAAATTCATGTCTGCAAAGTGACATGAAGTGAATCTTAGCAAGACAGCTAATAATGCATAAATAATACAAAAATAAACAATCATATATAAGATCATAGTATTTCTATTATAACATTAATTGGTAAAATGACTTGTTGAAGAATCTTACAAAAGCAATTTCTCAATTACCCATCTCGGACTTTTTTACTTTCACTTACCTATTATGTAATATTAGTAAAGGAAAGTATTGCGATCATGAAAATTTTATAATGGTGTATCTAAGTTTCATTTACGGTAATCAATCGGTGCCAAGAGTGTAGGAAATGTTCATTCAAACACATTTTTGGCAACGCGGCACCCAATGTGCGGACAGCTTTCTCATATCTAAATGTTGATTTAATATGTAACAAACACGTTCTTTTGACATGTTCATAACTTCTGCTATCTATCTCACTTTAATTCGGCGGTCTAGCACCATTTGGCGAACTTTGGCGATGTTTTCATCGGTATTTGCAATTTTTGGACATCCCGAATGTTTATCGTCTCCCAAGCTCTTATGGCCCCATTAAAATACAGCTGCCCAAAATTTCACTGTTTAAATGATGGTGCAGAGTCCCAATACACAGAATCCAACCCATCTTTGATTTGCGTAAGCGTATTGCCTTTCAAAAACAAATATTTAATGACAGCTCGATACTCAATTTTGTCTATTTTCACATCAACATACTCAAACGACTGTTAAATAAAAAGTGGCTGAAACTTTGGTGGGTAACTGTCAACAAATGAACAATGAAATTCACTTGCTTTTATTTATGAGTTGCGGACAGAAACTTTTCAGACCATCCTTGTATGTTGTGAGAGGGCAGTTGCATTTATTGGTTGATTGTAGTCTTTAATTTTTTGGAAGTTTCTCTTATGTATACTTAGTTACAATTTTTACATGCTATTTCATAAATGGCATTTTGTTCATCTAATTTTTCTATTTTGTCCTTCATATTCGATAAATGGTTTTCAAATTTATTGTTATATATTTCAAGTTTTATATTGTGGTGACCATATGTTGTGAGTGCTTTTTTAATCTTATAGCTGGCCCGTGTGAATAATTCACATAAAATATTAGTCAGAGAACAACTGATAGAATAGTATGGCAATATGTTAATACAATGTATTAGGAGTTGGAAGAATTCATTTTCCTTTTCTTGGTCGAATTAAAATAGTTAATTCATAAAACTAGCCAAAACATTTGTACAATTTACTGTAGTCTATATCTTTGCTCATAACGGTCCGATTTTGATATATTTTTTTTTTATTTTGTAGGAAATTTTGTAACCTTTTAATTATTCATGTATTTAGTCCACAGTAAATTGCATACTTTCCATGTTATGGCCAAATTAAGTTTGTTTGTTTGTCTGAGATAAAGAGGGTTGGTTCAGACAATCTTTAAAATGATGGTCCAATAATTGGAACTAACGAAGATATGGCAAAATAAAATACCAGTGAGTAAAAATATATAGTATATATTGTATTTATTTATGACATTGTTATATAGTTGTTTTTTAAAAAATAAATAAAAATAATTTGATGCCATCTTCGTGTTGTTTTTCAAAATTTCAACAATATTATTTTCCAACTCCACTTCACTCTAATGTTCTTTATAGGCACAACGCTCAGTCTAGTTGTGCATCACCATGATATTTACCACGCAGGAAAAAACTCAAGGGATGTCACCTTTGTCAATAGGTTTTCATGTTTTAGCCTTGAGTATCCGATTCATAGTTTCGCTAGGCTGATCTCTTTTATTCTTTTCAACTGCAGGTGCACTCGATTTGTATCTACAGAGGATTGGAAATTGTAATTTTTAAAAGAATCAGAATCTATGACAACAATGGCATCAAAATTTCCTATCGCAGGTATAAGGTTGGGCTCAAACAGAAAATGAAAACCTGTACATTTTAGGGCATTAAAAGGTGGTTAGGTAATTTTAAAAATTGTCAGAGTTATCCTTTTCTACATTAAAATAAGATATTATGAAAGTAGTTTTTGAAAATGGTACGTGTAAAAATGATAATTAATATTTTATAATACTCCTTTGGAAATAAAAATAGATAAATTACAATAGGCTGTATCTTTGTAAATAATGGTCTGATTTCCATTTTTTTTTTCCTTTTGTAGGGAATTTAGTAAATTTTTAAGTAATAATGGGTCTAATCAGGAAAAAAATGTCAACTTTTTAAGTAATTCACAAATAAATTATATATATTTTTTTTATTTACCAACTTTCCTAGAACGCTTTAATGTTTCAGGAAAAGTTCTGCCATCATTAGAAACATGTTCACTAATGTTAGGTCCTTCCCTTTCTTTGTTCTGCCCCTTTATAATTTTATAGTATTTATTTATTACTTTTTAGTACTTAGGCATATTCAGGAATAATATACATCTTAGACTACCTATAAATTCTGATGATGGGAAAACATTTCTCAAAACGTTAAACAGTGTAAAGAAATGTGATGATAAACAAAAAAAGAATATGAATATTTTTTTAGTATACATCTATTTATATACAAAAATGGGAATTAAACATCGAAAAAATATATTATTATTTCTCTAAAATATAAAAAACTTTTTAGTGACCCTGTAATATTTTATTTTACATATAAGGTAGAATGCCCGCAGAGTGCTACTGCCGAGCATCTTTCTGGTTGCAGTGCCCTAATCCCATCACCCAGATAAAATTTTTTTGAACTGTTCAGGATATAAGTTCTTAACTTAACTATTCTCTTCTTTACCAAATTCTGTGTTTCGTACACCTTTTTCAATTTTATAAAGAATTACTTTTATAAAAACCCCAAAGATTTGTATTTTCCACACTTTCCGTGAAAAAAAAATATGAACAAAATTAATTAAAATCAGGGATTATAAAGTTGGAGATGATATCATTTGTACTGGATCTTAATAAGTCTACATTCCATTGTTAAATTTTATATAATATTTGTAAAATTACTTCAGATAACTTACCTGTCTGATAGACATGGTACACAGAATATACAAAAATAAAAATGAGCATTCTGTATAATCTTCACCAGGCAAATTTCTGTGAGATAATCCTTGAATCCATGAGAGAGGTACAAATGGCAATCTAGCTACTATTCTACCATCAAATCTGAAACAAAAATTTAATTTCAGGGGTCTCTGAAGTTTTTGGCTGGTGGACCACATTGATAAGGCCATGACTGGCGATAGTAATTAAAATATCAATATACAGATGTTTAAAAACAATGTTGTTAATGATACATCATCATAAAAAGATGAATGTTTTTTTCTTTATTTTCTGTCAAAGTAATATTGGAAACTTTATTAATTGATTCAGCAGAAAAAATATCTGGGGTGGCATGCATCACACACTTTTCACTTACTAACCTAATTAAATTTCTGCTCAAATAATTAATATTTAAAATTATTAATTATTGTGGGTAAAGTTATAGTTTTCAGAGGTTATTACCATATATATGTTTTATCAACCCATAAATGCTGCTTGAAATATTTTGACCAGCAAGTACTTCTCTCTCAGATAAGTATAATATATCAGTTTTTAAACAACTCCAGAACACAAATTTTATGTATTATATATGTTCAGCTGTCAAGCTTAAAATTAGTTGTTGATGTTTCCGTTCACAAATATTAGTTTCTGGTAATTATTATTCATAATTTTTTTATTGCTCTCCATTACCTTCCACGACTTTACATCTTATATGGAGAAGCTAGACGTGAGTTCCCTGGTTAAATTAAACTTTTTTTGGAGATACTGGGTAAAACGTACTATCCCATTTCGGACAATAGATCCATGTCTGAGGCTTCTAGCTGATGGTGCCCTATAAAAGCCAAGAAAATTATTTTATACAATTTTCTTTGCTGTATATTGATTTCTAGGTTGTGATACATTAATTAAATTTTTTTTTGTGTAAAATTCTTTTTTTGTGTAAAATAAGAAAAACATATTGCTAATTATATTAGACAAATTCAAATGTATAACAAATTAAAAAAAACTTCGACAATTTTCTGGCTGTTATGAATAATTAAATGACAATTAAAAATAAATTAATTTACAAAGTTGTCTAACCTTAATATTAAAATAAAGAAACATATAAATTTTTCATATTAAAAATGAAGACACTAGTAAACATATGATCTTGAAGTAGATATATGAATTTATAGTTGAGAAAGAGTACAATATTATACAATTTATACCGAATGAAGGAGAAAAGTGGGTTAAAATATTTTTTTTAGAGAAAAAAGTTGAAATTTCATTTTGCACCTCGGAAAACCCTAAAATACAAATTTTCATAATAGAAAAATAAAAATTTTTTGTTCAAAATTTTTCAAAAAAGTGAAGCCTTTAATTTGTTTTTGGAAATCACAAAAATTGTAATAACATGGTTTAGTAAACAGCATGACAAATAATGCTCCCATAAAATCTAATCCAAAACTTCATATTTTTTATTCAAAACAAATTCGTATTCAACAGTTTCAAAGGACACTAATTTTGAATTTGAATTGCTTTCTCATAAAAACAATTTACTTGACTAGTAGCTTTTTAACTTTCCTACCTATACTAGGTAAGAAAATCATTGCAATTGGGTCAAATTTCCGATATGCGGTTCACGACGGATCTATATGTTTTAGAGTTCCTTGAGTCCTAAAAACACATTTTTAGCCATTGGTCTTTCTGTGCCAAGTCCCCTGTCTGTCGGTTCTCGGGAACGATTTTGTTGCTTCTTTTTTTATTTTGTAGAGTTTTGACTACTGATGCCTGTGACATAAATTAGGTGCTCCCTGCGCAATAAGTAAAAAATATATTTTTCTATATACTCTAGCACAAAAAATGCTCTAACAATTTTGATGAAACTTTCCTACAATAATTTCCTAATAATTGTCCTTTCAAGTTCCATACATGTACTAAATTCCTGAGAAAATTCAGAAAAAAGTTATAACGAAAAGAAAAATGTTTTGGGGCCTAACTCGCTAAGTATATATTCTATTGTAAAATTTATAATAAAACTTTTGAAAGGTAATTAAATTACCAACAAAAAATCATCGGAATCGAACCTGTATTAGCGATGATACAGCTTATTCTATTTTCTACAAGTTTAAATTTATTACTTTCCTATCTATTCTAGGTAAGGAAAGTATTGCGATTGGGTCTGTTGCCTACATCACTCAAGCTTCACTATTTCCTCTACTGTTAACAGAAATTATTGTGTAACAAAATTAGGCTATGGTAAGAAGTTTTTGATTAGCAATATTAGCAGGTATTAAAATCTTCACACTTATCTACCACAAGCCGGTTAACATTGCTTTAGTTTATCAAAGAAATCGTACTCAAATCTTTTCTTTGATCAATTTTCAGGAAAATAAATATAATTCAATTTTGTTTTTGAAAGGTAGGATAGTGTGAGTGGACACTCCAGATTTTTTTTTTTTACATTTGTATTGTTTTAGTATAATCAGCAGTACATTTTCCTCATTTTACACACACACAAAAAAAAAAAACAGGATTACCAGGGGTTCCGATTATTAAAACTGTCCTGTACTATTAGAAAATTTGGTGTTTACTTAGTCAGACTAAAACATAGAGGACAAGATATATTCGATATTTAAGAGCATTTATATTTATAAGGAATTTAGTAGAAATCGTTAAGAGCCATTCTTGAGAAAATTGTCCAAGTGCATAAGATAGATTATACAAAGTTTCACTTGCAGTAAGCTGATTTTGATGAAAAGGTTGCTGTAACATAAGATGAAGATGTTTACTAAATACATAGGTTCAATTTTGTGAGATGCAATCTAGGTTATTTGGACTCGACCTTCCTTCCTTAACCTCCAGGATGTTGCTAGAAAGCTAGTATAAATTCTAATATCATAGATATGACTGCAGGCCAAAGTAGAAGTCTTAATGAAGATTATATCCAGATTGGCCTTTAGCTATTCAAACAAGTATATCTGGAGTCACAAGTTAATGCCAGTAACTTCTGTTGATTTTTTTTTTTTCTCGATTGCTCCATAATTTAACAAATTAATTGTGAAACAAAAAAAAAGTTAAATAAAAACCAGACTCTATAAATACCGTGGATTTTTAATGACACGTGAATTTATCATCATCTTGACGGAACAACCCGTTTCCCAGACGGAGTCGCTGCTGCCAATCGTTACAATTCCGTGCAGCCGCCATCCAGTTGGACAAGGACGTTTTAAGTGTCATCTACAACTACGTCTACTCATCCATGTTTCAGTTGACCTCGTCATCTCATTACATAGAATGGCTCCAGTAAAAACTTCTTGGGTAAACTCTTCCTCGCCATTGCACCCCTCAAGCCCTGGCAATCTCAATCGGCCCAGTTTAACTATCTGAACAGCATTTGTCTCTTTAAATAAACCAAAAACCTCCTTGGTTTGTACTTCTTCTCCAGGTTTCATCCACCAACATTTCCAAATATCATCCAAAGTATTTTCAACTCGAACACAAGAAGTATCTGTTTCATGTTCTTGGTCATAGTCCAAGTTTCCAGCCATATATCAGAACTTGCCAAGCCAAGCTGTTTTCTTAGGCTGTAGTAGCCCTGGGTTACCGTTAAGGCTTAATTAATAAATTCAGTGATTTTCTCAAGTTGGTAGCCCCAAATATCACCACCTCACAGCATTCAGACCATGTTTGTTTTTCTCCTGGTTCACCTCGAGTCCAAAATTCCTTGTAGGACGCTACAGTACTAGAAATGTTTTAATGACAGCCTATTAAGAGCGACCGATGATGTTGACATCGTCTGCATAATACAGTAGATACACACTCCAACTGAATATTGTCTGTCCGACCAATATCCTCGATTCTCTCATAGCCTTCTCGTGACAACATTGAATAAGAGATATAAAAGAGGATTTGTGTCAAATAAAGAAATTAAAAATGTTATAATTGTAACAAAAATTCTGAGATATTATCTGATCTCTGTCCATGTATTAATATAATTATTTGTATTACTTTACAAGATTTTATCCTCTTTAATGAGGGAACACAAGATCTCATGATCACACTATAGATATAATATCTAGAATGGCCAAGTATTGACATGTTCATAAATATAACCTCCCTTTATTAAAATTGATATCTTCCCGAAACTCTCAACTGATCCTTATAAGTTAAAATCAGGACCTTTACTAACTTGAATTACATTGCTGCTTTTCAAATGGGATGAACAAATTCCTATCAGTTGAGATCAGAGCCTTACCAGACAGTTCAATAACCTACGTTTAATTTCAGACACAATCTGCCATTCTCAGGATTCCATTAATAGTGTGAACATGAGATCATGTGCTACCCATCAATGTGGTACAACGTTTGTAGAGCATTCAACACAACAGATAACTTGTACAATGTTTGTATATTAGACCAGACTTACATGTGGACAAGTTCTTAAACTCAGTAGACAACTGACATCATTGACGAGAATTGAAAATCTAACCATCAATGGATTAGTGCAGAGTTTCTGAAGTTAACTTAACACATGCAAGAATCTTCATGTGTTAAAATTAAGTTAGGTTACACTTTTACTATTTTTTCATTTAAAAAACTTACATGCTGTTAAACATACTCAGAAGAGCAGTAAATGCAAAACCAATAGCAAACATTGATTTCATCTTAACAAGAGACAGGTCTCGATTGTTATTCTTCAACTTTTCCTCTTCACGTTCAATTTTCTTTTTGTGTTGCCGGTCTAAGGAATCTCCATGAGCTTCTTTTCTTTTTTCTACTACAAAATTAATAATTATAGAAAAAACTAGTTATTTGAAAGGCAACTTATTATCAAAAACTTGGAGATCTTACATCTTTTACTCTGCTTTTCAACTTCAGTTTTCAACTTCTGATATTTTTCAGTCCTGTATACCATAACCCATGTTAAACCTGTAAACAATTAAATTTCACTAAATTATAAATAAAAACAAGGTACACTTAGCAGATAGTAATGAGTACCTTCTCCAAGTAATGCAGTGCAAATTGATATGAAAACTATTAAAATAGTATCAGCCCACATTATGAATGACTTGAAACGACAAAACTACCTACAAGTACTTAATCTATGTAAATACAAATACTTAGTAGTTATTAAGTAACAACGAAAAGTACAGTTTGTTATCTAGACCGGAGCCTTCCTGAACTACCTCCAAAGAAGACAAATTTAAGATGAACATACCAAAAGAAATATCGAAAATTAAGAGAACTGGTTATCTTCTTAAATATGTATCAAAATTATCACATAAAGCTATTATTAATTAACATTATAAATTCATATAATTAATAATCAAGCATCATCGATCATCCTCGAAATTAACTTGTGATTAGACATATCCTCAAGCAGTAATAGAAAAATGAAATAAAGCGTAACTAGTATACCCTAAGGAGAATCACCTTAGAACGGTACCCTTTTTCCTAATGTATTCCACTTATAATAAGCGATATCATCGAAACATATTTATTCGTATATACAATATAATTTTATCAAGTCTCTCAATTCGAAACACACAATTCATAAAACTTTATATTTATTTCCATTTTTTCATTAATAAATGATTCTAACTGTATCTACCTGCGTCTGATAGAGTAATTAGATTTTCCATGTTGAATTGCCATTTTTGTTTATTAATTCTTTATGGAACGTCTATTCAAAAATAAAAGGATTATTAGCCGACCATAAAGGAAACAAGTATTTAATTTTAAGTATTTATTTATTTAACGGCTAGACAGGCGCCTGAAGCTGCCCTTGGCCCTCTCAACTGCCCTTTCCCAATCATTTCGGTCAGCAGCATGTCTGCTGGATACTCCCACCATCATCAAGTCCTCAGCCACGGAGTCCTTCCACCTTCCCTTCGGTCTTCCACGTGGTCTGACTTCATCCAGGGTTCCATAATATAATTTCCTCACGGCTCTACCTTCATCCATTCTGATAATATGTCCCAGCCATTTTAAGCGTTGAATTCGCACGAAATGAGAAACTCGGAGATCGTCGAATAAGTCGTAGATCTCTTTGTTCTTCCTTAAACGCCACGTACCATTCTCTTTAACTGGCTCCATGATGCGCCTCAACACTTTTCTTTCAAAACTGTCAATCTTTTCAGCCAGACTTTTGCGTAGGGTCCAGGTTGCACTGGCATAGGTCAGTACAGGTCGGATGATTGTTTTGTATATAATAATTTTGGTAACCCTACTTAGTAGTTTACTCCGGAGGAAACGTCTTAGGGCGAAATATGCTTTGTTAGCCCCCATTACCCGATTTTGAATTTCTTCTTCTTCGTCAACCTGATCATTAACGATGGAGCCGACTGGACACGCATTGAAACGCATATTGTCCCACTACATAATGCTTAGGCGGATTTATAGGTGTTTTCTTCCTGAGCACCATAATTTTTGTTTTTTCCTCATTTATGGATAGTCCAATTCTTCCAGCTTCCCTTTGAAACCTTTCACAGGCCTCCTTGATAGCCTTGAGGGACAGTCCAATCAGCGCCACATCATCGGTATATCCAAGCACTTGAGTCATTTTACTAAAAATGGTGCCCGACTGACTAAGCTCTGCTCTATTCACCACAACTTGGAGGGCGATGTTAAATAGAAGTGGAGAAAGGGGTTCACCCTGTCTAACTCCTGACTTCACTGCGAAAGGTTGGCCCAGCTTCCCATTTATTTTCACTCGACTCGCGCTCCCTTTCAAAGTACACGATACAAGTCGGATTAGCTTCGGTGGAATTCCCATCTCTTCCATTGCCAGGTAGAGCTCTTTCCTGATAATGGAATCATATGCTGCTTTAAAGTCAATGAAAAGGATCCATATAATCTTGTTGAATTCTTTCGTTTTCTCCACTATTTGTCTTAAAGAGAATATCTGGCCAATAGTTGACCTATTCCTCCTGAAACTCCCCTGGTAATAGCCCAACTGAGGTTCCACAAAATCCACAATTCGATTATTTAGAATAACTGAAAATATTTTGTAAGCAGTATTCAGGAGGCTAATTCCCCGATAATTGTTACAGTCTGTGGAAGCACCTTTCTTCTTGAGTAAGGGAATGATGACAGATTCCTTCCTGCTATCTGGCATTTTTTCAGTCTCCCAGATATTAACTATCAGATGAGTCAACTCCTCAGCCAGTGCTGATCCACCAATCTTCAAAAACTCCGCTGGTATGCCATCTGAACCGGAAGCCTTGTTATTCTTGAAATTGTCAACAATCAGGACAACCTCATCTAAATCTGGTGGGCTCACTTCATGGTCATTCTCAATGTCTCGAAAATCCTTATCAGGATACTCGTCATCTTCCCTAGGGTTTAGCAATTCCTGAAAATGCTCCATCCATCTACCTTGCACATCTTGATCCTGGAAGACCATTTTCCCATCAGAAAGCTTTATCATCGGGCAATTATTTATAAAACCTGATTTGATTTTATTTATTTCACCGAAAAACTTTCTGGCCTCATTGTCCCTGCTGTACTCTTCCACCTTACGCCAGTTTTCCTGTAATGCATACCTTTTCTTTTGCCTCAGAATCTTTTTTGCATTAGCTCTGGCTTCCTGGTACTCCTTTCTCTTCTGTCTAGTATCCCTGTTTAGAAGTTTTTTCCTCTTTTCGTTCAGCACATTGACTGCTTCTTCACACTCCATGTCAAACCACACGTTTTTTAGCTTTCTGTTTCCATCTCTCTTACAATGTTGGTCAGCTGAATCAGCTATAGCTTTTCTAATATGGTTTCGGATATTCCTCTTTGAATGGAATTTTGATTCAGTTAGTCACAATATCCTTCTTTTAAAACTTACCTATTGAAATGAAATGAAAATGAATTTTTTTTTTTATTATTCTGGGACTGCTGTCCCTTTAGGACAAATTACAGATACAGAAAAAAATGCCTGTGTGGCCTTTTTATTAAATTAAAATATTGGAAGAAGAAAAAAACAAAAACACTAAAAACTTACAAATATATATAAAACAAATATGGGAAAGTAAAATAGCATAAGTAAACAAAAAGTTCTCTTATGTACACTTCATGATCAATCGGGTTGGGGAAGGAATAGGTGCTTAAAAGGGAGAGATTTATATGAGGAAACTGATTGTGCATCTCGGATATCGGGAGGGATGGTATTCCAAAGGGAGACGGCTTGAATTATAAAGGATTTTTATAACGCAGCAGTTCGGTAAGGAGGTACTAGTACTGGTGGGGGACTTAGTCCAGCAAGTGGGCCTGTTGGTCCTTTTTGCCAATCCCAAAAATTTGATACTAGCAGTGGTTGTCTATTGTACCTCTATTCTGTCTCAAACCTTTTTGTTCTTCTAATGAAGTTAAAAGGTTGGACCATTTTATGGAGGCAGCTTTGCATACTTGGATTCTGTCTTCTCCCAGAAGTCTGTATCCGAGTGACGCAAATCGGTCATATTCCGTTATGAAGTGAAGGGCAGTTTCAGGTGCACTTCTGCAGAGATTACAGAGTTCATCATCCACTATCCCATAGATCTTTAAATGACTTTTAAGTCTGCAGTGGCCTGTTAGTACTCCGATTTTAGGTCCAGCAGCCACTTTGTTTTGGAGGGAGAGGGGCTTTTAATGAATTTCTTTGCTTGTCTAAGCTCGGTGCATTCCCTCCATTCTTCACCTGCTCTTTTCAAAGTCGAATCAAGGACTTCTTTCCGCTGATGCTTTTTGGATATTCCTATTGCAGGTTCCGGGCCTAAAATAGGAAATTATCCTCCTTTCCTTGCAAGGAAATCGGCGTTTTCCTTGCCTTTAATTCCCTTGTGACCAGGGACTACCCTCTTGGAGCAGGCCAGTTTCTCCAACGCCTGCTTACACTCCTGCACTAGTGTGGAGGTCACTTTGGGAGACTCCAATGCTTTTAGTGCCGACTGACTATCCGAATATACAGTAATGCCAGCATTATCGCTATTGGTAACTTCTAAATAGGTGGCTGCAGAAAGTATAGCAAACACCTCTGCTTGAAATACTGTAGCATGTATACCTAGTGGTATGCTTAGTTCTATATTTAGGTTCTCTATATAGACTCCTGCACCCGTTAAACTAGTCTTTCCTTGATCTATCAGTAAAACAGGGCAGGTAGTCCTTTTGAGTATCTACAGAACCCTGTGTCCAGTCTATTATGTTAGGGTACAGGTAGCTAACCTCACTGTCTAGAATAAAGTTTTTATCAAGCGGCGGATAAAGGTACCGTAAGATAGGTAACTCTTTTTCCACCTTCTTGGCTATTTCTAAGTGGGCGGTGAGTGTCTCTGTTAATTTCCACTGTCTATTATCCTCCATTCTTAAAAATGCCTTAGCCGCCTCACCTATTATCCATAGGTGTAGCGGAGTCAATGACAATAAGATTATCAGGGCCTTTGTAGGTGTAGTGCGGAATGTCCGAGTAATACTAATGCAGGCCATTCTTTGAATGCGACATAGCATTCGCATATGAGTGGCCTTATTTAGGGCTATCCACCACACCACGCTTCCGTATTGTATTCTTGGTCTAATTATTGCCGTATATATCCAATGCTTTAGGATTAAAGCCACAAGTTATACCTACAGCACGTCTTACTTGGCAAAAGACTATTATTGTTTTCCTTTTAACTTCTGTCAAATGTGGTCCCCAGTTCAGTTTTGAATCTATGGTAATACCAAGGTATTTGACATTCTGTCTTAGTTGAAGTTGCTTACCAAAGAAGCTTGGAGCCTTGAAGGAATCCAGTTTGCGTTTCTTGGTAAAGAGAATCAACTCAGTCTTTAATGGGTTGACTGATAAGTTCGTATCAGTACATCATGACTACATAATGTTTCAAGCGACTAGTATTCCTTCAAAAATGGTACTCATGAACTTTCCTGTGATGAGGATCGTGCCGTCATCCGCGAATGCCCTGTCATAAATCCCAGCTTCTTCCAGTCTATTTAATAGGTCATTCATTACCAGACGCAGCTCCCCAGGGGGCATCCCCTCACCGCCCGCGCCCGCAATCTGACTGCTTCTTCTGAAACATCAATAATTCTATTTTTTAGTACAAATCTCACCCAACTGATAAGTCCAGTTGGGGTAGATATGTTTACTAAGGCTTTACAAACTGCTTCTGGTTCAGTCTTATCGAATGCCCCTTCTATGTCAAAAAAGAGTCCTAGTGCAGACTCCTTAAAGTGCAGGGCACAGGGCACTTGGTGCAGGGAGCGGATGAAAAAGAAAAGTTGGCAGACCGAAACTGATATGGAAAGATGGAGTAAGTGTTGATGCCAGTATCCATGGGATCAGGAACTGGTGGAGGCTGCTCAGGACAAGGAAAACTCTTGAGGCAGCCAAGCTCCAGTAATGGATTGTCGAGCTCTGATGATGATGATGATCAAATTAGAAACTTCGTCTTAGAGGATGTTTTCCCCCTATATTTCTCCTTTCTTTAAATAGCTGTTTTTGGAACTTTTTTTCGGAATTATTTTTCCACCATCCAGAGGTGGACGCGCCCACTGGCAGAAATAACTAGTGCTGGTCACGATAATACTTTTTTTTATATTACAGTAGAAAATTCGTCTATGAGGATGAATTTTTGCTATATTTCTTTTCTTTAAATAGGTATTTTTCTGCTTGCGGTTGGATGTGTCCAAAACTGTCTACTTTTTGTTGGTAGATTTCAGTTTTCTTTCTTCTTTTTTCTCTGGAAGAGTTTTATTTACAAAAGGTTCGACCCATCTTCAAAGGGAACACAATGTAAAATAAATAGTTTTTTTTTTTAATTTATTTTATTTAATATTAATAGTCTGCCACAATGTAGAACATTGGTACTAGGGCTATGGTATTCATTCACACAATATTTACATAAAAAAGGAAAATAAAAATAATTAAGTAAGAAAAAAAAATGTATATATAAATAATAATATATATATATATATATAAGACAAAAGTAATATACAAGATAAGCAAAATACCAGATTAAAGTCGAATGACAATAAAATAAATAAAACACATTCACACCTACGTACAATATTTATAATGGCCCAGGGGACTCTGAATCAAGCTTTGTCCCCCAAATGGACTTAAGTGAAGAATCTGGCCAGTGTCAGTACTCCAATATACACATATTTACAAAAGGTTGTGGGACCACTGCCGTTTTAACCTCCGAGGATTTTAGAGATGACTGGAGCTAGATAGAGACTGTGCTACAGGATTAAGTCAAGTACAAATGGAATATTAAGATCATTATGTAGGGTTTTATTGGTTACATAAAAGGGAGCATAGACTATTGTTTGAAGAATTTTAGACTGGAAAGATTGAATGCGTTTGATGTTAGAAAGTTTTGCTGTTCCCTATAGTTCGAGTTCGTACGTCCAGATAGGTTTTCAGGATTAGATTAATAGTTTGTTCTCAACTGAAAGTTGAGATTTTCTATTGAGTAGTCTATATAGTTGGCCATATCGTCAGTTAAGTTGTTGCCTTTTAAGTCTGGTATGTGGGTTCCATGTTGTCTTTTGTCTAAAAGGAATCCAAGATACTGAACTGTGTCGGAGAGGGGAAGTGGTATCGAGTTGAAATAAACTGGTGGACAGGACTTGCGCTGAAGGATGAATGTGGTGTGTTTGGATTTGGATTCATTTACTTGGATGCGCCACTTATTACACCAGTGTTCATTAAAAGAGAGGTGACTTTGTAGGTTATATGATGCTGTTTTGGGATCTGAATTGGAAGATAGGATGGCTGTGTCATTAGCGAATGTTGACACTCCGTTGAGGAACTCCTGCCTCAATGGAATAACAGTTGGAAAATTCAGTTCCACAGTGGACTTGAAAGTAACGGTCAGAGAGATAGGATTGAAGTACTAGATATAATGACCGAGGTAGATAGGTAAATAAATAGTAATTACAAGGTTCCTAATTTTTTTTTTTTTAAACAATCTGATTATTATGATGACCTGTTGAATTTTATAGGTTCCTGCAATATCAAAAACTTTCCAAATCTGATAACTTTTATGAGATCAGCATCCAATCTACTCCTTAGTTATCTAAACCTTAATTATTTGAACCCAGGAAATCAAGTTGCCTTATATATACATACATAATAATAAAAGGATTGAGGGAGGGGAAAATAAACATAACTCCATATTTAAAAAAAAAATCATAAGCATTATATATTTCTTCTTTTTCATCTACAGAATTTGTATTGCTTTAGATAACAAATATTCTCAATATCCCAGCAAATTTTATTACATTTTTGTAATTTTATTTTTATCAAATTTTATGAACATTAAAAAAAATTACAAAAAATGGCTATTATTTAAAAACTTGTATGAAATGACAATTTGTTATTGATTAGCATAATTATTAATTTAGTTTTGCATCAGCTGATTCTGAATACCCATCAATCTCATTGACATTTAAAGAAAAGAAAATATCAGTACTAATACTTTTTCTGATTGATTAATAATATCTGATTTAATATAAGTTTAAATTATATTTCTATGCAGATACAATGTAGTAAATACTGAAGGTGACCAGGTAACAGGACATAACATCTTGTATCAGAGTTTTAATAATGAGTTAAGAAAAATATTTCGTGTTTCTATCATTAAACTATAAAGTTTACAAATTATGCATAAAGACATAAAAAATAAATAAATAAAACACTTCTTCTTAAATAGTTAGACAAAAATTTAATCACAATCATAGTCATAACAATAAAAAAAAAAAAAAAAAGGACTTGATGGATTTTCATAAATCTATCAATTCCCTTGTTGATTAAGCACATAGAAAATTAGATGTTAGTAAAAACAATTTGTTAATTCTTTAATATAAAGTACAATTATCATATCTAATATTTGTCTTAAAAGACCAGATATATTTCCAGAAAAAGAAAAATTGAAGTTATATCTCATTTCTTTGAATATAATTTAAACTAATAATGAAAGTCGATAGAGATTATCTTTTGCCAAAGGGGAAAGGCCATATCAGTAAAGTAGAGACAAATGAAAGAACGATCAGTAGTGAATTACTGATATTACAACTATTAATTATACCTTGAAAGATTCAAGAGACACTGTTATTTCATTATTGAAATCTGGAAATAGTAAACAAAGTAAGTGCCCTCATAAATTTTTTTAGAATAAATTGAAAATTTATCAATCTAAAGTTCTGGCACTTAGATCGGCGATTTATTTTAAAAAATTCTAAACCTATCGAATGGGTTCAGGCACTTAAAACATTTACAACGTAATTCAATATGGCATTTAAAATAATAACACTGCTAAAAATTTTTGATTTTTAGACACTAACATTATTTACTATTTCTAGTCTTCAATTCTAAAAAAATAACTGTGCATTGACTAAGATAAAGTTATGAGTTATTACTATTTACTATTTAAGTTAAAAACAGTTATTGAGCTTCATGTGGACAATTACATCAAACTGGTTTATAATTTCTGAAACAAAGAGTTTTGTAACAACAGATCTGGTCACCCCAAACTAAAATGCTTATGTTAAAAACTATTTAGCAACAATGGACCCAAATGTTTAACTCATTGATTTAAAATTAATTGAAACAGTGATTAAAACAAAAGCTATAGAAAAAATTAATAATAATTTAACAACTGGTTCCCTCTACTGTTAAAAAATATAATGCAAATGAAAATTTTGAATACTAATTTTTGGACCCACAATATTTTTTTTTTTAACAACTTATCTAAAAATTCAAATTCTATCTAAGAAACTATCGCCACTTAATAGAATAAGAAAGTATAGTTTTAAAAACTTATTTGACCCTTGTCCATGAAATATGAATTTTATACATTAATATTCCGACATTTAAATGACATTCAATTAATTTTTTTTGAGCTCAAAAAATAATTTATGAGATGGTAGACCTAAGTGAAATGGTGGGATAAAAAAAATTATATTATAAATTTATCAAGAATAGCATGAGTTGTTCAGATACTGAACCTAGATATCTGATTTGTTTTTTGTGTTTTACTTCAGTAAATATTCTGAACTTAAAAGAAATACTTAACATTTAAAACAGTAATAATTCTACTTCATTCACTGTGAATTCATTAAAGTATCTGGTTCTTAAGATAATCAATTCCTTAATTGATAATTTTACAAATTGTAATTGTGATATTATAGAATGAAAATATTTATTAAACAAATATCATTCAAATATAATGATACCTACTCTACAAATTCAATGATAATTAGAACAAACAATATGAAAATAAATAAAACTAAAAACAGATTTTTAAATAAATTTCCGGATATAGGAACAATAACATAACTGAAATATTCATATACAACAAAACTAATTTTTACAAAATAAAACATACAATATTTACATGAGCACCAAACCTTAGAATATACAATATCAATGATATCATATAAAACAATATCACATGTTTTTTTTTTTTTCCTCTTGAATATACAAGAAATTCAAAAACATACCAATGAAGAAAAAAATAAGAAAACAAAATTTTTACCTTACAATAAAAAGTGCATTAATCGACAAAATTTTAAATGACTTTTTTAATATATATTTTTTTTAATGTGAATTAAAATTTTTATCTATGCATTTTATCTTTAAAACAAACTTTGTAGCTATAACAATAACAGCAAATCTGAGACACAGAGAAATTATAAATTTATCATTGACTTGTAATACATTCAATTCACATACATAAGTAACACCATATTCAACAAATAACTATTCCTAAGCTGTTGCACTCTCTACCATTGTTTTTTTAATAATTTCTCCGAAATTTTCACCATCAGTTTCTTCCTGAGGTTTCTCAGCATCTTGTGAAGGACCCTGGTCTTGTACCGGTTCCAGGTTTGTCTCTTGATATCGGTTTGGAGCGAGCAACTCTGAGAACGATTCACCTTTTTCTTCTGGGTACCTGAAACTGCTTTGGAAGGACTCATACTGCTGGAAATCATTTTCATATGATGGATAGGCATATGAAGGATATGAAAAACCTGTTTCAAATGGATAATTCCCATAAGAGACCTCTTGGCGGTACCCCGAGAATCCAGACAATTCTGATTGTCTAGCTTCTTCTTCTTCTTGTTCTCTCTTCTTTTCCATCTCTATTCGCATCATAGTATGAATAAAATGAGTTCTTACCCTCATCGGATTGAATTCTATCCGCCCATTAGAATTAGCACAACCATCATGCGTGCACCCACAGGGAAAATTTAGTCTGTCCACCTGTTAATAAACAAAAGTAATAAATCTTAACTAAATAAATATGAAAAAAATACAAATTTTCAGAGTTGATAAAGTATATTAAAATTGATAATATGTTAGGCATTTATTCCCAATAAATAAACAAATTACAAATTTAAGATACATAAATAAAAAATAAACAATGAGAAATAATAATGAAATTGTAGTAAGAAAAAATAAAACATGAATAAATAAATGAACACATAATAACATAATTAATTTTAAAGACATCAGCAATGGGGAGCTAGAACCACGAATTCCCGCGGGCGAACATTGCTGTCTGCTCTTAATTTCCATAATAGCAACATCCTTTCTCCTGATACTCCTACATATTGGCCAACAGATCCTAACCATAATCCTGATCTCCTTGACTTCTTCATTCACATAGGTCTAGGGCCGCTAAATTTCTCAATTTCACGGCTCGATGAACTTTCCTCAGACCATAGTCCGCTAAACCTAACCCTTTCCGCATCGCCTATCTCCAAATTATCTCCTCCCTCATTCATCAGAGGCCCAGTCAACTGGAACCTTTTCCGCCAAACAATAACAGATGCAATAGACCTCAGAGTACCCCTAAAAACCCCTCAAGACCTAGATAATGCAGTGAGTTCCTTCACCACCTTGATCCAACAAGCAGTCTGGACAGCATCCTCACCACTCCTCTCCAAAAAAATTCCTCAAAAAGAATCCCTTGCCCCAAAATCTTACTGACCTTATTAAATCCAAACGCCAATCTAGGACCCTCTGGCAAAGAACCAGGCATCCTGATCCAAACAGGTTAAAAAAGAACTGACGACCTTTAGATCCCAATCCTACAATTCCTACTTTTCTTCCCTCTCTACTGATGACAATTCCCTCTGGAAAGTGACCAAAAAAATCCTTAAATACCAATCTATTTCCCACCCACTCCGACGAGATGATGGAACCTGGGCTTCGTCAGATGAGACTAGAGCTGAAGAATTTGCCAAACACCTATCCAAAACATTCACTAACCACACCGAACTCCATCCCACCCACACTGCTGAAGTTAAAGAACTCTTCTCTTCTCCGATTCCTCTCTCCTTGCCTCCTAAAGCTGTCAAACCCTCTGAGGTCAAATTCCATATAAACAATTAAAACCTCGAAAATCCTCTGGGCACGATCTCCTTACTTCCCAGATCCTTAGACAACTTCCCAAAAAAGCAATCATGTTCCTCACATACCTGTATAACTGTACCCTCTGCACAACTCACTTTCCTCTCATATGGAAATACTCCATTATTATCCTCTTCCCTAAACCAGATAAACCTGTTAATAATAGCTCATCCTATAGACCAATAAGCTTACTTCCGATCCCCTCCATTAGTGCTACATTAAGTATAATTACCAGTTAGATCACTGAGATTTCGGCCATTTAACACTATAAAGGAATTAAGTTCCATAAATTCAGTTAATATTTTCCCTCTTAAATTTTTTAAGCTATCTGAAATTTTTCGATTTGTCAAGAGGCAAGTGTCATGAAAAATTTATGGAGAGCATATATTTAAATTACTTATTCTAGGATAAAGGCCCCTCCCGAATAAATCGGAATGTTTTTATGTTCTCCTCTGATCTCATCCATGATAATTCCTATTTTTTCTAAAAATAAATTAATATCTAAACCAGGATTAATATAAACAAAGCCTATAATTAATTTTAAACTATTTTTACAGACTAGCAAAAAAATATTGTCTCTATTATTACATAATGCTCTTACAGAGCATTTATTCTGATCATAAAAACAAACCAAGCCACCAGAGGCTCTGCCGTCTTTACACCTACTAACAGCTGGGCTGTAAACATTTCCATACGTTGACATCCAACTAGGCTTAGTTCTGATTTCAGTAGCTAAATGGGCTTCAGCGAGACATATTATATCGTACTGGCTCATGTATTCGTGTTGTATAAAATTTCTATAGCCATTTATGTTCCAAAATAAAATATTAAAATATGATAACTCTTCTAGCCGTCCTGATGATTCATTAACCTGTGCTCTAGTTTTGATCTGAATATTTTCTTTCTCGAAATCGAAATTGATCGAGTTTTTCGCTCAGTTTTTTTCTTTTGGTTACGAACTGGTGATGACACTGGTGATCGTTTATTGTCTTCAAGTGTTTCCAGTAGACTTCCGATCCCAGAGATGTGAAAAGTGTTCCTTTTCATTGTGAATAACTTGTTTTTATAAGTTACAGTACTGTCGAAGGTTCGCAATCTGTTAAGATATAAATATATTCGTTTTCCCTCCTCTCTTTCCTTAGGTGATGTGTCGTGTTCTTTAAGAATATTTTTTTCTCTAAATAAGTCTCTCTTTTTAATTATTGTTTCCTTCATTATGTAACTGTTAAGAGAAATTAGGATAGGCCTGGGTTTGCTATATTTATTTTTTCCTAATCTGTAGCAGTTGTTAATCAAACCATCCGATAGCCATATGTCCACACCAGATAATATTGTTCTCACTTCATCCACTACATTTTCCAAATTATTATCTTCTTTAATCAGGTAAATTAAATAATATAATATTATTTTTTCTGCTTCTTTTCTCAATATTCTTTATCCTTTCTCCTAATTGGGAATTAATCTTTTCGAATTCATCAATTTTGTTTTTTACATATTTCAGTTCTGATGTAATATTTTCCAGTAAAGTATTAATTTTTCCTACCGTTTTTACAACACTATTAGTTTCATCGTTGTTGCTGCGGATTTCCATTATTATTGTTGGCAGTGTCACAGTGTTCTCATTTATTAGATTCATATTATTATTTATATTACTATTCATTTCGGTGAATTACGATCAGGGAAATATATATGAGTCAACAAAGAGTTGGCTGCAGATAAATAACTTTCCCGTGACGTAGCCTGCCTGCTTGCACTGGTACTACTCCTATTTCAAGCCAGGAGCACCCATTTCTTTAATACTTTTAGTTTCATCGTTGTTGCTGCGGATTTCCATTATTATTGTCGGCAGTGTCACAGTGTTCTCATTTATTGGATTAATAATATTATTTATATTACCATTAATTTTGGTGAATCACGATCAGGGAAATATATATGAGTCAACAAAGAGTTGGCTGTAGATAAATAAATTTCCCGTGACGTAGCTTGCCTGCATGCACTGGTACTATTCCTGTTTCAAGCCAGGAGCACCGAACTGTACTGATAATTTGAAAAATATCACTTGTTATTCACAATATTCTTTTTTTCTAATAACAGACAGTTTCAACACACTAATATATACAACTATACTGAATATAACGATCAAATAATGTATTTACACCACTCAAATTACATAAACTCAGAGAGCCGATCTGCACTCTACCGCAGCTACCGATAAACTCCATATATATATATATATATATACAATTAAATTAAAATGTGATAATAAAAATTCTTAAATGTACTAATATACAGAATTAAAATGATGCTTTAGTTATTCTATCATTTTTCCATCGGCCTAAAAACAATATATAATTTCATATAATATAAAAGTGTTTAAAATTCATAATAAATGTAAGTGCAATAATAAAATTTATAACTGCACTATTTGTAATACGGAATTTTTTTAGGTAAGAAAAAAATTTCTAAATGTAAAAAACTATATAATTCGAATCCTGCTATCAGTGTCTTTTTTTTTTTAGAAATAATATAATTTAATTTTTATGATCACTTACAGTTATTTTTGTGATCATTTTCAGTTAATTTACTTTTCCGAAATAAGCAAATACACAAGAAAGCGAAGTGTTGTGGGATTGCCACTCTAATTTTGCATTGCTATGTGTGGCCAGAAAGGCAAACCGTTTTATAAAAGTTGAATAAAAACATTAAAATTCATTTTTAAAGCTAAGATCTAGCAGGGTGACTCAAAATAGCATTTTAAATAAATTTATGCAAACAAAAAAATCTGTTTTTTTGAACATCTGTATATTTCAGGATGCAATGTATGGTAGAAACTCGTGAATGAACTCCCGTAGTCAAAAGGTTAATCAATCCACTAAAAGGTCTGTAAGGATTTTTTGGGCAGATGACATGATCGATTTTTTAATTTAATGGCTGTAATTACTCAATTAGATCCCATGAAAGCAATTAAAATTATAGACAATTTACATATGAAAGAAATTATGCAACAAATATTTAATATACTAAAAAATAGTTCCTATCCACATTAATTAATAACAAAAGTATGGTATAATGCAGTAAATAAACAAAAGGAATTACCAATAGAAAAAAAAAACAGCCGTTCGCTCAGCTTTGTAAAGCTTTTCACAAATTGTTCAAACACATCTTATTTGATAACAGGTCAGTATTTTTAGCTCAAATTGTTTCAAAACACTTAGGGGATCTCATAGAATAATTTGAGCCATCAAACTTAAAAAACGATACAGCAGTTCGCTCAAAAAACCGTTAGTTACATAGCTTTTACCGTTAGCAAATACATAGTCCTGGTTTCGGTTTCGCTTAATCGGGTAGAAAAAGAAACCAAAATTAAAAGTTTATGTAAACATCCATGGTTTTATGCAATTATTTAAACATGAATTGATTTTACCTGGCATTTGATCCCTGCCTGAGAACAAGCACAAGTATCTGGATCACAAAAACCTTTACAAGAGCAGCCACAGAATTCACGTGAACTGCGAATATCTCTGCACTCATCTTTTTCCAGAGAATCTATCTTACGTACTCCAGCAGCTCTTAATAGAGCTCGCCTCTGCCTCGTTGGAACAGGCTAAAAAGGCAATTCATTGATTAGCCTCTTCAGAAAATTTAATTATTAAATTAATGGAAATACAAAACATGTAAAAGGGATAGGACAGATTTTTTCTATACACAATTTATATAAATCTAAAATATAATTAACTAATGTTAATATGAAACAAAGAAATATTAATATTAAGAAGTAAAAAGAATAAGAAAAAAAAATGTACCACCACAACCTAGGAAGAGTCTTTCAGTTTGTACATCTAGATCACCCTTAATCATCAGGTTTTTCTCATTTACTAATTAATTAGTTAAGAGTAGACAGTTTATAGAGACTAAGTGTGCCCCAGGAAGTTCTCCCAATCCGGATCTCAGAGATTGCAACAGAATAAATAATTACCTGCCACAGCCGGGCTTGAAACGTAGACATTTATGAATACTGAAATTGAAGTATTGGAGATACAGTAACCTCAATAATAAAAGAACATGTAAATCCTAAAGATACTAATCTTGTATTGCTCTATACCAGTCAGACTCACCAGTAGATCTGTATTTCTTTTCTGCTCCTAGCCACTGAATAGGATCTCTTAAGACGGGTCCGAAGTCCTCTTCAGTACTATTACTGGTTCCCAACCTTCTTTCTCCTCCTTTTTCCCAGACCTAAACATTGTCTCTTCTCTCAAACTGGCAAGTTTAGGCATTCTTGTAGTGATAGTCGTTTTTCTTCTAAATTTTCTCAACATCTGGTTTGAAGAATTGTAACTTGACATCCTAAAAACAACTCTACTGGAGCTGCACATTCCTTTTCTGACCATTGATAGGAATGCCTTTTAACAGAATTGAAAAATCAGGAATTCTCTCTAACAGTATCTCTATATAAACACTTGAATAAATTAGTGAAATTTTGCAGTAGCTATTTTCAACCCAACACTGATATCTTAAGTAATTTAAATGTATGGCAATAGTCAGATAATACTTTTTCTGTTTCTCAAGCTCTATTTGAAGATAAGCCCTCAAGTCAATGACCATAAATAGAGTTGGCGCTGCGTGCTTTGAAACAAAATCATCAAATAGGTTGGTGCCTATGATACAAGTAAATGTTCCTCTGAATATTGAAGGACTTGCTCTACACAATCACTAATTGCACAGCAGACTAGAAGAGAGTTAAATGATTTTTAATGAGATAAACACAGAGCCTCCAGAAACTCTCACACTAGCCGCATACATTAATACAGTAAAAGCTCCCTTACAGAATTGTAATAACTTGAATTCTTCTCGAGAGTCATTAAAATATTTAAAAGCAATTAATGTAGGTACATGTACATTCAAGAAATAAACAAATCCACAGTGTGGCATTGATCTTTAAAGCTTGACAAATAAATGAGAAAAAAAAAAGTGAATCAGTTAACTGATCCAATGAGGTAACATGGATATTAATTTGAGTATAAACCAAGAGAATAATTATAAGTGTTCTCATTTAATATAAAAACAATTAAAACTTAAAAAAAAATTTAAACCATACCTGAAGGAAAAAATAGTTATCAGGATCCAATTCTGATTCAGTATTTTGGTCATCAGTGTCCGAGTCAGAAGACGATGAAGGAAGATTTCCAGGTGAGTTCCGAAGTTGTGCCAGCATTTCTCTATGAATTCTACGTTGCTCTGACCCATGTTCAGTTAAACTAAATGTTCGCCTATCAGTGTGATTTAGTAACATGCCAAGCGTCGACCCACCCTGCATAAATCAAATAAAGTCTTTCTTATCTTTAAAATATAATGTACATACATATACATATACAGAATATCCCGTAAGTAGAGGGAAATATTTAAAAGGTTGATAGTAAACATCAAGATCTACAAAAAAGTTCATATAAACGCTTGTCCGATTTCCAGCAGAAAAGTATGAAATTTAAGATTTGTGTTTTTTTAATTAAGCGAGTCGCGTTTTTTGTTGAATAGGAGGTGATAACTTAAAAAATATTTGATTCAAGTAATTAAATATTCCTCCACAGTAAACAAGACAAAATTTACTTTAAACGAAAGTAGAGTTTGTCATTTTTAAAACTATTTAAAGAGGACTATTGAGTGGACAAACACAGCTAACTCCTGTTAAAAAAAATAGACATCAATTATTTGTGATTTTTTTTTAATCGCCTTTTCCTACATTTATCCCACTTTTTGAAAAACTTCCTCGTTTTATAAGCTTTAAGTACATATTAAGTTGAGGTTTATTAGGAAACATTTTGAGATTCACCTCAAGTTGTGTAAAGAAATGATGTGATTTCCTATCCTGACACCTTAAAGTACCAGTGTTTTCTGCAAAAATGACTACAATTAATTATAGCAAAGTTTTTATATCTTGTTTTACCGTGATATGGTAATAATGTATTGTGATAAACATAATTGCCCAAAAACACATTGTTTTTATAAATACAAAAAAAAATTAAAAACAAATATTATTTAAATACTTTTCATGTGGTTGTCAAACTGTGTTTTTCTCCTAGATCTCCGTTATAGGCATTGATATATATTTATTAGTGACAAATTTAATGTTTCTTAGTAAAATTTATGTTTAAAATAAAGAAACCTACTGATTGCTTCAATTATTTTCCTGAAAACGTAAATATTAGGGCTAGCAACATTAAGTTTGTCACTTATATATATATGCATCAATTCCTATGACTATTCATCAAATGTTTTTTAAGTTATCCCTTCCTATTCAACAAACAACATGACTCGCTTAAAAAAACACAAATCTTAAATTTCCTACTTTTCTGCTGGAAATTGGTCAAGTATTTATATGAACTTTTTTGTAGATCTTGAAGTCAACTATCAGCCTTTTAAATATTTCCCTCTACTTACGGGACACCCTGTATATACATTTTTTGTTAAATGATACATGAACCTATATGATTAATCGTGTTTGTTACATTGCATAAACATTGTAATTCGGATAATGAGAAAAAAGATCTTCAATGTTAACTAACTTATATTGTTTTGCGAATTTTCAAAATAAAAAAGTAATACTAATGAAGATTTTTTCAGCATCATAACTACTTAATAACAATAAATAGATAACTCAACTTATGGCACAAATTAAATAGTTAAAATATTATTAATTATAATAATTAATTTCTTTTCATAGTTAGTATGTTCTGTTGCTCTAATTTTACCAATTTGTTTATCTAGAACAGTACAGCCTTCAGATCCATAGAGTAAAATAAAAAGGAAAATGAAAATGAAAATAGACTCAAGGTCTAATAGAATCTACATGTTTGCCCGTTTGTTGAAATGTTTGTCCGTCCTAGTCGGAATTAAAGCATCACTGGTATAATACATAATACATAATCTGAAGTATAAAAGAAAAACTCTAAAGTTAATTTAACTCATATATTGAGTAAAATTTGAAAATAATGTATAGGTCATATGCACATTTTATTGCATAAATTTACATGTATTCATCACAAATAATGAAATTATGTGCCAAGTTAATATGTTTTCTAATTCTGCACTTATCTGATAATATTTAGTTAGAGAAACTATAACACATTCCTTAACAAAGTACATCATTAGACAAAAATACTTCATAAACTATGATACTCTATTGTTGTTTTTAAGGAGAAATGCTGTCAAATACTAACTTCCAAATAAAAAATAAATGGTACACCAATCGAACTGGATGAGCAATATTTTTTATTTTGTTTTGAAAAAATTAATGCTTTAAAATCTCAGGATACAAAAGTCAGTATGAGTTTTGTTTTAACGATAATAGTTCAACATGACCAACATCACATTAATCACACTACGGATGGAATTCTCAAAGTAGATTATTGACAACCTTTTCAGACAAGGTTTAGAACTTAACAAACAGAGTTCCTTGTCATTGGAAATGAATCCTTTTCTGTTTATTATCCAATACTATAATTTATTTCTAGGTACTGTCTTGGGATCTGCTTCCTCCATCAACTTTCAGACACACTTAGGAATTTTTGTAATTCCATCTACAGTGTGATAATGAGACATCATGTTGGAGTGACACTAGTGAACTAGTACTGAGACCAATATAGCTGATTGTCGTGGAATTTGCTAAAGTTAATATCTGTAATCACCACATAAATAAAAAAAACACATTAACGTTCAGTTATTTAGGAATAGGAACTAAATCACTTCTGAGTATTTAACAATTTAATTACACACCAAGTGTGAACCATTATTCAATGTCTCTCTCTTTATTGAAAATAAAATTTGTAATAAAATGTTGAAAATAAAAGTCAGACAGGACAATGATATAATAGCCATAGACTAATGTTAATGCCATTAAGAGAGATAGAAACAATAAAATTATTATAACATGGATATAATTACCCAAATTCCATCACAGTTCTTCATCCTTATGTATGCATTGCTTAATTAGTATGTAACAGAAATAAGAATATAAAAAGCTATATATTCCTAAAATGCTTTTAATTAAGAACTAAACCGTTAAAAAACAAGGATATACAAAGCAGCGGGGCATGAGGACTCTCAGTGTCTGAAATGACAGACTAATAGTACTAATACCAAATTTCAAATGTTTTATGCTTGATAAATGTTTCTGTTATCAGGGAATTGGGGTAAGAGGCTACATGCCCAATTTCTGGCATCTGAAGTCTCAGTCGAGACCGAACTCTATTTCGAAAATTCATTACTCCATCAAAATGTGCCTCCCCTCAAAAATTTTTAGGGAGCAACTTGCGCCATGAAACCCTCTTCTGGACACTCCCGTGCGCAAATAAACCTTTCATAATACTTTTCTGAGGGATGCACTTAATTTTTGCACCTAAAGAAAATAATATTCAAAATGATGATGAATTGACTAAATGATGGAAAAATAGTGTAATGTTGAACTGGTTCCCATAGAAACCAGTTCACTTTTTAGCGAACTTGAATTCAGACACTGCCAAGATATAGTACTTTATATGCATAAAAAGATCTATCAATTTAATTTAATTATTGTGAAGCCTGTACAGAGACAGACCGGACTGAACCTAAGACAATGACATGGCCTAAAGGATTTTAAACTTGGAATATGGAACACTCTACCACTATACCGACCGGAAGCTCAAGAACAGCTTCTAACACAATTGGACCAATATAAAATAGACATAGATCCAAGAAATAAGGTGGACAGGCCAGGGAATATTTAAAAAGAAAAATCATGCTATCTATTACAGCTATCATGACCATCTGCATACCTATGGATCAGGGTTCATCATCAATAAAAAGCTGGCTCAACTCGTTGGATTTAACGCTATTTCTCCCCGAATATGCTACCTCCGAATGAGAGGTAAATTCTATAATTTCAGCATTATGAGCATCCATTGATAGTTGTCAGAGAGCTGATGTGAAGATTGTGATTGGGGACTTCAATACTCAAATAGGAAAAGAACCTCAATACAGACCCACAACAGGTCTACACGGCATTCATAATGTCACAAATGAAAATGGTCAGAGAACCATAACCTTTGCAGCCTCCAAAGATTTGGTGGTGGGAAGCACAAGATTTCTCCATAAAAGGATTCATCTGGCAATTTGGCAGTCTAACAGCGGTGTCACTTGGAATCAGATATACCATTTATTGATGTCCTCTAGACACATTTCTAGTCTACAGGATATCAGAGGGGCAAACATCGACTCTGATTACTACCTCACAATTGCCCGGATCAGAGCACGAATTTCAATGGTGCAAGTCCAACAAAGAACGCAACAAGCCAGATTTAACATGGTGAAGGTGTTCAAAGATTATAAGAAGAGAGAAAGCTTCTCTAGGCATATGAATCATAAGATAAGAAATTTCAGTAAATCCAGAAACTTAAACCAACAATGGAATAGTTGCAAGGAGGCAATAGTGGAAGTCGCAAATGAAACAATTGGATATCAAGAAGTTGCACGAAAAGCAGGATGGTACGATGAGGAGTGTCAGAGGATCACTATTATCAAGAATAAAGCTTATCGGCAGACGGTCCAGCGAAGACACACAAGAACTTCTGTAGAAGAATACTGAGCCCGAAGAAGGGAAGAGAAAAGAATCTTTCAGAAGAAGAAAAGGAACTATGAAAGGAAACAACTGGAAGAGATAGAGAAAATAAGGCACCAAAATGAAATCAGGAAATTCTACAACCATATCAACCAGAGCCGAAGAACTTTCAAACCCCATACCAGTGCTTACAAGGATACAGAGGGGAACTTAGTCACTGATAACAACAAAATATGGAAATGCTATTTTCAAAGGCTCTTAAATGACAATATCCCCTGCTGTAGAGTGGAGAGTCAGGAACTGCTGGTTGGCGATCTGGGGTTCTAAACTTCCAATTGTATTTTGATTTAAAACTTTTCATTTCGAAAATTCATTACTCCATCAAAATGTGGCCCTCTCAAAAATTCAAAACCCCATCAAAATGTGCCTCCTCTCAAAAATTTTTGGCGCAACTTGCACCATGAAACCCCCTTCTGGACACCCCTGTGCACAAATAAACCTTTCATAATACTTTTCTGAGGGATGCGCATAATTTTTGCACCTAAAGAAGATAATCTTAAAAATGATGATGGATTGAGTAAATGGCGGGAAAATAGTGCAATTTTGAACTGGTTCCCATAGAAACCAGTTCACTTCATAACAAACTTGAATTCAGATACTGACAAAATATAGTACTTTATATGCATACAGAGATCTATCAAATATCATCTTAAAAAGAACTATTCTTCACACTCGAAAAGAAATTTAGATAATTTTAGTATTGTCATTGAATACATGTCTCATTTCGTCGACTTGAGGCCTCTATGATTGAGAGAGGAGGAGTTTATATTATTTATCGATGGTTTTTTTGATCAGCAAGCCACATCATCGTTAATTCTTCACCAAATCCCAAGATTGAGCCACCAATTTTGAAATTATTACTTTATCGATAAATATAATCAACAAAGGAAACCAAAATTAATTTAAAACTTCATTAATGTTTGGAACCAACAATTTTTACAAATTTCAATAAGTTGTATCTTTGCTAAAAATTGTCCGATTCAAATGATTTTTTTTCCTTTTGTAGGGAATTTAATTAATCTTTTATATAATCATGGGCATAACCAAGGAAAAGGTGTATAAGTTTAGAATTATTCACAAATAAAGTTTCTTTTCTTTCATAACATGTTTGCCTGAATTTTCGGGGTGATTGGACTATTTCACCCGCCTGAAGGAGAAGGAAACCTTCAGAATTGGTGGCTCAATCTTGGGATTTGGTGTAGAATTAACGATGATGTGGCTTGCCGATCAAAAAAACCATCAATAAATAATATAAACTCCTCCTCTCTCAATCATAGGGGCCTCAAGTCGACGAAATGAGACATGTATTCAATGGCAATACTAAATTTAACGTAGGGTTGTGTGGATGCGAACCCTATGCCTTGCGTTATCTCAAAAATAGTACTTCAAAGCCCAATTTGTCCCGCATTGATCTACAGACTTACCACCGTTCCAGTATGGAAGCTGAGCAAATATTTGTATTGACTTTATTTATTATAGAAAGAAAAACAAAAGAGGAGAGTATGATTCGCTAATCCCTGCGAAATTCTAAATCCAACGGTACCCTATTAATGATATTTAAGCATGATAGGAGCTTATATTTGGTACAAAACTAATTTCGAGCCTTACTGTAATAATATATGTGGGGATGTAAAAATTATTTGTCAAACTATGGTATACCTTCACTAAACTGATTAATGTTTATACTGACTTTCATCTCTTATTTATTCTTATTTCATTACAAGCCAATAGTCATAATTTTTTAACAGTAAGAAACAATCTAGCTCTTGTACACATGTTACCTTGAATATTTTAGTTATTAAATTATTTGCATTCCACAAACAAAAATGACACCCCCCCCTCTCACACTCTCTCTCTCTCTCTGACTTTGTTTACCTAGCTTTGCTATCTAAAAAGCATACCTGGAAAAATCGTCCACCAACCCTTTTACTTACCTAACAAAATGCCAGTCCTTGATTAGTTCCAGTGCTCGAAACATAGTTAGTAGGAGTAAATATTACATTATTTTTTAGTTTGTATAACTAATTACATATTTCATCTATCATCCATCTCTATTTCTTCATTATTAAACATTATCTGTCTTATAATATTATATCTCTGATTGTATTAAACAAATTTTCAGCCTTGATGATGACCCACATGTTTGGATTAAACGTCGGAACTAATAAAAATGTTAAAAATGATTGTCCTGACTATTTATCACCTATGATATGTAGAACAGTCGACTAACTTCCTTTAACGAGAAGAGAAGAGTCCTTGGTAACATATATGGTCTAGTGTGTGGATATGAGTAGTGGATAATTTGCACTAATGTGACATGTGAGCCCAGATTGATTCTCAATTGTGAGGGATAACCAAATCAGATGGTTAGGTTATATAGCATGCATGCCCAAAGACTCAATTCTGAAAAAAATTGCTGTACAATCAATCTAGTAGAAGATGTGGCAGAGAAAAACCATGCCTTAGATGGCTGGACAAAGTGGAGAACACCCTGATAAGGATGGAAATACGAAGATAGCGAATGCTCACAGGGGATAGAGGAGAGTGCAGGAAGATCATAACAGAGCTCAGGTTCTAATAATATGAACGAAGCACCAAAATATTAATAAAGAAGTATTACAAATTTTAATTTATTAAATTTCATACTATTATCCAATTAAATATTAATTATCACCAGAGCTAACATTAATAAAAGGAGAATGCATACTATTGGAGGCCGTGCATTCCTTACATATGAAATAGCATATAAACCATGTGTTACATTCAAAAGCAATTGTAACCTCTCGGCTAATCCTGACCATATTCAAGCGAACTGGATGCTTTCATTGGTTCTTGGTTCTAACGGTCTAATCCCCTTATTAATAAAATTTATTCATAGCTTATATTTAACTGTTTTTTATTACCAGTTACCATGTGAAATGGTTAATTATTTTAAATAAACAAAATAAAAGTACTATAGGAGAAGAAATTTTGAAAATTCAGCTTAAAGTCCTATCACGATGTTTCAACAAAGATTATACCTGTTTGATATTAAAGACCCTTAATTTTAAACTGATCTAACAATTTTCATCAAATCATTAGAGCTGTTTTCGAAAAAGTAGTAAAAACAAGTAATATGATATAAAGTGCAACTACCAGTAAGTCAATTTTGGCAAAAATGTTGCTATAGTATTCCAGGCATATACCAATCTTAAATAAGTATATTCAGTACAGTTGGACTTTTCATTTTCGTGCTAGGGTGTTCATATAGCCAAAGACCATTTTTCAAAACATGAATTCAGAGTGCCTTGAAACATGTTTTTCACTGAAAACTTGGATTTAAAATTTTCACGATACTTTCCCGAACAATATATTTCATACATAAATAGCTAGTAAAAAAACTATACACACACACATATATATATATATGTGTGCTTTTAGTTTTTTTTCCTATTACTAAGTCAGTAAAAATAAAGCATAAATTGGCAAAATATTGCAATACCTAAAATTTGTCTTGTATTTCTAATATATAAAACTATAGTTTCGCATAGATGAGCATTATGGCCAACTCCATCCAAGTCACAGTAGATTTAACCAATGAATGTGTTGGAATTCTTACAAAAATATTTAAAACCAAAAAATAAAACAATGCTCAGATATTTAAATTAAAAATCATACAGACAATGTTTCTTACCTGTGAAGGAACACATGTGAATCCTTGAGACCTAGGGAAGTAGAACACATTTACTTCACCAAATGCAATAGATCGTTTAGCCTTCTTTTCTGGTGGTTGTGGTTGTGGTTCTTCAACTGAACCAGAGCGCTTCAACATACTTTTTGGTTTGATTGTAGTTGTTGGAGTTCGTTGCTCCCAAGGAGAAGTAATTAAATCATCTGACGAAAGGGAGTCTGCTTTGACATCTGAACTCAAACCAGAATCACTTCCTTCAGGTTCCTTACCACCGAATGTCAAGTTTGATGTAGCTGAACCCATATCCCAGTGTCTTTCTCCTGTCTGTTCTTCGTCACTAATACCAGAAGAACTTTCTTCACCTAACTGTTCAGCTTCCACTTCTTTCAACTCCTCAAGAATGACGGTTGAGTCTTTCTTGCACTTGGTATCACTATTGTCATTTTTTAAGTCATTATTGCACTTGTTTTTAAGTTCTTGTTCATCTAAATCTTTATCACAATTTTCATCACTACACTGGGCTAATGTGTTCACCACAGTACCGATGTATTCCTCACTATATTTAAAAATTGGGGAAGAATCATTTACTCCTGATTGTTTGATAAAATCACTTTCACATTTATCTTTATCACCTGTGATGGAAGAACTTTTGGATTTATCAACATTTGAAAATGCACCGAATTCTGTACTATTTTCAACTATCACTGTTTGCGAGCTTGTTGGCGATGGAGGGGACTCCTCTGAAATCTCAGTGCACAACTTTTCGGATTTGAAGTCTGCAAGCTCAATATTCGTGCCAACTGTAGCAATGTTGTTCAGGACAACAGAACATTCAATCAACCCACAGGAGCCATTAATTTCTGCCATTGAAAAATTAAACCAAAAAAAAAATGGTTTTAATCCAAAATGCCACAGCAAGTTCTACATTGATAGGACTGTCCCCTAAAAAAGAAAAGAAAATGGCAATAAAACACTTAAAAAGGAATCTTTCATAAATGTATTACAAAATCCATTTGAAGCAATAAAAATTATAGCAAACAATGATCTTAATGAATTTCAACAAAGTACACATCACTCATAAGCTATCAATGGATGTGAGTCACTTTAAAGGTATGCAACTGATATATGTTTAAATCATAAGTAAATTAATTTAGCATACATTTGTTAATTCAAATAATTATTTATACTGGTTTTATAAGAAAGAGTAACATTAGTGACTTTTTTTCTAAAGAGAAATAGTAATAACTTTCTGGGTAACAAAAATGATGTCACAAACATAAGTAAATGACAGGTAACATAAATTGTCAAAATATTAAACCAAAAAGTGTAGCAAGAAAAGCTATAAGTAATATTGCTTAAAAATAAAATAATTTAAAAAATTAAAATGAATATATGAGTGATAACAGATATAACCTATTCTGTATATTTACCTGCAGTCAAGTGAACATGATATAAAAAAACAGTTCAAAGATTACGGAAAATGGTTTCCTTAAGTAGACTACTAATTAACTTGATTAAGAACAAATGAAAGCTGAGGTGATTCACGGACACAAGTTAACGACGGATAAATAGGGCACTAAATTTTTATCTGTAGTAGAAAACTGAAGCTAGTTGCCAGTCGAACATCTGGCAACGTCGGATTCCAGGGCGCAGGTTCCGATATCAAAGGAAATAATATTTTTACTAATTTATTCTTACAAAAATTAAAATATCCACTTTCTTCTCAATATCCGCAGAACACGTAAACTGGCCTTGATGCAAAACGTCAGAGAACACGATTCAATATATTACAAGGTCGACAGAACAAGGGAAATGGTCTAGATTCTGTTCTACATTTGTATTTAATATACTTTATTTCAATAGTGTCTTATTTTTTCACCAAAACTACCACTTTGCACCTTCATATGTAAATCCATACTAATACTTATGGCGGGTTGATGTAAAGTTAAAATAGATATCCTTCTATTAAAAAACTGAAGTAAATTCAACACCTTGTTGCTATAAATAAACCAATTACATCATTTTATTATACCATGTTTTCTCTGAAATGAAAACTTTACAAATCGCATTTAAATAGACTAAAACTGTATATTCAATTTACAGTATATATGTACGTTAGGTTTAAATTGATATAATTGTGCTTATATTCCTATCAATATATATATACATGCACACATATTTAGAAGAAAGTGCGGATATTTCACTAGCGATTCAGGAAATACTCGTTTTCTGCTGCTTTTTTTTTTTTTGTGGAGGTCATTTTATTTCTTAATCTAGTTTATGTATTTAATTTTTAATATCATAGCATTACTAGTGGAAATGCTATAGCATGTGTTGGTTTAAATATTTAATTCTCTGCAATATTTCCTAAGTCCTTAGTATTCAATATGAAAGTGTTCGGGAACATCGAACATCATCAAATTAGGCAAGTTGGAAGGTAGTTGAATGAGGAAAAATTAGAATAGTCGATTTCTCTATAATATTTTATGTTTTTGGGATGCTGAATCTGAATTTGATACTCCCAAACGAAATTTTCCGAAGAGTTTAGTGCTGTATGCAAAAACAGTGAAATTTTCGAACTTGTTTTGTTTTTTTGGACATGATTCCGAAACGATGCATTTAATCGAAATTATTACTACATAAAAAGGTAAAGAAGATAAAATTTACTACCAATTTTATAAATAGCATTTTGATGTAGGTCCAACAGCTGAGGAGTTAAAGAATATTGACTGTATGCTTATTTCAGAAGAAATGTCTGTTGTCATCGGTTTTCCTCTCAAACTCAAAATCTATGCATCTCTCGAAGAAATTCACTATAATCAATTTGAAAGAGCATTAAATTCCCTATAGAACTCATGTGAACAAGTTAATATGTGAGAGGGTTAAGCGTCATGGAATCGAAGGCGTATTTCAATCCTCTAACGTATTAACGTGTTCACGTGAAGTACATAAGAAATTTAATGCTCTTTCAAATTGATAATAGTAAATTTCTTCAAGAGGCATAGATTTGGAGGGGAAAAACAGATAACAGCGGACATTTTTTCTGAAATAAGCATACAGTCAAGATTCTCTAACTCCTCAGCCGTTGGACCTACATCAAAATGCTATTTATAAAATCGGTAGTAAATTTTATCTTCTTTAACTTTGTATATAATAATAATTTCCATAAAATTCATCATTTTGGAAACATGTCCAAAAAACAAAACAAATAAAGTTGGAAAATTTAACGATTTTTTGAAACGCAATGGAAAATATCGTCCGAAAACATCAAATTCAGATTCAGCATCCCAAAAAAACATGAAATACCAAAGAGAAACCGACTATTTAAATCTTTTCCTCATCCAATTACCTTCCGACTGGCCTAATTTGATGACTTTGACTTCAGTTTTCAAAATGCAACAGCGTACATCGTCAGTTAAGGTAAATTCTCTTTTAGGGACAAATTCTTGACATTTTATCAAACTTTCAGTGGTATTTTCTTCCGTTAAATGACTCGTCGAATTTCGTCTCTTTAATTTAAATCTTCTTATGTAAAGCAACAGCTTTCAAGCGCCTGATCGGAGTTGTGTATTATATTATATTACAGGTGAGGATTATCTATAATTTAAAATGGTTTCTAGCTGTAAGTCCTTCCGTTAAATGAAAACGGCTGTAGCTCCTATTCTGAAACTGTCACATTTTTTTCCTAGCCGTGCACACTGCTTACTCTTCATGGTTCAGCTTCTACACTTCCCTTAGTTCAAACATTTAAACATGTAATCTTATGGAAATTTAACCTCGTAGGTTCTATACTTCACTTTATTCTAAGAGGATCATCAATAAATCAGAGATTTCTGCAAATCTCAATAGGATTAAGATAATTTCCGTAAATAATATTTATGTTTGACTTTGAGAATTATATTTTAGAAGCAATGAATGTTCGGAATAAAAAAGCTATATTTAAAGTATATATAAAAAGTAAATTTTGAGGGTCAAAAAAGTATCAGCACTGTTTTGAATGTTTACTATTAGCTACAGTCAAAGTGAATTAATACTTTTTCCTTCAAGATCTCTTCAATTATTCATCCATAGAATTATTGTGCAAAATGACACAGTATATAGCAGATGTCGCATTTACTTCAATTGCCGCTTTCTGTTAGAAATATAATTCATATATATTATTATTATGACAGATTCCAAAGAAAAAACTTTTTATTACATAGGTGAACTGCAGAAAAAGACTTGCATTTACCAAAAGTTAATTTAATAAAAGACCTAGGAGTTCTAGAAAAAAATTATATTTTCAGATGAAAGTAAATTTAACATAGGCCATTCTAATGACCACAATTCGTTCGGCGGAAACTTGACACTGAGTTTCAAACTCTACATTTGAGGCATCCTATAAAACACTGAGGTAGAAGTCTCCAGGTTTGAAAGAGCATGTCATGGAATGGCGTTGGAAACGGTAACCTTTATTGACAATTTTATAAATGCCGAACAATATGTCGGCATTTTGCGACATAATTTAACAAGTAGAACAGAAAATATTTGGATTAAAGATGCATTTATCTTCCAACAGGACAATGATGCCAGGCATACAACAAATAAAACAAAAGACTGGATGCTGTACAATGTCTCCAACCAATTGAAAACGCCACCAATTAATGCCATAGAACTCCTATGGTACCTGTTAGATTTGAAAGATGGTACCTGTAAGAAAAATATAATTTCTTTAAAAATTGTTTAAAAGAAACTTTGTCAGAGGAATAGCTTAAAATTAGACAAGATGTAACCAAAAATTTTGTTTTGTCGATACCAAGAAGATTTCAGGATGTCTTAGATGCCAATGTCATGAAGAAAAAATATTAATAAATATCCAATTCGTGAGATAAACATCAAATTAAAGTGTGCAAACATTTTTTTGACCGTGTTGAAGTGATTTTTCGTTTACTGAATTTTTTAATTAAATAATTTTAATATTTTTATTTTACAGGAATCATGTATTATTCTAAATCTTTTGTTAAATTAAAATGTTTGGAAAATCAATTTTCTTTTGTTTTACATTGAAACCTGAAAAAAATTTCTTTTTTTATCCACTGTATATCGTAGGCACCATGCTAAACTAACGAATGTGAGCCTGTGCGCATTCCTTACTTTAACATTGTGCCGACGATCTGTACAATGGTCAACGATTTATATTATTATGCATTTAATAACTAAAAAGACAATAACTACGACATCTTGGCCAGGTATGATCATTAATTTCTGTTCACAAATGATACTATTTTAAACCAGATTGAATCTTTGAAGCACATGGTCTGTAAACTGTACACACTGAGAGTACAGACAGGCCTTGTCACAACATTCACAATACTCATAAATGGCATAGTTATAGTGCTATAATAACCTTTTTGGTACATTATGTTTATTGAATTAACGAACAAATATTAAAACAATAATTTATTGTCAAAAAGAATTAAACAATTTTTTATTTATTTTATTTTTTTAAATATTACTTCCTTTATTCTATTCGTAGGTCGTTAGAGAATGCTTCTATTGTAAAAATGATATAATCATAATACTTTTTTTTATTAATTGATATTTACAACTGTATTATAAAAAATAAAACTAGTAAATGTGTACTCAGGAATATAATAACATGAAATCTCTTGTTGAGAAACTACCCACTGATGGCACTCAAATAATAAATTTACACAAGATCACGAGGCCACCTTCTTTTCAGACGCCTCGGAGGGTTATCAGAGATCGAGGAAAAAGCAAGGTTTGAAACGAGAGGATTCTGATGATTCTGCAATTTGTTATGGAAAGATAGGTATCTGGATTGGGCCAAATCGGAAACATATGGAACATTAAGGTCTTTATGGTTGATTTTATTTCTGACAAAGTAAGGAGCGTTGAGGATTTTACAAAGGATTTAGGATTGTAAGGATTGGATACGAGAGGAATTCAATAGTTCAGTGGAGTCCCAAAGCTCAATTCCGTAAGTCCAAATAGATCTTATTATTGTCATGTATATGAGTCATTTGTAATTGTTTGAAAGCTTAGAGCGTTTGTGTAGTAAGTGTTAGAGTAGTCGGAAACGTCGAGCGGTTTCTTGTCGTTTCAGTCTTGCATGAGGATTCCATATGAGTTGTTTGTCCAGGTGGAGTCCTAGGTAACGGATTTGTTCAACTGGGATAAGTGGGAAATTGTTAAAGGATACTGT